CTAGATACTGATCCTAGCGTTCAAACTAGTTATCCTCTAGCTAATAAGGAGAATGCTTAGGACGATAATACGGTACCCCTAACGATAGAGGATAAATATCTCTAGGCTCTCCTCGATTATATTAATACCTAAGAAGAAGAAGACGAGGAGATAGCTTCTAAGAATTCAGATTTTCCTTTTAGGCAATTAGGTATACCGCTTAGTTAAGTAGATTTTCAGTATAGCGACGAGGATATAGGTACCTAGGATCAAGATATCTCGCTTAGCTAAGACTATAATCCTTTCGATTATCTAGATTTGGAGGAGACGGGTCCTAATTCTCTCTAGGAGAGTCGACCAGATATAGAGAGAGAGGATAAAGAAGAGGAGTCGTAGTAGGAGTTTGACGAGGAGATAATAGAATTAGAGGATATAGCAAGGGCAGCGTATACGGTAGCTATAGATTAAGCGAATAATCGGGGTACGTAAGAATTTGTAGCTAGGGGAAGTATCAACAAGATACTAAGTATACTTGTAGAAGAGCCTATTACCGAACGAGATAGACTAGAGACAGAAATTTCAGCTCGCTTTATCCTTAGAGCTACTTGTTTAAGGACCCTATTATTAATAAGGACGGAGCCGGCTTTCTAAGCGGCCTAGCGAAGAATAGAGATACGTAAGGCCTAGAGAGTAAGGCAGTAGTATATAGTAACCGAAAGTCGGTTTAAATACTAGATACGCGTTCTAGCTAGGCTAGAGAAGGAGATATTAAAGCATTTACTATAAGCCTAAGATCTGAAGTAATTTGGTTTTTCTAATTTTCGTAGTCGGTAGGTATAGTCGGCAGGTATTATTAGCTATAGAAGGAGATGTCGAAGTACTTACTGTAAACTCCTGAATTAATTTGCTTTTTCCTAATTCTCGTAGTCGGTAGATATAGTCGGCAGCTATTGTTAGCGAGTTTAGGCAGTACGGTATATATAAGGCTTATTACTGTTCTAGAAGCGCTTACTATGTTTATTCTATATCTAGAAGAGGTTTTACGTAATACCTATCGCAATACCTATTAGGTATACCTATTAGGTTTTTTCCGTTAGGTTGTACCTAGCTTATAAGCTAGGTACCTACCTTATTTGCGGGGTTGGGTATTAACGTTAGGTTGTACCTAACCTATACCTAACCCAACCTATAACGAGGCCTAGGTACTGTATAGTTTCAACCCGGAGCTAGCGACAAGTACGCGTAACGCTCGGGGCGAGCTCGCGGAGAGAGAGGTACCGGCCGTAGTAGACGCTATAGAGAGACTAAAACGGAACTACGAAACCCTAAGTAAGCGCTAGCAACGCGCTAGCGAAGCGTAGGCGAAGTACTTCAACGCGAAGTATACTACAATAGGGTTTAAGGTAGGGGATATAGTACTACTATCTACTAAGAACCTAAGATTAAAGGTACCTATAAAGAAGTTCGCGGATAAGTTCGTAGGACTATTCAAGGTAATTAATATCGTAGGGAAGCAGGCGTACCGCCTAGCTCTACTAGTAGGATCTTAGATCTATAACGTCTTCTACGTCTTATACCTCGAGCCCTATAAGGGCCGCGTAGGTAACGCGTAGGAGGGAACCCTCCTACTCGCCGATAAAGAGGGACTCTATAAGGTAGAAAAGATCTTAGATACGCGCCTAAGGAAGGGCATCCGATAGTACTTAGTATACTAGCGTAGCTAGCCTAAGGAATTCGATTAATAGGAACCTAAAGAGTATATTAGTAAGTACGCCGCCCTCGACGAGTTCGAAGCGTAGCGGAAACGTAGTAGTATAGTACGAGCGAGACGTAGGTAGAACGATTAAGAATCAATTTGCTTTTAACTAGCCGAGCCGGAAATACTATATATAAACAAAACACTAAAAACACGTATAGTATACTAGAAGCGTAGGCCAACCGAACGCGACGAGAGGGTTAGGCACCCGCGGCACTACCGGTACTAGTAGTACTAGAAGAGAGAGTAGTAGGAGTAGGGCTAATAGGGGAAACGGTAGGACCGGTACCGTTACCGGTACCGTTACCGGCGTCGTCGTCGTCGTCGTCGTCGTCGTCGTCGCTATCGCTAGGCAGGCTTATCTTAGCCTTGCCGTCTAATAGGTACGGCTCCTAACTACCGTAATCGGGATACGCGGTCGCTACCGCGCTATCTAAGGCAGTACCGGCAGCGCCGGCTAAGCGAGCTATCTGCGACAGACGTTAGCGACGCCTACAAGCAGGGTACGAAGCGATAGAACTTACCTCGTACTATAGCTCAAAAATGCCCTAAAGGGCCGAGGTAGCTTTCGCTATCTCTAGGTAGTCGGCTACGGCTAGGGCGCTCGACGCCGGCGCGCTAACTATACTACTACTACTACTACCCTTCTTTAGCGTCTCGTAGACGCCGACGGCCTTGCCCTTATTAGAGGCAAGTACCTTCTTGCTCTCTAGAATCTTACCCTCTAGCCGCTATAAGCGCCGTATTACCTATACCGAGCATATACCGGCTATATAAGAACGAAGCGCTACGCGTAGGACGCGTAGGTAGCGCGCCTGCCGAAGTAGGTCTAGGTCTACTACGCGTTCGTACGCGTAGCGCCCTTTCGTATACCTCTAGTACTTCTTCTTTCGGCTAGGAGCTATTACGCCGTTATAGGCGCGCTCGGCGACGCCGTTCGCGTCTACTACTATTAGATTAGTAAGGAAACGTAGGTAAAGCGTACGCAACGCGTAGGTCTCGACGTACCCTTAAATATATACTCTATATAGCGGAGGCAGATATTGTACGCTCTAGCCGCTACGCGACCGCGGCGAGGATCGCGCTCTAGGACGGGCTTCTCGGCCGCCTTTACGGCTGTCGCGCGCTTCGGAGGTATATCGCGTACGTATAGGTTGCGAGGATAGTACGAAGAGCTTAGAGTTTTCCTAAAAAAATAGTTTAGGGAAGAATTAAGGAACGAGGGAAACGACGCAGCGTAGAGGACGAAATATACTTACTCGTTGCTACTACCTATTGCTAGGCGGGCTTCTTCTGTTATATTCTACGTTCTATTGACTTCCTTACATTCTACTATATAGAATGCCCTAGGGTAACCACTAGGATTCCTAGTATAACGACTAGCTTCTATATAGAATACGAGCATCTCTATATACGCTCTGTATACGCTCTATATACGATACGTAGGAAACGTCGCTAGGGACAGCTCTATTAGGGAGAGGAGATAATTATAATAGCTAGGCCTAGAGGTATATAGCCCTAGGGGGCGGTTAGGTATTTAAGCCTAAGGTACGCTAGCCTAAGGCAGGACGGGCTATAGAAGCAGTACGTTCTAAGTCGTCGGGCGATCGGCTATCGGGCAACCGCCCGCGCGGCGCAGCGCCTGCGTATGCTTAGCGTAGGGGTATATTATACGACGCCGCTCTCTCCTTTCCGAAGAACAAGAATTAGTTTGTTCCTTTTCCTACGCAGTAGGAAGGACGCTCTATACATTACTATATACCCCTACTCTTATAATTTATAAGAGGGCTCGATTTCTAGATATACTACTTCCTACTAGAAACCTAGAACCTACTACTAATACTACTAGACCTAACTTTATTAAAGGATATTAGATAAAGGTTAGTTTAATTAGTTATATAGCTGTTTTAGCAAGGCCAGATATAGCAAAGGTATATACTACCCTTTCTTAATTCCTAAAGAATCCGAGTCAAGCTTATATAGAAGCTACTAACTACCTAATTGCCTACTTATATAGAACTAGGGATATAAAGTTGTACTTCTATAGAGAGAAGCCTAAGATAGAGCTTTATATAGATGCCTTATTTAGTAATAACCTAGACAGGAAGAGTTCTTAGGGTTTTCTAATAATAATGTATAGTAGTGCTATTAATTAGTAAGCAACTAAGTAGAAGACAGTTACTAAATCGACCGTAGAGGCAGAGTTGTTAGTACTCTTATCAATTGCTAGTAATAGGTACTAGTAGACTCGACTTTTCTCTAAATTTAATAAGGTATTTCTACTTCTACCTAGAAATAAGCTATCTAAGGAACCTATTAAGGATAGAACTATAGGTAGAACTAAGGTTTTCTGTAACAACCAACGTATAGTAGATATCGCTAATTACAAGTATAGTTTACTTAATACGGCTTTAAGGTATATTAATATCTATTAATACTAGATAAGGCAGGAAACTATAGTAGGAAGGTTGACCGTTAAATAGATTAGAACAGCAAAACAGTAAGCTAATAGCTTTATAAAGAACCTTCTAAAGGGGTTATTCCAGTTATTCCGGACGAGCCTAGGGCTTAGGTAAGTAGGTATAGTCGATTATTAAATTAGTATAGACAGTTACTATATCTAGCTTTTCAGCTTTTCTTATATAATTAAGCTAAGGGAGGTATATTTAGACAGAAGGATATAGGTGCCCTAGCATTATATAATATAAGTTATATAGATAACAGGGGCTACTAATTCCTTAGTATTTGTATATAGAGTTAGGGATACCTACCCCCCTCTTTTCTTTCCTAGACAGGTTAGACCTCTAATATTAATTGAACCTACTTTTCGGTTGGTACGGCTTTATCTCCATCTCAATTGGGCTAGTGTGGTGTGTGGTTCCAACAGGGGCTCTGGGCGACTACATGAGTGGTCGGCCTATGATGATTATCATTATCCTGCCCGAACACGTGGAAGGCAGATTCACGAACAGGCGCGCGTGGCGCGTCTCGTCTGTAGGAACGGACGAGTCACGACGACCAAGTATACATGTATGTAGGTAAGACACACCTGCCGGCTCTTCAGAAAGAGATATTTCTTCACCTTCACGGACGACCTGTCGGCGTTGAAGACACGCCCTTTCGGTTTTCAAGAGCTTCGAAGTTCAACAGCGAGGATGGCCTTTGATTCTTGACAGGTGTACTGACTGTTGGGCTTGGACTTGATTTCAGCTTCAATACCGCCATCATGCTGTCCTTGACCTAGTGCCAATACTGCTCTACGGTCATGGCCCATGGTGAATACAGCCTTATAGAGATTGGCGATGTATTACCAGAATTTGGATGCATCTTCGAAGTCCGTCAAGATCGAATCTGCTCCTTTGCTTCGTATACGTGCTCATCGCAGACTATACTACGGATAGTGGTGGAGGTCGATTCCACTACCATACCTGAGCATCCGATCCGACATTGTTTTGGAATCAACAGCAGTGACAGCTCCGCCAATCTCGACCAAAACACTACAGCAGCTAAACGCACATTCAGACAACCAATATGCCACCTTGGCGTACTAGTGGCATGTCAAAGCCTGCCAACTGGTCATAATATCCCGGGAACTAATGGAAGTTGCATCGATGCCGACGCTATGGAATATGTCGACCCATTCTTTTTCCATGCCTTGAGTACGGAAGGTGCAGGCATTGGTGATCTCCAATAGGCGCACCAGTGGAAGTCCAAAGTCTACAGTGCCTGCCAACGAGAAACACTGGTCGAACGACTGCGAACGCCGCGTGTCAGCCGCTGCAGGACTCACTAGGGTTTGGTAAGTCTAAGACATCGACAGCCAAAGGCCCCGCTTCAGACTTGAAGCTGACCTGTCCTACCTACCTTGCTCTACTGCTAAAATTTCAAATTGCCAGTAGAAAACAAAGTATATAAGGAACAGCAGGAGAAGAAGAAGCACAGCAGGAAGAAGAGAATGCCTGAGATGAAGAAGACGCCTGAGAAGACGCCTGAGAAGAAGACGCCTGAGAGACGCCTGAAAGGACGCCTCAGAGGACGCCTGAGAGGACGCCTGAGAGGACGCTTGAGAGTCCTGGACACCTGAGAGGACGCCTGAGAAGACGCCTGAGAAGACGCCTGAGAAGACGCCTGAGACGAGACCTAAGAGGACGCCTGAGAAGACGCCTGAGAGGACGCCTGAGAGGACACCTGAGAGGACACCTGAGAGGACACCTGAGAGGACGCCTAAGAGACGCCTGAGAGGACACCTGAGAAGACACCTGAGAAGACGCCTAAGAAGACGCCTGAGATAGAACACACGTACACAGTCATATACGCACGCATACGTACGTACGAATATACTACGTAGGTCGACATTCTGTACTACTAACGGGCAGGCCTATAGGATATATTAGCGTAGTTAGTAGATCTAGTAAAGAGAAGTAAACATATTAAACGAGGATCGCTCGAAAAAGGCTCTCCATGTATATGGACAGTTCAACTTAAGTAGGAGAGCGTAGTAGGCAATTTCCAGCTTAGAGAAGGAAGGGTAATAACCGAGGATTGCTCGAAAAAGGGTCTCTATTTGTATAGGTAATTAGACTCCAGGAGCGTAGTGTAGTTAGTATTCCTAGTATAGAGAAGTAAGAATAATAAACAAGTATACCTATCTCGAAAACGGGTTACGATTTGTATAGACAATCAGACTGGAGTACCGTAGTCGACAGATCTAGTATAGAGATACTAACTTTTTTTTTGCCTTTTATTCACACAGGATTTTTGAGTCAAGATATCCTTAAAAACTCAAGTAGCATTTGGGCGTGAATTCATCACATTGCATCGCTCTAATATCTTCCCAACTTCTGTCTTGCTTCTATCCCGAATGTCGCCAGCCCGGCCGCGACATATCTCATGAAGAAATCTACTCTTCCTAGGGGTTCTCTGCGACATGAGAGTCGTTGAGATATCGCAGCATGAAATCTGCCTTGTTGGCCTTCTCTTCAGCCTTCTCGTTGTCCGTCTTGGCGCTGGAACCCAGCTCAGCGATACCCTCAATGCGTACCTCTGGGCTAGCGCTGTCATTCATGGGGGCTTGCTGTCCGAAGATCAGTCGCGATCGATCAGTTGGGCGAGACTCAACAGGATCGATGTTCGGGGCTTGCTGATCGGTGAGGGTGGGAGTACCGAAAACGTCTTCACCGAAGACTGGGCGAGTGCGAGTACCAATTGGTGGCAGGTGCTGCCTGCGTCCCGACGTCTTTGGTGATGGCGATGAGGTGATGTTCTCCAGATGTGTCGATCCCTTGATGCTTGGGAAACCCCTCGAAAACGGGCCCTCCGAAGGAGCTGCCTGTATTTTGCCATTTTCTGGCACAGACATGAGGCCGCTAATACCGGCGAGAAGGTGCTCGTCATTTCCTGACCGATTGACGGAAAATCTGTACTGTTCTTTCATCTGACTGGTTCTATTGCCGAGGGCAGCATCGGCGGATGCGTGATGGTTCCCACTGGGGGAGAAGGCGAGTGCTGCCGGCGCCTGCAGTGGGGCCTGACCGTAAAAGGCATAATTTGTTCCCGTCGGTCCACCGTAATGCGACGGTGCATAGCTGTTCGGAACGCCGGGAATGCTGGGAAAGTTCGGAGTGTAGGTCTCGTATGGGATCTGGTACGGCATCTGAGAGCCATAGGGATCTGCATCCTCGCCGTACGCCATAGTGTAGCCCTGATTGTTCGCATAGTGGTTGTACGGCGCGACAGCTCCTGGGCCGATGCCGCTTGGTGGCTGACCCGTGGCGTGCTGGGAGAAGGAGGCAGGGTTGATGGCAGACATCCAGATGCGAGTCTTGTAGATGCGATACAGCTCTGTGATCAAATCCTTAAAGTTGATGTAGTGGTCCGCGTAGTAGTAGAAGATGAGCTTTTGAAAGTCCCTGGAACTTGTTAGCATATTTTCCCAAAATGTAACAGCATGGGTAGACTCACCACTGCCACTCAGCATCGAGTATCTCCATTTGCAAGCGGAGATGTTGAACCTTCTGCTGGCAGGTGCGCTTGGCCTTGGCTTCATTGCCTTCCTTTTCGGCCAACATCTTGATCTCGTGGTCGCTGGCAAGACGCTTGATGGCCTTTGGCTTCAAACTGTGGTAGGCGCCTCCAGGAAGGACGCCCTGCATCGCGCTAGGGCCGTCACTGTTGAGAGCTGCATTCGTGAAGGGGCTGCCATTGTCGTTCTGGATCTGGGCATTGGGATTGATGCCACCTTCCTTGTTGACGGAATACATCATGAGCCACTTGTACTGCTCTACGCCATATTTTTTCTTGAGGAGACGAGCCGCTTCCGGCGAAACCTTGGCGTGCTGCACGGTCCCAAGATCTTGGCCACGGTCGGCCTCCACGATGACAAGATCACCCTCGCGGATCCTCAAGCCGGTGTTATCGAGCAGGTAGAAGACCTCGACGCGCGAGCACTTGAAGCTGACGACGTACAGCTGCTTGCGTGGACGACTGGCGCCCGGACCCCACGCTGGCGGGCCGCTCGGCTGTCGGTCGCGTGACATCTCGACGTCGCGGCGCTCGGCCGGGCTGAGAGCAACGTGCGGCACACGGTACATGGCTGGGATGTCGAACTGGGTGTCGCTGTCAGTGGGTCTCGTCATGTTGTGATCAGTCTCTCGCTCAAGGCCGTAGCCCTGATAGTCTGTAGCACTCACGTGTTAGATGCTGTTCACGAGTGCGCTCTAATACAAGCTGCTGTTAATGTAGTGCTGTGGGTGGGAAACTGGCGACAGGGAGGATGTTGATGGTGTGAAATGAGAGAGGAATGCGCAAGGTGAGAAGGAACATCATGAAGCAGGCAGGTAGAATATGTGAGGTTTGTGGATGATTCCACGCGACAATAGCAAGATATGCAGCCAACAATGGCGCGCATGAAATTCACTCACATATTTTCATTCACCGTTCACGAGAAGGGCAGGTGCAGGTACGGGATAAGGCAGGCGCAATGGGAAAAGGCACACTTACCGCTGGTACGGTGTTGTTGGTATTCGTCGCTCTCTTGTGGAATATGCTCAAAGGGGCGTGAGAGCGAGGAAGGCTCGCCAGCAGCCAGAGAGCCCCGGCGCGTTGGGATGTCTGCCAGAGAATGTCGTCGCGACTCGTTGGCGTTGGGAACATCATCCCAGCCCTGGGAGCTTTGCCATCTCGCACGACGGCCAGAGTGGTCTACACATGTCAGACGCGCTTCAACGGTGTGGCACACAAACAAAGCACACATACCTAAGGAGATATTGGCGAAGGCAGCCCCAAAGGTGTGCCCACGCAGCAGACCAGGCTGTGCTGAGAGATCACCGTGATATTCGCTGCCGTCACTAGAGTCTCGCGGGTGGTCAAACGACGGCGGCAGGGTAGCTGTACGCATCAGCGTGCCCATCGGGGGGTGTGATAGTGTTTGCGTGAGTCTCGTGCCCACTTCCGACTCTGACTCCGTGTCCACCTCCTCGGCAAGGAGACCCAACGGCAGAGATGCATGTCCGGTCGCACCTGCATGCTGCTGCTGCAGCTGCAGTTGCAGGAGCTGCTGTCCAGAAGAACGCGAACCACCTTCGCGTTGGCCGGTGGAGTGCGACAAAGACCGCCCAGTCTTTGGGACCGGCTGCAGAGGAATAGCAAATGGTAAGGCACCAGCACCAGCACCTTCGCTCACAGACGGCGACGGCGTCGCTCGTGCACCAGCGTGGGCGTGGTTCACGGCTCCGAGTCGCACATTCGCACGCACATCCATCTTGGCCTTGTCCGACAGCTTAAAGCTACCGCTGCGCGTCGCCCAGATGCCGCCAGGAAGACCAGGAACACCGCCTTCCTTCAGCGGAAACCTGCCGAAGGACATCGAAGAGGGCCATGGTTTCTCATCCTCCGAAGAGCCCACAGCTTCCGAATCAGGTGTTGCTTTGCGAACGGGCTATGAATGGCAAGCACAATCAGCATGCGAGGACAAGTATCAAATGGCAAAGAAAGTCACTCACATTCATGATGTGCTGGAGGTAGTAGATCTCGCACGGTTGCGCGATTGTGAAGAAAAACTATAATTATCTATGCAATGGTCAGCTTGCCATCTGTCAGGAAGAGCACTGCCTGGAATAGCTGGGACAGTAGCACGGGCAGCAGGCTTCGGGAGATATGGAGTTCGCTGGCGGTCATAGTTCGCGGCGGCTCCTGAACACCATGGGATCAAGCAAAAGAGAATAGCCCGGTACCAGAATCATATGTAGGGACAGATGCCTAATGCCGTCGAAGTCATGATGGCTATTGCATTAGTATCTCGATGCCAGTCGTAGCTGCTGAGGAACCGGTTCAGAAGGGACAGCAGACACCGTAGCCTGCAGTTGGAACATAGCGACTTCACAAGATGCAGCAGATGTACATTACCGCTCTTGTACTGCCGCGCGCGGGGTACGTGGTCCATAATCGTGCTTGGCAGTTCCAATTGGGCGTAGCATGACTTCAACCCAAGTGCAGGCCCGAGCTCGCAGTATAAAGTGATAGATTGCCAGATACCATAAGGTATATAACAACCAGCAGGTACCACAATCGCTGGATCGCGGTTCCGGCATCCGGCTTCGTGTCGTGATCCGCTTGCAGAACCCGTGTCTGCAGCAGTACGGCAACAAATCCGCATGCCGCAACGACTATGTAGTATTGGTGACCTTCCCGCATGGTGCTTGGCTACACGTTGAGACGCCGATGTTGGTGCCTCGTGCTTGACCAAGATATGTGTTGCTGAGGTGAGCATGTCCTCAGTATCGGCGCCAGGGACAGCACCAGTACCTGAGCTCTCCAGAATGTCACGCACACTCTTGTCCAAAAGAGCTGAGATGTGGTACACTTTCCAGGTTGACAGTACCGTGACACTCATCAAATGGTATCAGAAGTGAGGCAGGACAGGCAAGCTGGCCCTCCAGCTCGAAGCACTGTACCCAATGATGCCCATATCACCCGGTTCCGGATGTGCGTGATCGAAGCCGGAGAATCATAGGCAAAAAAAAAAAGAATTGACTAACATACCTGAAACAAATTCTTTCGGGTCGTCGATGGTCGTCCAGCCTCTCTATTCTATGTCTAAGGTACAGTTGCGATACTGTGACCATGATGGCCTGTCAGCGCGGACACTCTTGATACTCCACGACGGCACTCTGCTGCTTGCCACTCACGTACAGGTACGTCGGAAACTTTTATTACATCTCTGAACCGGAAATTAAGTACTTTTGTGCCCTGTACGTGTCTGCCGAAACGGTCAGCAAAGAAAAAGGCTTTTCGGCAGCTTCAGTGCATGTGGGTGGACGTTGCTCCGACCTATGACCATTCCCAACGTCCTTGCAGACTCCAGTCTATGGCCGGCAGTGGAGCACGTCGATGGTTTGCTTGCAGCGCAGTCTGGCTTTCACATTGGCCGCCAGCGGTGTGGAGAGCGCAGCGCAATACCTGAGGTGATAGGTACGCGTGCGGGAAGACTTGGTGCGCGAGTCCAGCCGGAAGGAGAGGCTAATCGGAATTCTGGGGGGACCAAGCCGTCTTCTCACGCGCTCTAGCAGTGCGCGTGGCGAATGGAGAGCCGATCGGAGCGTGACAATGGCTCCGGGCAGACTGAGGGCAAGAATGGCGGCCACGGGAGAGTGTGTATGTGTGTTTGTGTGTTGGGATCGCAGGTGGCAAGTCGCAGAGGAGGTGAGGTCGCAGGATGGAGTCGAAAGGCGAAACCAAGGACCTGGCCTGGCCTGGGTGCTGGGTGCTGGGTGCAGTGAGTGGTGGTGCACTGGTGCTGTGTGAACGCAGCTGGGAAGGGAGTGTGGAGAAGGCTTCTTCGCATGGTTAGCCTGCCGACGGGGAGGGCGATGATTGGCAAGGTTTGCGCAGGAGCAAGTTCCACCACCTCCGATGAGCGCGTGACACGCCTTGACGCCTTTAGACGCGCTGCGCAACAGCTGTGAGGTGGTGACGGTCAGGCCACAACAGGATGGATTGACCAGCTCCAGTGGCCGTCCGCCGTCTGCACCTCACGACCCAAGTACACACCTACGACGGAGACTTCAGAGTACAGCAGCCCGTCGTGGACGGGGCCAGGGGCGATGGCATGCGGACTGCGGAGTAGCTAGATGTACAGTGGTACTTCTGTCGTTTACTGTACCCATTACATTGATTCAGGTATTACTACCTCCTATTACTGATGAAAGTCACCCTCGGCTCCAGCGGTACCTTATTACCTGACCTTTACTGTACAGAAAACTCTTCCCCGCTGGCGCATCCGTGTCTGCAGCCTGATAGAGTGCAGAAACAGGCGGAGAAAATCATCAAGACATCTTTTCCATGCAGATAGGAGGTAGGTACTTTAAAAATGCTGTCCCAACAGGGAACACCAAGGTACAGGCACAATGTACCTACATGTACCTGTAGTTCTATGGCCATGAGCACGAGCCCAGCTCGCTACAGGAAAGAGGAGAACCTTGCCATAGAGGGGCACACACAGGTCAGGAGGAGGAGGAGAGGGAGAAACTCAGGTACAGTACACAGCTGGCCTTGGCGACAGTCAACTTTGGAGGATCAGTCAGATGACATGACCCACCCAGAAACAGCACCGCAAAGTAAAACTTTACTTACACCTTACCTCCTGGAGGTTGTAAGGTTGTAGGAGATAGTAGGAGGTAGGTAGCGCTCATCGGAAACCACTAACCGTGCGCACTGTGCGCAGGTAATAAATAGCTGCAGAGTCGTAAGCTATGGTTACCTGGATATACATCTCCGCGCACCCCACAACGCTATTAGGTACCTTAAAATAGGTACTTGTCCTGACCTGACCTTTCAGGTTGTGCGCTACGCCAAGACATTTCTCTGTAAGATAGAAAGAAAACGTGAATGATGAGGTGGACTTGTGTGTGTAGGTAAGGACACTTCCATCTCATGAATCTGCACTAGTAGTCATTCGCCAGCTAATATGTTACACTTGGAAGCACCCACCCCAATGGAGTGCCATAGATCAGTGAATCTTGCTTTCTCTTTCGCGCCGAAATGCATTTTGCAAGCGTCCCGCGCCGCGTTCGCCCCATCTATTCGTGACAGCAATACAATCAACCATGCCTACATTCCATCCGCCATGCAAAACAAGGGAATACACCTAACCCACATGCAGCCTCGTCTGTACAGCGCTTTACAGCGAATCAAGACAATTGCCGTGCATTATTCGTCCCTTCATGAGAACGCTCGAGTCGTGATATAATGCTTTTCTCTCTCTCTCTCTCTCTCTCTCTCTCTCTCTCTCTCTCTCTCTCTCTCTCTCTCTCCCTCTTTCTCGCCTCCCAAGGCGCTGCTCATTAAGTCTGCTGGTCCCGAAAGTCCGAAAGGAAGGGCCACATTGGGTGATGAGCAATGAATGCTAGATAGTGTAAGATCCATCAGATCAACGCAGTGCTTATGTAATGGGTGGGCATCAGCATGATGAGCTCAATCGCCACGCTTGGAACGCTTGCCAAAGCTCTCCACCTCGGGATGCACCACTCGCATATGCCGTGTGAGAGCGTCATTCCTGGAGAACGTTTTCTCTTCGCGACACATGGGACAGCGAACCTTTTGCTTGCGCCCGTTGTGTATCGTATCCTCGTGACGAGTCAAGTCATACGGCCTCGAGAAGATCGTGTTACACGGTTTGCCTGTGGATGGATTGACCCGAGTACACTTGTGTGGTCCAGCTTGCGAGTTCCTGGCAAGAAGTGCTGCGGATGTCATACCACTGGATGAAGGCGCAGGCGATGCCGTTGATCTTGGCGACGATGAATCTTCAGCGGCTGAAGGAGGTGAAGTGCTCTCATGGTTCTTCTGCTGTGACCGATGGTAATCGCGCTTGTGCTTTTGCAGGTCGCCGTGAGAGCCGAACCGTTGTGTGCACCCATGGTACGTACATGTGTAGGCGCCAGTGTTAGCCCGGGTGTCACTAGGTCGTTGGGGTACTGAAGTAGCCGCGGCGCCATTGTTTGTGCTCTCTTGAGATGATTGCGGAAAGCCAGCGTCGCTGATGGACGTCTCCATTGATGGAAGACCAGCAGGGAAGTCAGGTGTTGTCTCGCCGTGACTGTTCATCTGTGCAGCAATGGCAGCCTGATAGTTGGCTTGGAAGGGCACATTAGACACCTGACCATTATTTGGTGGCAGAGCGGTGAAGTCAAAGCCGACACCCGACAGGTTCGTATCAGCTGAGGTGGCGGTCCTAAAACTCATATTTTGTTGCCCCGTGGCAAAATTCACGTTGGGCGCGCCCATGTACGTGCTCGACGGCCACTGCTCGGTGCCACTCAGATGCTGTTTGTAGCCCCCTGGTATGCTGTCTTGGAACAATGGAGCCTGGTCGTTCTCATTGTAGTCCAGCAATGCGTCCTTTGGAGAGATGGTCTTGGTCGGTTCTCTTCGAAGTGGTGCACGATTTCGTGCATACTCTGCTTCCGCAGACGCGTCCTTTTGTTGCTGACGCATACTTGCTGCGGTTCCGACGCGGCCATCACCAACTTGTGGTTTCCAGTCCTTCGTCGGTGCCAGCGGAGAACCGTGTCGAAAGGGCGAGCGATCCCTTGACGCGTCCGTGGCGGGCGATGTTGACCGTGCTAGGTTTGCAGTCTGCAATCTTTCGCTGATCAGGTTTCGGTGAGGTGAGAGAAACGAGCTTTGCTGTTGCTGTGGTTGTAATTTGGGCGCCGCGGAGGCGTATACCTGGTTTGGGTTGTAAAGCTCGTCTTGGTATGCTGCTGATTCCGTACGGAACAGCTGCACATTTGGGTTCGGTCGGCTGTAATCTGCTTCGTCGGACAGTAAGCATTCGAGCGGAGCACACTCGATGTTTCTGAAAGTCTCACCATTCTGCTGCGACGCATTACAAGTCTTCGTATCGACATCGCCAGCGCCAGATTGAGGCGTGGCCGGTGAGTCGTTACCGTAGCTGGACATGGATTGTCGTGATGGTGCAAAGTCGGAAAAGTCTTCGTTGTGGTATTCGAAGCCAAAGTTTTTCATAGCAAGGTGCGCGCTGGACATGTGCGCCGCCGCACTTGGCGTATACCCTTCGGTGCCAAAACTGAACGTCGGCGTGTCCTGCGCGGGCGTGGAGAAGGTCTTGGGGTACAGCGCTTGGTCAGCGATGTGGGCCGGTGACTCTGGTAGGCGATCCGTGTTTGCTATATGCGGATACGATGCAGTCTGCATGTACGGTGAGGCGGGCCCTGCTGATGCTATCGTCGAGGCGGACGGTGTGCGTTGATGACTCCTCGACCTCTTTATGCCTTGCGGATAATTTGCAGCCAGGCCTCCCACGCTACTATTGTTGTACGGCGCCGCGTACATCTGCTGTGCCTGCCAATCCACAGTGGCGACAGCTGGGGCCGAGTCGTACCTCAGGCCAGTCGAGGCGATCTGTTGGGGCAGAAGCGATGCAGACGGGGCCTGCACGGCGGGAGGGTGGGAAGGTGTAGGCTCTGTAGTAGAGTTCGTCGAGACGTTGCCCTCGTGGTATGGTGTGCCGGTGTGGGCGCGTTGCAACAGGGCCAATGCTTGCTGGTATATGTGTGGCTCGAATGGCGCTGCGTCGTAGTATGCTGTTGGTGTGTATGCTGTTTCGGTGAAGATGGGATAGGTGTATGTTGTAGTCGATGGAAACGATGTCGTCATGTCGCGCTTTCCCGTCTTTGTTATTATGTCATCGACGACTTTCGCATGGGGAATTTCTGCACTGGCGGGGACGGGGCTGATGATAATGATGATGATAATGATGATGATGAATCGGCAGTAATGTCGGTGGCGAGAAGGTTCCAGATATATACAGATCCAGCGACCGGCCTTGGGATATGTGGTTGTTAGTCGTGGACGGATGGACAGGTAGGTGGGAGGAGAGTGCAGTGCGAATTGTGTGCAAGGAACGGCATATTGCGGACTAGACATACAAAGGAACCCTCTTAAGGTACTTCGTAGTCGAGTAAGGTACCTAGGAGGTAACCTACCTTACACTACGACATTACAGCGTAGACTTCTCTTCCCGTCGGAAGCATTCGCTCACGAGCGAGAGCTGAGCCACACTGCACCTATAGGTCAGGGAGGTACATGTACCTTACCAAGACCCTGGTGCTTCTGCCCTGCACACTGCACACCCGACTGCACACTGCACCAACCCGACTTGTGCATACCTTACCTACCTTACGTCCCATTGCTGACCTATCTCCGCCCGTCAACTCCTGGCAGAATGTTCCATGCAGCAGCCCAGCAGCATGCATGGGCTATGGTCGGTGTTGATCCGACTTCTGCCTCCTGCCCATGTCGCTGCTGCAGCCTCGTGCCGCCTGCTTCTGCCGTTGCCGACTTGCTTTTCCTCTTGATCTTCGGGACCACCCCCTGCCGTTGACGAGCTGGCATACCGTACCGTACCTCCTAGCCTGGGAGTCGCTGGTTTCGGGAACTGCATGTACATGTATAATGTACTCTTCACTGTGCGCTGCGCCTATCCTCCATGCGTATAGTAGGCCACCATCCATCAGTGCTCGGGCTACGGCAAGCTCTTCCACCTCATGACAGACGACGAACCGCCTGGCTCGGGGTGTGCGCGGCCTGTTCTCAGCATAGGTCGTCTCAAAGCTATACTGACCGCGACTGCCACTAAGTGTCCAACAGTGTTGGTCTGCGACTACAATGTAGACTTCTCGGCACATCCATCGTCAGGCTGTACATGTACATGTGCATACCTTAACCATGTTGATCACCATGTGCCATCGCATGCCGAAGTAGGTGGTCGGAGAAGCCGTGAAAGGTCAGGTACCTCTCCTGACGCGAGCAGTATACAGGCTTCGGCAATTGCTGATGCTTGGCATCTTCCCAATTCCAGTGAGATACCGGAGGTTGACTTTTTTTTTTTTCTTTGCTTTCTCAGCAGTCTCCAGAAAAGTCTGGTCACAGGCCGATACCCCGATGTAGCCCTGCTACAGATACATGTATGCTGTGTGTTCGTGTTTAGGTACATTCGGTCCGGTGGTCGCCAACAGACCGAGTATCGCGCGAAGCTACCATGTACGATGACTTCAGAGTATGCAGGGCACACGTGGGTGACGCTCTTTCTGTCATGATTTCTGCGACTGCTGTGGCTGTGCGGGTGGCTTTGTCATGCCACAACAGACCATAGAAGTTCGGAGACAGCGATAGAGACCATAGGGCTTCTTTCCGGTAGCCGAGCGCACAGGGGCTCCTGTGGCTGGTGTCTGCAAAAGGCTGCCGCTGACTGATCAATCTTGGGCAGGCGTGCGGGCATAACCATGCTCTCAACGGCATAAATTGTTGTTGCTTCTACTTTAGTATGCCTGCCCTGCGCACTCCAGCATACACTTTCCTTTTGCGGATTTCTCCAGCAGCTGATGACCTGATGTGCACCCGGAGACCTCCGAGACTCCACTCCACCTTGATTGCTCCCGCGCGGCACGTCTCGAACGGTCGACTCAGCTGGGTCATGGATGTATCGCTGCAATGCACGTCTGCGATGGCCTCGACGATTGGAGGTACTCCTGGTACGGCACATCGTCTTTTTTTTTGTCCACTATTGATTTCTGGGCACAACAAGAATAGTATACTACTATACGGATCCACCACGCTAAGGCGAGGCAGATCGTACCGAGATTCCGAGAATACCTGAATCATCTACAAGCGGGCATGATCGACAAAGAAAAAAGATCTGCGTCGACCCGCCTTCCGTCTTATAGACGATTGAGTTTTCCCTCTCGCTTTATTTAATGGCACAATGGGACTGTGCACACCTCACTACTACTGCTACCTCCTATAGTGCTACCTTACTTGACCTCCCCAAGCAAGCAAGCCAGCAGGTGTATACGAGTAGGTAGTGCTTGTCTTTCTCAGCATGCTTGCAGACAGGAGTCAATATATAATAATAGATGCGATTTGCTTCGTGCCATGGACGGGCGACGAGTCCAGATCACCCAAACTCTCTTCCAGGGTCTCGCCATCGATTCAGGTCGGAGTCACCTGCATCCAGCCCAGCCAGCCCTACGACGGTGACAAGGTTTGACATTTTTTAGACTTTGCATGTACTGTACGAAGCGGTTTGAATAATGATTGGAGCGACGTGGCTTTTGCGGCTTATGTAACGTGGGATGGGGAGAGAGACTCTGAAAGAGAGAGCTGTGGGAGAGCGAGCCCTGTGAGTCTAGACTTTAGATAAGCTGCAGGTCCGGAGTTAATGGGTACCTGACCTGGATTATGCAATGTCCAACCTCCCGTTGAGCACCGAGAGTCACTCCATATAATAATATACCTCTTACATTGCATGCCGACTACAGCTGACAGTTGAGTTGTCTCCTCGGAATCAGCGGAGCTTCAATCCATCACTTGGCAAACGCGCTCGTCGAAGAGACGAATCATACCAGGTACCTATGTATTATTGGGATGTACGTTCTGTCTATGGTATCATGTACTATTGCAGCTGCGAGGCCGCTGCGAGGCCGTGGAGCCGCTCGAGCACTCTGCGAAGGGGTATGCACGCTCCTTTCGACATAATATTCAGTCCGTCTGCCTCCTGCGTTCCATCACTTCTTTCCAGCACCTTCTCCACCTCCCTGATCATCTCATCGAGGAATTTGGGACCTCCGTGGTCAAGGTATGTCCAGCGGATCACATCTTCCAGACCCTTCAGGCCCGATGTGGAGTCCAGGTTGGTCAAGGCAGTGATTAAGAAGCCTTTGGCGCGGGTGTACACACGCTCGCTATAGAGCGTGCTCGACCTCTTGCTCGCCTCATGGCCCACTAATACTTCGTAGCCTGCTTCGTTGTAGTATGGCTCGCGCACCAACACCAAGCCCAGTAAGGAGACGACCACCTGAAGAAGCGTGCTTCGGGCTGCACTCCAACCTTCTCCTTTGGTCCCTTGCCATGTCCCGAGCAGAGAAAGACACACTTTACCGTCCTCATAGAGGTTCGGGTTAACTCGACCTAGTGTACCAATCGAAGAAATGGGCAGCCAAGAGTGGAAAAACACTTGTGGTGGCACAGACGGGAATTCTGGAGGCAGGTAGAAATCTACCACGAATGGCGCGTAGGCATAAGGGGTATCTGCTGGGCCGATGATGAGACAGCGAAGAAGGTCAAGACGAGACTCCCATGATCTTATGTACACGCCCGTGGGGAGCGATGTCGGGTTCCGTAGGATCTTATGCTCTTTCTGCGTGCGCTTCGTATGTGCAGGGATCGACGAGGTAGGTTCGCTGCGGAATCGGTGATCGGATGGAACATCTCCCTCTAGTATTTCGTATAATGGTGGGGCATCAATTTGCGCAGCCTCAGTCTCGTTGTCACCATTTTCTGCTGGTGTAATCGAATGCGAGTTGGATGGCGTCTGGGGATGCAGGGTGTCGGTCATAACGAAGTCCTCGCTGTCTTCGTCAGCGGACTCCCACTCGTCGTTCTCCACCTCATCCTCGTCCATCTCGTCTCCATTCTCATCCTCATAGCGAACAGGCACTTCTTCTTCCTCCTCGCTCTCTGCCTCGCTGTCCCATGATACACCCAAATCTTCGGCTTCTGAGCCGGAGTAGTCGTAATTGTCATCTAGACCTTCGTCCCAAGCATCTACATGGTCGGTACCGTCTGACCTAATGGCTAGGATACATTCTTCTCTGCGCAAAATGACGTCTTGAACCTGTGTGGCAGCGCCTAAGCGGACAAGGAGCGTACCGTCAAGCCGAGTGTCGATGAGCTCGCCGAGCCAAGTGGTATCGGTAGGTCGATCGAGAAATGTATTGAAAGGCTTCGAAGCGATTAATACAATGTCTCCGCGTCGAAAGTTTAGAGTCCCCGGTGCCTCAATATCGTACAGACTGATTTCCTCTTGTACACCAGCAGATGGCGTGATCGAGTGCGAGACTACTGGTGGTATCATACTACCATGCTCATCAGGATCTCTGGCGTAGTGTATATGTGAATCACGCAACCAGAGCACATTTGCCATACGCTCCGATGCATTTACAGCTTGAACCACACCTATCCTCTCGGGTTGCTCAACATTCGACATGTTGGGCAGAGGTACCATTCTGAGCGAATGCGCCATCTCTCCCGGCCACGCTGCATGCTCGTCGTCTATAATGGGATCCGGTAGAAGATCAATCGATCTTTCTATCGTGATTGATAAGTCTTGCCACTGTACCGATACTGTTGTCTCGAACTTGAGTACATCAAAAACGTTCAAATCGTAGCCTAGGTTGGCTTGTCTCTCCAGTCGTGGTATCTTGTTCGGCTGTTCGGGTGTGTTGTATTTGAGACAAGCTCCAGCCAAGTCTCGAAACCGGACGCGCTGCCCCAGTGTCACATCAATCGTGGAGTTTGAAACTGTCGAGTGTGCTGTATAAGTGCTGGTGTTCGGCCTCCGCTCGCGCTGATAGACCATAAACTCTGATGACTCCAGTTCTTCTGCTTCAAGAAGAAAGGGAGGTTCCCGCTCATCGATACTCCCGATTCTCCGCTGTATCCAGGAGACCTCTGCCCCGACTGTCTGAACATGCACTACGGTGCCACATGGCGGTGTATTCGCGTTATACGCACCAAAGATCCAGGTGCCGGTCCGCAAATGACCTTTTTTAGTTTTGGCGATATCACCGACACAGAACGAGCCAATTGTGCCATCGGGATGTTCACCCGCATCGTCACTAATCTCTACGACGCAGTTGTCCCACAGTCGTACTCGGATATTGTTGGTGAGCGCTTCAACTCTGCCGATCCAGTCCTTGTAGACAACCAGAGATTCCTCAGTAATGGCTTCGGCTTCAATGAGTTCTGAAGCCGGCACATCATATATTGGCTGTGTCTGGCCATTTGGGTAGACGCAAAATTGAGTAGTGGGGTCATATTTTCCCGGCGGTAAGATACCTTTGAGGATCTTGGAGTTCAGATATGTGACGTCGCACATTGGCTGAAGTGTACATTTTGTGAATGTGTTGAGTACAACTCCAGACTGTGAATCCTGTACATTGCGTTTGACAATATCGCCAATCAATAGCGACCTATCGACTAGCTGGACTTTCGATGCACAGAGCAGCTCCAGGGCTGGATCGCTTTGCCACCGGACAAGAATGGTGCCCGGGGGCGGTACACCGTTTTTCATGAATCGTCTGAAAGAGGCCAGCGATATATCTTTGTCGCGGCGAATGAGCTCGTCTTCATCCTTGGCTGGATACGGGGTGTGCGAGTCGACATCGCCATGAGTTCGCTCCACCACTGCCAGACACTTTGCGTCGGCCTTGCTGGCCACGATATCGTCGGGATGCAGTGCAGGCTCGGAGCCCATTGTTGTAGTTCCTGTGGCCTGGTGGCAAATCGTTTGTAGTCCCGAGGACCTGCGACTGCGCCGCTGAGCCGAAGGAACTCTGCGTTTGACCTCTGGTTTATGCTGCGCGAGATGAATGTGTCAAGATCGGAGATGTCAGTAGGAGGTACCTATAGCCTGAATGTTAAAAGATTGGAGTGCCGAGAAATCAGTATTCAGGTTGACGGCGACTGGAAGAGCTTAGGGTACTTACATAAGCAAACACAGGGTGAGCCGCCTCAGACACGGACCCTGCAGGTGGGATCTCGGTGTATCTTGCCTCTTCTCTTGACACCTCCAGCAGCTGGAGCAGTGGCAGCACAGCACAGCACCAGCGCGAGCACAGCATGGCAGATCCGCTGTATGAGCTGCTGGCTCGCTATTTCGACACCGACACAGCACTCGCAGCAGCGCCTTCACCTCACGATCCGCAGACGGCCAGCTACCTCTCCCGCCTCGGCGCCCTCTCCCTCGCCGACCTCACCTCCAGCGAGCCAGCCTCGCTGCTGCAGTCGGCCCAGTCGCATCTGCGCAATCTGCAGGCGCTCTCCAAAAGATCTCACAAGGCTGTCATCAGCTCGTCCTCGCACCTCGCTCATCTCACATCGCTGCTGCCGGAGTTTGGCTCTCAGGCGCAGGTTCTGGGCAGCAGCGTTCCCGGCCTCGAGAATGCAGCCGCAGACTTTGCCCACAAATACGATCGAAGTACGGAGAACGAAGTGTTGGACAGGCGGAAACGAGCAGTTCTTCTCTCTCGCAACGTGGACAGAGTCTCGGATGTGCTCGACCTGCCCAACTTGCTGTCCTCGACTGTTGCCGCTGCGCAGGCGAGCAGCTCAGGGAGTGCGACAGCGAGCGGAGCAACAACCTCATATGCATCTGCGCTAGATCTGCACGCCCACATCAAGAGATTGAAGGCGTTGTATCCACAGTCCGACCTCATGGCCAACATCTCGACACAAGCGGAAGATGAAATGCAGAACTTGGCTACTATTCTCATCGGTTCCCTTCAGAGCCCCAACTTGAAGTTGGCTGCGGCGATGCGAACCATAGGATGGCTGCGAAGGGTTGCGCCAGACCTTGCAGCACATGTTTCCCCGATATCCAAGCCAGGTCTGCTCACTACCAAAACCTTGGAGTTGTCGGCTAATGCTGTGAATGACGATGGCGCGATAGGTTCGCTGTTCCTGGTATGCCGTTTGCGTACCCTGCATGAAACATTGGACGCTCTAGAACCACTGCGCGATCTCGCAGATGCAGAGACGGCACAACGAAAGGCATCACCGACCACCAACGGTAATTCTGCAAGATCCATGGCAGAATCATCCTCTTTCGTGTCTTCTGGAACGCAGAGCGAACGTTTCCTCAAGCGTTATATCGAGGTATTTCGTGAACAGAGCTTCAACATTTTAAGCATGTACAGGAGCATATTCCCGGCGAATTTGCCAAGCCCCGACAACAGCAGGACTGCCAGCGCATCGATGGCTTCCAATGCTGACGAGCACCCACTACTTCCCTTGCCTTCTCCTGTATCTGATTTTGCGCTGCATCTGGTCGACATGCTTGAGGTGACACTTCACGAGTATATGCCCAACATCTCCGATAAGTCTTTTCGAGAGTCTTTGCTCACGCAAGTCCTCTACTGCGCCGGCAGTCTAGGGAGGCTGGGTGCGGACTTTGGCATGATGATTGCTTTGCTTGAGGATGATCTAGCAGAGCACGATAACACTGAACTCGAGACTTCTGCAGACAATGCTGAACTTGAGCGGGAATGGGAGCAAGTGATGAAGAAACATCGCATCCAAGCCAGTAGATTGGAGGTACTCGCCAGAGGCGTAGGCACATCGAGGAAGGTCAGCACCGATCTGACGTCGCCAAGCGCGATAACGCCAGTAGCACAGTCTCTATCAGCAGGCTGAACAACACGAGGCTATCGAGATATCGTGATCAAGAAGCAATCCAAGAAAAGCTTAAGGGATGATGTACAATGTTTGTATCTGGACTGAGCCGAATTACGATTTATGCTATTATCCTACACCAAATTTTCGAGTGTCTTCTGACGAATTGAGAATCAATCAAATTTTCCGGTCCCGAGACTCCACGCTAAACGTCACTAATACTGATTGAAAAGCGAAATTCCGAGTGAAGACGCATGCGTTGTTATGGACGCCAAAATTGCACCCGTCCCTCCATGTATACCAGGACAACAAAGATTGTGCCTAGTATGCAGGTACAGTCTGTACGCCTATAGGTGGCGCGTAGTAAGAGTAGCTGGGGGGTAACTCGTTCCTCACAAAAGTTGGTGAAGCAGGTCTTTGAAGGACACTACTCCCAAGGAACGCTTCACTCGGGATGTGCAACGTCCGTGGTTCAAAGTACTCTTCGAAGTCTTCCTCGCGAAGCTCGTGCTCACCGCGGCCATCGGTGACAACAGAGGACTGTCTCGGCTCCCAGTCTTCATGTCCAGAGCAAGATACTTGGATGGGCAGTTTGAGATCAATGGTGCCGACGACTCCCTTATTCTGGAGATGAAGTTCGAATTTGACTTGGTAGATGCGGCTGATCAGACATGAGTGGAATGTTGGGATAAAGACTTTGTTTTCTGGTAAGACGATGGGAGCCTCCAGTTGGGCGACATAGAAGGTCTTTCCTTTGTAGTCTTTGCTGGCATCGGGGATGAAAGTGCTCACTGAGCAAGCAGAGTCACGACGGGCTGCAGTTTCCGACTCGTATGTAGTCCAAATTTCGGCTTTTCCGGATTTGTCCTCGGGGTCTGGCCCTCCCACCTTGCGACTGACCAGTGTAAGCTGCTCACTATGTATTCCCTGAGAAGGATCCTGAAAGGTAGCTCGCTTGGTTGGGTATGATTGTCGGGCAGTACTGGCAAAATAAGTGTTGACCTTCAGTTTGCTGGCCAGATTGCCAAGTCGAGGCGGGGCAGCGTGCTTGTCCGCAGGGTCAAAGCGAAGCATAATCTTTGCGGTTGATGGCCTGCTGGAGTTCCCACAGGCATGCATACGGACTGCTGAAGGTTGGACGGTCTCCATGACGATCGTACCGGCCTTGCCTTGAAGCACGCCTTTCCTGATGACTTTCTCCTTGCGATAGCGATACTCGTCGTCATCGTCGCTAATGGGCAGTGGAGGCTGCTCTTGGATAATGGGCACGACCCGGACTTTTTTGCCATAATTTGCAAGTGTCTCACGCGTTCCCTCGTTCTCCTTGATGATCCGAACATGCACTCCATATCGCGTGCTTACCATGTCTGGTGCCAAGTCATCAAGAGGCCGTCCAGTTGCCGGGTCTTGACGATCGCATTCGCGATCACCCATCGTCGGAGGGAGCTGTAAGTGAGCCTCCCGGACGCCTGGAGCTTTGCAAGCATGTCCGCAGACCTTGGGTAGTAGTTGCTCGGGAATGACAAACAAGAAAGGGAACGTGTACGTCTTCTTGGCCTTGAGAACCCGATCTTCAGGATAAAGATCTTGCACCGACTTGTCCTGTAACTTCAGAAACTGATGGAATGCTTCGGATCGTCCTGAGACGGCCGCTGCTGCTGTCAGGCGCTCGACAGAAGTCTTGGACGTGCCGACAAACTCGATATCGATGTCATCAAAGCTGGTCCTCGTAGATGCTGTGATTGAAAGCACTCCTTCGATGCGATCCAAGGTGGTATATGTTGATTGCGGATCCTTGATGTCGATATGGATAGCGATCCTATGGCCGAGGCCTGCAGCCTTCCGGAGAGCGTCCATGTTTGCTGCATTTTCGGGGCTGAGGCGGCGAACGGTGGACGACATATCTACCTGCGCCGAAGTCGCGTACCACTGCAGTGACTCTCCCGACCCCCGTTACAAAGCAGCTGTGGACAGTGAGCTCGACGTGGCCAATCAGCTAGCTCTGCTCCAACGCCAATGATGCGGGGATGGAGCGACGTTCTTTGGTCCGGAAGGGCGCAATGCGTAGGTAATGAGCTGATCGCTGCACTCCTCTGGCCACGTGGTTGGAGCTCTAGTATCCCTTGTCGAATGATGGTTCCCGTATGGATGTGCTCGTCGAGGTCCCCGTGGTTTGTCTTGTGATGATGGTGGTGCTGGATGGACAAGGCAGGCGCAGGTAGCTTAATGCTGGTCCTGTAACTCCTGTTGATGAGTAGTAGCCTAGTAGGTACTATGTACTTGATTGACAGCTTGACGGTATTGATCGATCGTGCTGACTATCTCTACCTAGGGTATATATGCGAGCGTACCTGGTACGAGAGAGAGAGTCTCTTTATACTCACCGTGCCTGTTGAGCAATTAGGTACTGAGTCAACGGCTGGTGCATGGTTCCCCGTCGCCATCGTGAGCAGCAAAAATCGGCATGCAACAGGAATTTGATACCTGATCCGGACTGCGAGTGGAACAGCGTCCAGAAGTCGAGAGAAACAATCGACGAGGCGACCCACATGGAATATTCTTCTCACCTCTCCCTTCAGCCAATCAGCGACCAGCGGGATCGGGAGCCGCCACGTGGGGGGAAGCGACTCCGCATCCACCGATCTTTGATCCGCACCGCTCCCTTATCGCGAATTGCCCCCCCAGCACTGCACGCGCTGATAGCATCGCAGCTGGGACATATGAGCTTGTCTGGAGCCGCATGCACTTTTGCGGCTCTGCAGCTTCAATTTGGCGGCTGCTTTCGTCGTTGTTTTTGTACGCTTCTCTGCCATTTTGGAAAAAACTAGGTTGGCGTGGCAGACCTTTCACAAGCCCTTCCAGTGCCGGTGCCGCGCCATTGTCAGCTCTGTTGCGTGTCATTACGCCATGCGCGAATCCTGATCAGGAAACAGAGTCCATAGACGAGGACAAGCCATTGTTCTTGTGTGTCATGATACTACCACAACACGAACCACATCCTAGGACCACGCACGAATTTTCTGATTTTCTGCAATTTTTCTCAGCCACGTGTCGCAGTGCTGAACACCATCTGGCATCGTTCGTCTGCGATTACCCAGTCAGTGCAGATGTCGCACAACGCCAAGCTTCATATGTTCTTGTTGGGTAATTCGAGCTGCACGGAGTTCGACTTTGGTTATTCATCGTCATCAGACATCTCACCGTTCATGCATCCGCCGGGGAGCCACCACAGCCCGGTGACCGGACACTGCTCACTGCTTGGACGTCGTCGATGGACAGCACCGCAGTCACACATGCTCGCGACTGATCCACATCTGCCATACCTGACTCAGCAGTTGTGGCCGCCCAGACATGATGAGGTGCACCTTCCTGTTTACGCATGGATCGCGCGACCCGTGTGATTCGTGGACAGCTGCCACCTCCTAGGACGACAGCACGCCATCTCGCAAATCCGGGGACACAGTGGAGAGGCAACGCAATGTAATCAATATCGATAAGGTAACGAGACATAACCCAGTATGCGGGCTCCCTGCCTCCCCGTGTCGAGACCAAGTGGTTCGCGTGTCGCCTACGTGTTGATCTCGAGCTCGCTGTCAAATTGACCGCCAAGTTCAAGAGCTTGAAGAAGCTTAAGGGAACCTGGAATGAAAAGAAGCTGAAAGGTATTGAAATTTTGTCTTGCCTCCAGTTCTAGCTTCTTTGCTCGGCACAAGGCAGGCACGTTCACCATCAGACATCGAACTTGCTCTTCTCACAACCAGTACTTCATGACTTAGCTATAAGCGACGAACAGCTACAGACTTGATGTTTCCTGCTGCGGGTTGAGGATATGAGCGCTCGAGGCCCTACCAGGTAGGTACTTGCCTCCGTATTGATTCGCACATGTCTTGAGGTACAGTCAAGTGCAGGACCCTTGGACGCAGGGCGGTCCTGTACCACCACGGTAGACGCCAAGTGTGTTGGGCACAGCTTATACGCATCTCTTTCGGGGCTTACAAACAGCTTAGATAAAGTGGTCATTGACGATCTCAGCAACCCTCGGGCCTCAAGCAATTCTCGAGAGTCCAGTACATTAACGACCCGATTGAGAATACATGCAGGATATAATGCAAAGGCACCAACATTTTCCACTTCCCGGACAACGATTGACCAGAGAGATCACACTTTGACTATTGTGTTTCTCGTTTGAAACGGTCTGCAATGAGAAAGCAACGCGGCGTTGGCGGTAAGACGCAGCTGGAGGATTCGAAGCGGGGTTCTCACCGGTCGGCGCATGCTACTTCCTACAACATCGGCCACATGCCGTATCGTGACTGGCGCGAACGAGGGTCGAGTGCTCTCACGCACAATCAGTCAGCATGTGTGGCATGTACACCTCATCTAGGTACTTTTTCTCATCAGATGTGGCTACTGTTTTGTAATCACACAGTCCACAGTCTAAGGTACATGTAGCCTCTGGCGTGTTGAGAAGTGATGTCGGTTTCTTGCGCCTCGGAGTAGTACCAAGCGGCTGTTAGCGCAACATCATATCCATGCCGCTGGACACACAATGTGCACTGCGCTGTGCTAATAAGCGATACGGCACTGGCGGGAGGCTATGGCCCATGGCTGTTGGGTTTTTGGAGCCTGCTGCAGCGACGCAAATAAACAAGGTATACCAACTGCCCAGACGAGAACCGATCATCGTGTGGCGCACCGTGGCAGGGCACAAGCCGGCATAGTCGACGGCATGTCCCACCGAGAGATGGAAAGAAGCCTCTCGCATCCTTCATCTGGGAAGAAGCACGAGCCTAGTCGCCTGCTGAACGTGCCGATTTCATTTGTCACGTGTCGATCACGCTCGTGGTGTCTTGTCGTTGATGCTCGGCATATTGAGAAAGTGAGGTGATAGCACTATTGGAAGGCTCAACCTGGCCCGGCCTGGAGCTGAGCTGATGACCGGTCAGGATCGCTGGTCCTGCGCAGTGCGCACAGGACGGGCGGAGGCTGCCGGGTTCAACCGATTTGGCGGTGTATGGTATGCGGCGAGCTGGTGTTGTAGAAGTCTAAGTCGGTCGTGAGAAGTTGAGAACAAACGACAGGACAGACAGCCATTGCACGGCACCTGAGGACCAGGAAGAGAAAGGAAAAAATGTGACGCGACGAAGCGTGAAGTCGAATAGTCACACGGAGGTGGTGTGTGATTGGACAAGAAATTCAGCACGGCGGCTATTTAGCTGCCCACCACAAACTCTAGAGGAGAACTAGTCTAGTCTGCCGTGCTGTATCGCATCCTTGGATCCTCCCTCCACGCTATCAACAACCTAATAGGGCCTCCTTCGCTTCGGATAGAGGCAGTTGTTGGTCGCAAAGAGCTCAAGTAGAGTCTGCGACCGGTGAAACGCGACACATTCGCACCTCAGCCGTGGGACATCCCACAATTCATGCCACCGTCCTACGCCTACTGCACCTTGAAACTACCTCCTACCTAGCCTAGCCCAGGTAGATCTACATACTCCTCCCGGAAGACACTCACACTCTCACACTCTCATTACACGACCAACGCCTTCCGAAGCTCCTCCAGGCTCGAGCCGGCATTGAACGCCCACAGCCGGGACGCGTCTTTCTCGGTCGCTCCTGCATGCAACTCGTCTGCTGGTGGGCCATAGCTTCGTGGATCCCGCCTTGGTGTCAGTCGTGCCTCTACGCCGCAGCACTTCATCCGTGCTGCTCCTCGAGTAGACGTCTGGATACCTACCGTACCCACCTTACCCATACCTATGCCACTGCTGGGCCAGTGTGACATCTTCTCTTCTACAGCGGCGACGACGCTGGATGGGACACCTCCCTTCACTACGTGCAGCTGCAGTGGGAACGCTTGATCGGGACATTGTTGCGGCTGTGCAGTGTCGTGCCGCCAGGCGGCCTCAAGAGCGCTGAGGCAGTCCGTGTCTAGTACCCACAGAGAGGTCCTGAAGACTGCAGGCAGCATAATGCAGGATCTATAATTTGCTCTCATCCTTTTGTGCTGGACACCACCAGCTCGATACAGCTCAGCTGCCTGCGAAAACGGCCCCACGTTCGACAACAGTCCCAAGTGTTGATATGGCTCTGGAGAGCCCAATGATGCCCATATCCTCTCCAACCGCGGCTGGACTGGCATCAGCGTTCAGTCCTTACTCGGAATCGCCCAACTCTCCGGCGCGCTTCAATACTTTTCCGAGCGGCGGCAACTACAGCAATCGGTCCGTACCACTACGAATTCGGAACCATGTGAAGTGAAACACTGATTTGTTGCATAGCTCTTCGGGCCCGACCGACTCCCTCGCACCACCACCACCTAGCCCATACCCTCAGCAAATCGAGCCGTCGCCCGTAGACTCAAATGGTACCGAAGGTACAGACATAGACGAGGCTGCGCAAGAGCACGAAGACGATGCAGGGGATGAAGGGGATGTACTATCGCCGTCACCTGCGTCCAGTAGCGACGCTTTCGGGTTGCAGTCGCCAGATAACGAGGTCGGCATTCCTGTAAGCGTGAAGAGTGTAGAAATACCTTACGGCATACGTGGTACGATTCCGGATCCAGTGCTGACTGCAGTAGGACCTCCCGCCTAAGATTGTGACTTCTCTACCTCGATCACTTCTATCAGACTCGACCGATAATGACCCTCAGTCTGTAATTCATATTCCCACTGGCTTCAAGGACTTCGAAGGAGCGCATAGACAAGTCGCTTCTCCTGAGCGCAACCCTCGCTTAGCTTCGCCCAGTACGCCAGAAGCATCGGTCATGAGCCCATCAGAGCAGGTAAGTCTATCATTGAGATTAGATGAGTAGAGGTAATTGAGCCAACATCCTGAAGCAACAGCTGTCCACCGTTTCGCCAGTCAACCCTGAAACCTCACAATCTGCCGAACGTCTCACTCCTCGTGCTCATGCGAACCAGGAGTTGGACGAAGAAGCGAAGCGGAAATGTCGGCGAACCTCGAGTCTAGAAGGTCTGCTTCCCGGGTTTGACGCTTACTTTCAGCAGCATCTGACTGTGCATGTAGACATTCCCGAGGGAATCTTAGACGAGCGTTCAGTTGCCGATGATGACCATGATGGCGGCGGTTCTAGTCGTCCAACCACTGCTGGACTGGTTGGCGGCGAAAGGATGGAAGGTCCCTTGGAGCAAGCTCACGATGAAATCACTGCTTTGCGTGCGGCATTGGGCGAATGCTGGACACTATGCAACACTCTGGCGAATCTTTCTTCAAGTCATAGACAACGTACATTCAAGTTTCGAGGTCAGACAGAAGTCCAGCAGCATGCATGGCAGAGCTGCTGGCGGTTATGCCAACAACTGTACGACAACAAGGACGAAGACCACACCGCACAAGTCATTCCTACACTAGAATTGTGTCGTGACTTCTGTCAGTCACTCTTCGATGCGAGGGCGAGAGTCGACGAGGCGACCGACTCCGTCTTGAGGGTCAGCTTCGAGCTGAACAACCACCTTTACAACATCAACTCCAATGACATACCCAATGCCTTCGTCGAGCGGACGCTAGACTTCTACATCACGCTTTGCCACAGGCTCATGAAGATGCCAACCTCTTTACCACGAGAGACAGACTCCCTTCTTCGTGCCTGCTGGTCACTAGCAGAAATGCTTTTCAATCTCCGCCACAGCAGCCGAGAAGCAAAGCAAGCAGATGAAGAGCTTCTGGGCTCTGCAGTACAGGCCTGCTGGGAGCTTTGTGACCTGTTCCGTGAAGGATGGACCCAGATCCGACCGGACAGAGGCACCCCACGACCACATCAGTCGACATTTGGCGCACCATCTCAGGCATCGTTGAACTCCAGCTCGACGACGCTTGGCTCGGCCGGCCGTTCAACATCAAGCACAGTCAGCAATCGCAAATACCACGAAGCACAACCACATTTGCCACCGGAAACTCCAGTCACTGTCTTTGACGAAACTTCCACGGCAAACTCATCGCCAGACTCCGTGATTATGCCCAACATCTTGGTTTTGGGCCCCTCAAGCTCTCATGGCTCAAATCGAGGTGCACCACACCACGATCGCTGGACGTCTAACGCCTCTGTTCTGAGCGACTACTCCGAGTCGGCAGCCTCGGGCGCTTCACGGCGCTCTTCCTCGACAGCAAGCGCTGGTGGCGAAGAAGTTCATCTGGCCCGCTTACGTGCCCTTTTATTGAAAGCGGGCATCAACACGGGATATGTACGTACATCAGGACAACAACTTCCAGCGTATGTCAAAGCTCTCCCGGACTCTGCATTCGGAATATTGCCATGGCAGATGAAAGTTCTTGGTTTCTATAAGAAATTGGTGACAAACGACAAGTCACTGAAGAACGCGCATACCATGGCGAGTAGAAGAATTGGTGCCGCGGACGTCGCGAGAAGTGTCCGATGGCTTGGCGATGGCGAACAGTGGGCGTGGATGAGAGATTTGTTTCGAATTGTGTTTGGCTTTGGTGTTGACGAGGCCGAGAGGAGAGGTGGGAGCTTCGTGACCTGACACATGTCTGGAGTGCCGTCAACACAAGTACACACGGGGCGACCAAGTCTCCAGTGGGAAACATCCTCCCAGTGGTGCATAGGTATTCGTCAAGTGGAGGAGAGCGGCTGCTGTTGTGGCAGAATGATGGAAGTTGCTATCACGATCCAGCCTATCAAAGGCAATAGGACTAAGGAGCCTCCAGGCCTGCCGGGTCGAGTCATGTGGACATCAGAACTCCTCGGCCATTCAGTACGAGGTGTTCCCGAGTAGCACTTTATGCCGAACAAGTCGCTTGCGAAAAAAGGCAAAGACGATCATCGAATAGCCTGCTTGCATGAGTGGGACGAGAATGAAGCAAACAGGACCTTGGATACCTGCCAGAATGGGAAATCTGGGACGTAACAGGAAGAAGACTCGTGGAAGAGAGAGGGGCAAGATCAACGGGATAGATTGATTGCCCATACACACACACACACACACACACACACACACACACACAGCAATAGGCTCCCATCCGTGAAATCGGCAGAAGACTTTACCTGCTTCTTGAAGATGCAGAAGCCACGCTTACTTTACATGAGCCACATCAACGAGCACGCGCGTGGCTCTGAATGGGAAACACGCAACAGACAATGTGCAAGAGACATGATATCCCCTATTTGTTTTATCTCATCGTTTTCTATCTTTACACATCTCTCAATCTTTGAATGAGAACCGGGAGCGCAACTGCATAGCGCTCATCCATTAGTTCCCACTTGCACCAACGTGTATCTTGTGCGTGAAGCTGTCTTGTGGAAAAGCCACAATGTGTGGTTGGTTCCAGCCGCGCGGATACTTGCAAACAGTGCTGCTATTGAGAACATTAATGCACCTGCCTAGGTATCCCAAGTCTATGAAATAGTCAATGCCAGTCAATGCTGGTGCTGAGCTATTTCGCGCGGGGGCGTTGTTGTTGTTATTTGTTGTTGTTGTTTTCTTCTTTTGGTCTGAGTTGGCAAAGGCCATGATGAATGATGATGGCATAGAGCCAGGCAAGTCCAGGTTTTACACCGTGATGATGTGTGCCGAGTGAACAGCATACCATCATATGCATCTACCACTCAAACTCGCCCATGCCCTTGTGAAAAACCCACTCCTTGCCAGAGACACTCATGACGCCGTCCTTGAGGGTGCACTTCCATTTGTTCTTGACGCGCTGGACTTTATCATAAGTGCACAGGATGGTGTCGATTGTCTCGTCATCTTCGTCGCCCATAGCGCCTTGACCGTCATCGTCATCGTCATCTAAGTCTGAGTTGATGGCATCAGGGTCATCTTCGTCCTTGAGCTTTGGCTTCTCATCATCGTCGTCATCGTCCTCATCAACGCCATCCATTTGTGAGATGGAAGAGCCAAGAGCAGGAGTTGAAGGTGATCCTATCGCTTTCGGAGGTGCTGTGCGGCGCTTCTGCTTGTTCTGCAATCGCGATGAAGGATGGTCACGGAGTGGAAGCATCAATCCGCTTTGTAAATCTGCCGAGAGTCTCATAATTTGATCGCGCATCAGGCTGTCAGATTGACCACCATGCTGAGCATGAGCAGCTCGCCTCTCAGCCAACATGGCCTTCCACTGAGCAAGATCTTCTTCTTCTTCTCCTTCATCGGCGCCATCAGTTTGGCTGTAGTGCGGATGCTGAAAGCCGCCTTGCTGCACCTGCGGGCTCTCGTTCTCGACTTTTATGCGAGGTTGAGCCTGTTGCTGCTGCTGCTGCTGTAACTGATGCTGTTGACGTGCCATAGCAGCTTGTTGCTGTTGCTGGAACTGCTGTTGTGCCGCAGCTGGACTGCCCTGTGGTAGTTGGAGGCCTTGTGGTGGCTTCGGTTGCTGCTGAAGGGGTAATGCCAGACCTCCACGTTGCATAGCAGCAAGGGATGGTGCTGCTGCGTTGCCGAATTGCTGCTGCACGAGCTGTTGAGCACGAGCTGCGCCTCCCTGTACGGCGATGTGCTGGCCGTTATTCTGGGCATAGTTTCCAGTAGGAAGGCCGTGATACTGATGCTCTTGACCAGGCTCCGCCTTGATCCGCTGGCCATTTGCAGCAGTCTGAGAATGGTCATAGCTGCCGGCATACGGACTGGCAGGGAGTCCACTGGCGCTGCTCGCCGGCGCCGACGGAGCAACCTGAGGTGGTGGTGGCGCTTGAGCAGGTTTGGGGTCCCAAGGCATCTGTGCGACGCCGCGGGCTGAGAGCTTGTTCTGCCATTCCTGCGTGTGTGTTAGCAAAGCTCGGTAGCCAACTAAGCGAGCAGAGGCAAATAAGTGCTGAGTGGGTGAGTGAATGAGGGAGCGAGCGAGCGCAGAGGCTTTCACGTGATTGTCTGAAAGTAGTCAAGCGTATTCCAGTGTGGGGGGGCTTAGCGGGATGGTGTCGTATAAAGCGGCTGACGCAGAGGCGCCCGGTCCAGGAATCTGCGATCCTCAAAGGTTCCGCCGTCGCTCCCTGAAGCGCTCGCTCGCTCGCTCCTCAGCTGCGCCCGCAGGCTGTTGCTGAGTATAAGAAGAGATGGATATGTCGCGACCAGTCTGCCCTCCCTCCCAGGTATTCGAGTCGCTCTTCGGAGATGGTCACGGTCGACTCCTTGCTGCCGCCGGCGCCGTCGCCGTCGCCGTCGTCTTGTCCATGTCGCCGACAAAGTGGTGAAGAAAGGCGGAGAAGGCACATACCTGCTGCAATTCGCCCAGTGTCTGCGAGCCAACACCGCTCTCCTCGAAATCGCCCTGCGATGCCGCGACGACCTCTTCGATGACCTTGAGGTAGACGTCGCCCTGTTATCGCCGTTAGCTTCGACGGGTCTCGCTGGCCGTCCGAATGCGCCCGCCGGGACGACTCACCACCAGCGTGTTCGTCATGATGGCGGTGGTTGGCGTGTGGCTGCCTTGGTGCGCCGGTACAATGGACGCAGAAGCGAGGCAATGCTGTCGCGAGGAAAAAGAATATGGCAGGCCGGCCGCACGCAATCTAGGCGCAACGATGCCTTGCTTTCGATGGCACCGGTTGTTGCGGGGGTCGGAGGGGAGGGAGGGTGTTACGACGTCTCTGGCGCGGCGGGGAGGTGAGTAATGAGTGGAATATGCCTTCTATCTCTCGACACTATCCTGTCCAGACACCTGTGCATGCGTGTTGAGGTGTCGTCGCTGCTCTGCCCTTGTCTTTGGGTTCTGCGCGGCGGTGATGTATTTGGCAGCGTTGCCAGAGGGAGCTTATATACTGTGGACCCTTCGGCTTCGTCAGCAACGCGGTTGCAGCCGCCTACCACGACTCGCGCCCGCTCGCTCACCCATTCACTCACTCGACTACCTTACCTCCCACTCTCTCCCTCACTATTGTACTGTCTCTCTCACCACTGTCGCTCACCACTCCCTCCCTCACCGCTCCCTTTCTCCCTTCCTCCCTTCCTCACTGCTTCCCTCTCTCTCTGACACTCAATAACCACCTTACTTCCTCATCCAACCCTCCTTACCCACATCACTGGCTTCCTCTCTCCCTCACTCAACAACTACCTCACTCCCTCACCGCTCCCTCACTGCACTCCCTCGCTCAGTAACGCCCTCGCCCACTCCACAGCTTCGATTGTTCATACAGTCACATCACAGCCACCGCTTGAATCTCACTTTCCGCATCCGTTTTGCTCTCCTTAGTACCCGCCAGTTCGAAACTCTTATTGCCAATGCTTTGTATGCATGCGATTCTCTGCGGCGATCATGTTCACACATAATAACACTTGAGGTCCTGCTCTTCGATATGAGAGTGTAGGTATCCCAGAAGCTGGTCGACTTGCTCAACAAAGCTTCCAATACCTTGAAGAAGCTGGCCAGCTGTCACATGGTCACTGGCACTCTAGCTCAAGTCGGCTCGGGGGTTTGCGGGATACTGTGCAGCTCGCAAAGAAACCATGTGAACGGTGTTGGCGTGCGGACGAGGGGGCCATTCGTAGCCACTTGATCTGGAAGGTAGGTAGCTAAGGTATACCGTGTAGTGAACGGCAAAACACTACTCGTTGATGGTTCTTAAAGTTACTATCGAGCAGTTGGCGACGCTTAGACCTCGATGGCATTTTTAGCATGGTTTTGGTTGGTGCAAGGGGATCGGAAGTGTACGTGCAAGAATAGTGGGAAGAACAGGGCTCCCATGTCGCGATGGAGGTCGGCTGGACTCTGGAGGGCTCTTTTCGTACATCGACAACGGACAGATCCTAAAATACCATCTCCAACAACAGTACAGTAGCAAAGGCCACATGATTGATGCAGACCAAAAATGGCAACGCACCAAGCATGGCTGCACAGCCGAGCACGCCGAAGAGGACAGAGATAGTGGGTTGTTCCAAGAATGGACTCAAAGAAGGTCTGGTACAACAAAGTACATATGACAGATATAAGAAAGAGGTCCAAGTACAGTGTCAGGTATCTCATCATCACACAGCAACATAGCACAAAGGGAAGAAGAAGAAGAAAAAAGCTGAAGACTTCTTCTCGCATCGCTTCCTCGTCTCGACAAATTCTAAACACAAGTTACACAACAACAATCCAAGAACATCGAACCTACACTACCCACACATATACCACCAAAGAAAGAGCCCAAATCAACGACCAACAGCAAAAATGTATCTCTCATCCATCTACTTCCTCACAACCACCCTCCTCCTCACCCTCACCTCCGCGTCTCCCCTCCCCAACCCCACCTCCAATCTCATCAAACGAGCCACCAACGAAATCTCCCTCACATTCATCGGAGGTCCCGCAAGTTACACTCTCACCATTCCCAACGACAACACCTGGCATCCCACCACCGACGAGGAGCTCAACATTTCCAAAATCAAATCTTCCTCGGATATTGATGTGCTCCAGTCATGTCAGTTTCAAACTCACGACCCGCCTGCTGTGCCTGCTACGGCGACGTATGTGCTGAGTGCCGATGACGGGGCGGTGGATGTGGGGCCGCCGCAGCCGATTTTGGCGGTGAAGTGTTTGGCTGGTTAGGGGTAGATGGGAAGGGTGATGGGATGAGAATTGTATGTGGGTTATGAAGGATGGGTGCGTGGCGTATTCTCAGAGGGCATCGTGGGCGCTGGGGGTTGGGTGGTTGGCGTGCAAAGGATATATGAGGCGTCGGACTGCTAGGCAAGGAATCAGGCTATTTGTGATATGAATGAATGTTGAGAGGATTGATGAAATGGGGTATGATGTTATTGAAATGTATTGCAAATGTAGCAATCGGCCGGTGATCGGAACACTCACTTTAGTTACAGTAATAATATAGAGACATGAACATAAAAAGCAAATCTAGGTCACTATATATGCCGTATTCCAGTAGATAGTGTTGGACTGAGAAAGGCCACTATACAGCAAACATAGAGAGCTCTAGAAAGTTATCTGCCGTATAGGTACATATATGTACACTGTGTACCACTTAGTTGTTGTGGATTTCGCTCTGTGATGGCCTCCAAATGCTGCAGACCGCCTCGCTGTATACGACACCGCGGGAGGATTGTCATGATATAACATATAGATAACATTAAGATTCGTTTCGGTGGAGTTGCGACCTCGACTTGAACAGATTGTTTGTTAGCCTTAGTTTCAAAGGCTATCGCAATCCTCGACCAGCTCGAGAGGTCGTTTATTTTGGGCTACCATTCGAGCAATAGAAGGTGGGTATCGCAACGGAACAGCATTGTAGGCCTTCCCTGGGGCTCGCCATGTAGTGCAGCCGTCATGGTACATCAGGGCGCGACTGTGTTTGGCTCTCGGAGCAAGCGACAGGAGCGCAGCATTGACAGTGAAAGGGAGACGACCTTTCATCCGTGCTTGGTCAGCCTCATGAACTGCTCAACCGAGACAACTTCAAACCCTCTTCTCTTCATCTCCGGCAGCACTTTCTTCAGCATAGGTACAGTCCAAGACCTCCGATCATGACAGATGATCACAGCCCCGGGTCGCATCATACTCAGAATATGCCAAGCATTGATTCTCCAAAAGCTGATGAACGGATCATGTGGATAGATGCCACCCAGAATAGTTTTATGGCCAGCCATAGTCACAACATCCAGAATCCTTTGGCTGAATACGCCACTTCCAGGTCTGAACAGACGCGTTCCAGGTCGCTGCCGCTCGGCAGTCTTGTACGCAGTCTCGATGTAATCATCTACCTGATGGATCTGTTCCTCGAGGGTGCTGGCTGGTAGTTGAATGCTGGGCTCATCGTGCATTGCATGATTGCCCAATTCACTGCCAGCATTCACAATATCGACCAAGATATGTTCGTTGCCAGGAACCTGGCCGCCGATGACGAAGAAGGTTGCAGATGCGGCATTCTCTTTCAGAATGTCCAGAATTTGAGTTGTGTATGGACTCGGCGCGTCATCAATGGTAAGGGCTATGATCTTCTTGTCGGTATCGACCTGGAACAACACATCCGGAAAGCGTTTCTGAAAGTAGTTGATGACCAGTTTGGGAGGCTTATAGATGGTGTAGAGGGGGATGACAACCAGGAGAAGCACAATCACGAGGCTGGTTTGGGTGGCCATACGCGTCCGACGCGCTCTTCTTCGTGGGCAGCAGCGTCCAGGGAGGCGCAAGAAGGGGGAGAACAGCGGCATCACCGCATCTTCTCTGCTCTGGTCGTGTTGTCAGCTGGAATCCCTCGGCCAATGTCCAATTGAGGAAGGATGAAGTTGAAGTTGAAGGTGAAGTTGACGCGCTGGCCAATGAATGGAACAAGGGCAGGCGGAAGATAGTTCTAGTTGTAGTTCGCGTGCCGAATGCCCCACTATAACCACCCACCTCAGTCCATGGAGCGTGACCATTGCAAGGTACCTGGTATATTTCAGAGTGCAGAGTGGGTAGACCTGAGGGAGTCAGACTTCTTCCCATAACTTGCATGTTTGCTGCTCGTCTTCCACCACTTTCTCCCCTCCGCTCTGTCTGCACTCGTCCACTCATACACCGACACAACCACACAGCGCCAGCGCCAGCAACACCAAGAACCGCTCCAGCCCCCGTCTGGCCATACATCTACCGCCAGACACCCTCGCCCAAAATGGCTCCGCAGCTCGACAAGTTCTACCAGAGCGTCGACGCTCTCGCCGAGCCCTTCATCGAGCGCCTCCGCCAGGCCGTCGCGATCCCATCCATCTCGGCCGAGGACGAGCGCCGGCCCGATGTGATCAAGATGGGCCACTGGCTGAAGTCGCAGTTGGAGGCACTGGGAGCACACATGGAGGCCCGCGAGCTGGGCCCACAGCCGCACAAGGAGCATCTGACGCTGCCGCCGGCCGTCATTGGTCGCTATCCTGCCCAGAAGGACCCGAGCAAGAGGACCATCTTGGTCTACGGACATTACGACGTGCAGCCTGCCAACCTCTCCGATGGCTGGGCCACCGAGCCCTTCGAGCTGACGGTGGATGGTAAGGGCCGCATGTACGGACGTGGCAGCACCGACGACAAGGGTCCTGTGCTGGGCTGGTTAAATGTCATCGAGTCGCACAAGAAAGCTGGCATCGACTTCCCTGTCAATCTGCTCATGTGTTTCGAGGGCATGGAGGAGTATGGCTCCGAAGGCCTGGACGACTTCATTATCGCCGAGTGCAAGCCCGGCAAGTTCTTCGAAGATGCCGACGCCGTGTGCATCTCCGACAACTACTGGCTGGGTACCGAGAAGCCGTGTCTGACGTACGGCCTGCGAGGCTGCAGCTACTACTCCATCGAGATCAGCGGGCCTGGCCAAGACCTGCACTCAGGAGTGTTTGGCGGGACCGCACAGGAACCAATGACGGATCTCGTGCGCGTCATGGGCAGTCTCGTCGACACCGATGGCAAGATCCAGATTGAGGGCATTAAGGACCTGGTCGCCCCACTTACCAAAGAAGAAGAGAGCCTGTACAAGGACATCGCCTTCACCATGGACAACCTGTACGAATCGCTCGGCAGCAACACGGGTATCTATCCGGACAAAGAGTCAACTCTCATGGGCCGCTGGAGGTACCCTTCACTCTCGCTGCATGGTATCGAGGGTGCCTTTTCTGCCCCTGGAGCAAAGACCGTCATCCCAGCCAAGGTGATTGGCAAGTTCTCCATCCGGACCGTTCCTAACATGGAGCCAGAACAAGTTGACAAGCTCGTGTACGCTCACGTAGACAAGGTTTTCAAGTCCTTGAAGTCCAAGAACAAAATCAACTGCTTCCTGCAACATGCTGGCAAGTGGTGGGTTGCCTCACCTAAGCATTGGAACTTCACCGCTGCTGCCAAGGCTGTTGAAGATGTCTGGGGCACCAAGCCAGACTTGACGAGGGAAGGTGGCAGCATTCCTGTCACCCTGACCTTTGAGCAAGCCACAGGCAAGAATGTTTTGCTTTTGCCCATGGGAAGCTCGACTGATGCAGCTCATTCAATCAACGAGAAGCTTGATCGTCGCAACTATATTGAGGGCATCAAGCTTCTTGGTTCTTACCTCCATTGTAAGTGCCTACGACACAGCATTGACTACCTCTGCTAACTCGTTCACAGATGTGGCGGAAGAGCCAATGAAGGGATAGTCTGCTACTGTTTGATATAACAGTGAAGACCGCCCGACCACACAGGCATTCGCAGCAGGCAGTCCTTGAATGCTGTTTCCTAGAATGCATTGTGAACCCCAAGCTTTCACTCACCTCACCACACCACAGCAAAGTGGCAGCGTGAAGGTGGCACTCTTCAACACAAGTGTGATTGGACACACACATGCCCTCCGCACCATACTCCATATCCATATGCAGGGGATGGTGACCAGCGCCACGATGTCAACGAAGTCAACGTAGACCAGAACGATATCACATGTCCAATCGAGGACCTGCCATTGCATATCGGTCTCCACACTTCTCATGCCTCCCATTGCCTCTGAAATCTCAGAATTGCGTTGTTCAATTAGCCGCTAACAGAGTCTAAGTACATTCGCCAGTCAGTCGCTTGTATCCTTGTGGTTGATGCCTCGCCTTATCTTACCTACATTAAAGTCATGAAAGGCCTTATGAGTCGAATGCAATCTGGATGCTTACGATACCATCATGTATGGTGGGTGGCCAATGGTGACCAATCCAATGTACAATAGAACTGTATTACACTATGCAGGAACCTCGTCCGAATGTCCACTAGGACATATCCTATCATGTGTCCGATCATCATGCATCAGACATGCTGAACATCGCCTACTATGCTGATATATATATACAAGTAGGCAGGTAGTGATGAGTAAGGTCATGTGTGTAGGCTTACTGCATCAAAAGAAAGAAGCATCCAAAGCATCTCTTTCCATCTCTGCTCATCCCACTAATTGATTACTTCCCTTTGCCACACACGCAACGTTTAAGCCTCAATCGTCGTGTCGAGAACGCTGACGGACACGGGAACGTTCTTGAGCACATTCGTCACAGCAACTTCCACACCCTCAACAACATTGTCGAGATCGGTGATGAAAGTGGTGATTGCCACGGAAAGTTGAGGAATAGAGTCGCCGAGTTCAACTATTCCGAAGTGAATTAGCTCATCAACCATTCAATCAAAGTGTTCTACACCCGTGCGAGATGATTAATAGGACTGAAAGGTACTCACCACCAGGAACAACCTTCGAAACCTCTCCCACGGTGCTAGTGATTTCCGAAACCATAGCAGTAGCATAGCCAGTCACACCGGAAATATCCGCGACCGACTGGCGTTTTCCAACCACAGGCAAGTCCTCGACGAGGGACTCCGTGTCGAGGAGCGATTCCAAGTCGAGAGGTGCGGAAACCAAGTCGCGAGCCTCCACCACAGCAGAAAGAGGAAGGAGGTCTTTGGTGAGCTCTTCCGTGTTGACGCCAACAACAGAGTCCACGTCCGCAACGAGACGCTTCAGAATTGCAGATTCCAAGGAGGAGACGGCTGGTACACCCTCTGTCGCACTCGTCACAACTTCTAGCACACGATCCACGTCGTCCACCACGGTCAAATCCGACGTGACATCGAGTACGGAGTCGAGAATTTTCACGATGCTGGCAATTTCTCCTTTGACGGTTTCTTGCACGCTTGCGACGTCGATGCCTGCGGCCGAGACGCCTTCGACGTGGATTGCGTCGAGAGTCGAGTTGATGGCTGAGGTGTATTGCGTAACTTGCTTGTAGGTGGCTTGTACGATTTGGAGGGTGTTTTCGACTTGGCGTTTGGCAGGGCTGAGGACGGGGAGGGCAAGGGTGCTGGTGGTGGTGGCAAGGGCGCCAAGGGTGAGGAGGTTGAAATGCATTTTCTTTTTTTCTTCTTCGTTCTTTTCTTGTGTGGTTGGTTGGTTGGTTCTTTCTTGCTCCGAAGAGAGTGACTAAAGGTGAGTTTTGGGGAGAAACGAGTGTGGAAACGGGCAAGAGAGCGTGGTGAAAAGGAGAGAAGAGTGTGTGTGATACAGAACGGAAAAAGGAAAAGAAAAAGAGGAGAGTGTTCACCAACGAGGTTCTTGTAGGTGTTTTCTTGGCCTCCTGATCTACTCACAAGACGACGCTACAACTGCGGTGTGACAAGCGATGCACACTGCACAGGTCCTTTCAAGCGAGGATTGATGTTTGAATCAATACCTCTGGCGCTAGAAAGTCTTTGCACATGCTAGAGAAAAGGCTTGAACGTCTGCGGTGCCGGCGTTGCTACCTGAGCCAGTGCTGTTGCACCGATGCTGGTGGATTGTGCAGGCAAGCGATCTCCATACCTGTTGCCCATATCCATCTCCCGTCACTCACTAACCATGGGAATTCTGCGGTGATGGTGGACGCCATCGATTTTTGGGAAGGAGCTCAAACAGGGGCACCTGGGGGGATCGGTGAGGAGGGTTCTTGTGCGCGATGGAGAGCTGCAATAATGCCATCTAGCGAGGGATTGGGAGCAGTAGCTCTGGCCAAGCGACAAGGGAGTTGTAGGACGTGCGGCGTGTATCTTCGATGACGCTATACGTTCATTTTCAGGAGAACTACCTGTACCTCCTAGGAGCTCGCGGGTCCTCATATCAAACAGACGATCTTATACCACTACAGGCAGAGCAAGTAAGCAGACAGACTCTCTCGGGGTAGAAAGCTTTCATACCTTACCTTGCCTCTTCTCGGCAGCCACATGAAGTCGTCGTAATGTGTGAAAGAGCTCCACGGCATAAAACCAATTCCTAGTATCGCTCACATTTCATGAAGTGACATCGCTGGTCATCGGCTGCACTGCGGCTTACGTTGTTGTAGTAATTTCGGCATCCCACATCGCTCGGTAAAGTACCCCTTGCTACCGGGAAATGGGAGGTGGAGATCCTGAGATTCCACGTCTTGGCTGGTTATGAAAGTCGAGAGAGCGGCGAGTAGAACTAGGAGGTGGCACTCTCACCAATGGTCAATATCACCTATCTGCCTCACATCCCAACAGTGCATCTATACCGCTTCACGCTCCCAATCTGTCCACTCTCTCCGCCTTGCGGGAAACTTGGCATGACCTTGGCTCAATACACAATTCATCATCGCCCAGCTCGCGAGTGCGTCATCATCGCGACGTGGTTGATGGTAGTGCATATGTGGTTGGAGATCGCAATGTTGAAAGACTGTGTTAGTGACGGTGCCAGCTGGCGGACTGTGAACGGACGTCGGCTCGGTAGCGACGCCCGTGCAAGTCATGATCACAGCGTTCTATAGAATTTTTTTTGATCCTTGTCCCAGTGAGTGATCAGTGACCAGTGTTTGAGAAACACAAGAGTAATAATATTCATGGGCTGCTGCAGCGGGAATCTACAACGAGCACAGCAGACATCATCACATATGGGCATTTCATCGTCGTCATCATCATCATGTTCGTTCATTACCGCAGCTTCAACCCCATGGAAAAGCACTGCCTCGCAGAACCTTTCTCAGCTGCTCTTCACATCCAAGCAGTCCATCTCGTAGCTTTTTCGGCACAGTCGTCGTCTTCCGCTTCGACGACAACCATTCCGCCATGCGGACGCTTTTCTGCCCATCGGCATCATAGTGCTCCGCCTCGACACGTTCCAGTGGTGCTGGGAATGACCTTGCGCCTGCACTGGGCGATAACATGATGGGTATCTCTGCAATATCGTTCCTGGGAAGCCGTCGAGACCTTTTCGTCATTGATGCGAGCGCGTCGTCCCATGTGCCTTGCAACAATTCGACGCCCTCGAATTTGAGCTCCTTTAGTGTGACCTTGTGAGCGGCCACAAAACCACTGATTGTCGCTGCACCCGTCGCAACATTGTGAACCTCCATATGCTTCAGTCGAGGGAAGTTCAGTGGCCGCAGTGCTTTCGATGCGGCCACTTGGTTAGCTGGATGCTGTCCGAAGAATGCCGTTGTTGCTATAGGCGGTCGCGCGACAGGGAGCTCGCCTTTCTGTCCGATCCAGCGAAAGCTGAGGACCTCAAGACGGCTCTGAAAGTTGCGAAGGTACGTTTGGAGAAGTTTGAATTGATCGGGTTCCTGCGCGCCAGCGGTGTGGGGTATGCTTTCCGCAACTATGACCAGTGTGCGAATGCGGCCCCATCGGCTCGCCGATCGAGGTGAGGCGCCGAAGCCAATGATGGGCGACAGTGATAGCAGACCTCCAGGATGTATCGGCGAGATTGTGAGCGCGTGCAGGGCGTTCAGCGAATTCATCTCGATGGCGATTCGGAGTGAAATCAGTCCGTAATCGACTATGCTCTTCCTGTACCTGAGTGAGGAGTCGTATCCAGGGCAGCTGATGGCGAGATGTTCAAGATTGATGAAGGCGGAAAAAGCACGTATAAAGGCAGGCACATTTGTCGCCGCATGGAACAGAGCAGGATACTGTCGAGACAGAATCTGCGTGGTGCCTGCGTCTCCATACTTTGGACGCTTGCTCGAATGTTCCTGGATCTGAGGGGTGTAAGTAAAGCTGAGCTCGGCTCCTGTCTCAGGTTCAATCAGAGGAGGAAGAAAAGTTTCCTGGTTGTGCGGCAGAGTGAAGCGAAGTGTCTTGACGTAGAATCCCAGCCGGTCCAGCGCGAGCAGCTTCGAGGGCTTTGTGAAGGTGTTCGTCCTGAATGTGATGCTCAGGTCGGAAAACAGCGCCGGCGCTGCTCGTATGCTAAAGTCATGACAGGCGAGTCGTAGATTCCCCAGGTCCTGCTTCGGCATGAATGCGAGAAGCCGGTCCCGACACTTATCCTCGAGCCAGAACTTGAGAAAGGTGCTACTATCGCACAAGACGAAGCTGCAGACCGATGCATAGCTCTCGATAGCTGTACGGTACCTGCGTTAGAATAGCTTCGGAAGAGAATAATGGGGTGTAGTAGTGCGCGTACATCGATCGCTGCTGGTATCGATCTCTCCAAACAATAGCCTGCTTCCACCACTGCGCGACGTTCCGGCTGACGTGGCTGACGCGGCGGACGAGATGGCGGAGAAGGCAGAGGACGGCTTGCTAGCCAGGGCACACGCACTGCGTTTGTCCTGCTTGCAATCCATTGTGGAGGAAGTATATCATGGAGTCACCCCGTGCCTACCTGGGGATATCAAGTTGGGAACAAATGCTGATCGTGGTGGTTGTCGTCGCACGGTGTGAGCAACTGGGAGGAGAAGAAGAAGACGTGAAAGAGCGAGGGCATCGTCGATGGCAAGATGTCTACTCCATCGTCCATACTTGCCACTCGGCAGCATCCATGGATGCGGCCATTCGAATGCTGTGTTCCTGGCGGGCGAGCATCTTGCATGGGCTGTGACTCACTTCCCCGAGTGTACTGGAAGCAGAGAGGTGGGAAGTGATGGACATCGATGCAAGCACAAGAGAAGGTCGACACAAACCGAACACGACTACAACGCGAAAGGGGAGCGTGATGGACGTGATGTATGGCGGAGGTCGGCCACGAGGCTGGCCTAGGGCACGGCGGCCGATGCAAGCCTTCGTTTCAAGGGAGCTTCGCCCAATGAGAAGCTCGAAACCAGGTGGGTGAGCTGCATATCCTCCGCTGCCGCTGAAACGGGTCGGCAAATCGCTCAGAGTGGTCTGCATGGCAGCCGAAGGCGTCGCGTGTAGGCGTCGGATCGATGGCGCGTGGTGTTGTTTGTTGTCGGTATAGGAGGTATAGGTCTACAACCGTCACCACACGCGACGCGACATGTCAATGATCGCGACAGCCATGCATCAACAACGCTTTATGAACCACCAAGGATGGAATGGAAACATGTGACGTCTATCGCACACTCCGCTCTGCTGTGATACGATTGACCGTCTTCTCGACGCGCATCGTGATTGACTTGTGAACGCTTCTTAGATGTGCTGATATATTCAAAGCGCCTGCGTGAGACAGAGGTTTGGCAGGCAGAGTGCAACATTTCGTTGATTCGTGCCATCATAGCGGGCCGTGGAGCAGTCTGGCAAGCATTTCGACTATCGCTCATTCTCTGCAGTCGACACCCAGTACAGACAGACAGCTCCCTGCTTACCACAGTCGGTATAGTCCAGAGCATCGCATCGTATTTCGGCGAGCCTGACTTGCGCGGCACAAAGGTCTGCAGAAGCTCGAGCATCACAAGGGCAGGAGATGGCAACCGAGTAGTCCTCGTCCTCCCCAGTCTCGACGTGGCGTCAGTCGCAATTCATGGCTACTAGACGCTGCACCTTCACTCTGCCGCTGCACCTTGACCAAAATGATGTGCTTTTCACTGTCAGCTGAGATCGGTCAATAGCTCCATCGCCACTCACATTTTCATTTTGCTGCACCACTTGAGCAACCTTTCCAAGCCTCTCGTGGTTGATCCAATTCACCCAACCGAATTTGGTGACCTTGTCGCCCGCCTGCATGCCGGCCTGTTCTGCTGGGCTTCCTGGCACTACTGAGTTGACTCTTGCGAATGGCGGCTCCACTGCAGGTGCTGGCACAGCTGCGGCGGAAGCAGAACTTGTGTCTTGCAGGCTCTGCGTCGGGGTCTGTTCCCCAGGCTTACCAGTCGCGAAGCGCTTGTGTACAGCCTCCTCCAAGCTCTTCATGATGGCCTTATGGTCGTTTTTCAAGCGTATTATTCGCGCTCTCGTGGTACGAATTTGAGCAACGTCGATGTCGGAGCGAGGAAAGCCATCGGGAGTGGTGAGGGATGTGCTCATATCGACATGATGCTAGTCCATGTTCAGTCGCACTCACGTAGCTGCCTTTGTCTCCACTCACCGAGTCGAGTACTGAGCCTAGAGCCGAGAGCTCTGCCTCCAGACTTTCCTTCTGTGCAATAAGTTCCTGTAGCGATCGCTCTGGCTGCACACCGTCCGCTATGCCTTGAGATGTTGGGCCCGAAGCTACTGTCGGCGCGTGTAGATCGTCCATTCTAAGGCCCATCTGCGTGTTGTGGGCGAGGAAGAGACAGCCTCGCGAATGCTTGTATGTTGCTGGTGATGGTCGCGTAGGTAGGAGTATGAGGTGGGACGGCACAAGAGAACGTGATTGTCGACCTACGCTTGCTTTGCTTGCCCTGCGGGGACCTTCAGGTTCGTCTGAAGCAGCAACAGCCGGATGCAACAGCGTGCGAGACCGCACTGGAATCTCACAGGCAGAGTCTGTATATATGTGTGTCGAAGGACAGTGTCAACGATCTCGAGGGAGTATTGTACACTACCTCATGCGGGAAAGAGGGAGTGACGGAAGGAAGGGATCGCGACTACCTAGAAAATAAGGTGAAGCTAGGGAGTTCGGTAGGAGGTACAGCTCGGCCGGGGCTCGTCTCGTGTGCTATCTCTTCCCGCCCTCGCCTTCTGCGACTCGTTCTTTCACTTCCTACACCGTTCTAGGACACACCTTACCTTACCTACCTACGGTACTTGCCGACCTCAGGGCTCGAGGTGCTCACTGTCAACAGCTCGCACATGGCACGCGTCGCCGACTACGCGAGTGCCGATTCTGCGCAAAGTGTCGTCACAACTACGCGCAAGCACGAGCTTCAATTCATCCGGACGGGCATGCTCACTGCGCGGTGCACACCTCACCTGTCTTTGATTGGGTGTTTCTTCGCGAGCACTGCGACGAGCCTCCATGTGTATCTCCACTGCTCTTCATCACCAGTTGCCAGTGCCGGTCTCCACACTGAGCATGCCGAAGCCTCCACGAGGTATTCGCTAGGTAGCGTCACGTTCGCGTCACCGTTTGCCTTTGGTATGGAAGGCGCGTGAGCATACCACGCCTGCTGTCAGAAAGGCCCTTCTCAACGGCAGGTACATGTAGTCGAGGAAGGAGCTCCTCCTCCTCTTCCTCCTCCTCCTCTCCTTCTCCCTCCTCCCGTCCCTCTTCTCCTCTTCTTCTTCCTCCTCATTCCATCTCCGCCACCTACACCACCCTCTGCCTTGCCGCTGCTCACCTGCAAGTTACAATGGCTACTGCAAAGCAGACCCTGTCGGCTGGCCTGGAAAAGATACAGCAGTCCGTTGACGGTGGCGCTAGTGCAAAATTGACAGACCTACAGAGGGACAGCAAGAATGTCTTCGACTCGAGCAATCGAATCACCACCGATTTTGGCGTCAGGCAAAACACGACTGGTATGTCAGGTGCATCTGTTACCGGGCCGACATCTCAGACTGACAATCGATTAGACGACTGGCTCAAGGTGCACTCCGAGGACCACACTGGTCCCATGTTGTTGGAAGATCACGCCGCTCGAGAGAAGATCAATCGTTTCGATCACGAGCGTATTCCAGAGCGAGTTGTCCACGCCCGTGGTTCAGGTGCTTTTGGCACTTTCAAGTTACACACGAGCCTGGAGCAGTATACCACGGCCAAAGTGCTCACTGATACATCCCGCGCAACGCCTACGTTTGTCCGCTTTTCAACAGTACTGGGTAGCCGAGGGTCTGCAGATACTGTTCGTGATGTGCGCGGTTTCTCCATCAAGCATTACACACCTGAAGGCAACTGGGACGTGGTAGGGAACAACATTCCAGGTACGTGTCGAGAAGTCTATTGCTGCACAACACATTCAGTGCTAATCTCTTAGTCTAGTGTTCTTCATCCAGGACGCGATCAAATTCCCAGACGTGATTCATGCCGGCAAGCCAGAGCCGCACAACGAGGTGCCTCAAGCACAGTCGGCCCACAACAACTTCTGGGATTTTCAGTACCTGCATACAGAGGCAACTCACATGTTCATGTGGCATCAATCTGACCGAGCCATTCCGAGATCGTACCGCATGATGCAAGGGTTTGGGGTGAACACCTTCACACTCGACAACGCGAAGGGAGAGAGATTTTTCGTCAAGTTTCACTGGACACCGCATCTCGGTGTTCATAGCTTTGTGTGGGACGAGGCCCTCAAACTGGCAGGCCAGGACCCTGACTTCCACAGAAAAGACTTGTGGGAGGCCATTGCGAGTGGAGCATTCCCCAAGTGGGACTTTGGTATTCAGGTAATTCCAGAAGGTCAAGAAGACACGTACGATTTCGACATTCTTGATGCCACTAAGATCTGGCCCGAGGATCTCGTTCCAGTTCAGTATGTGGGCGAGCTTGAGCTCAACAGGAACCCAGACGAGTTCTTCCCTCAGACTGAGCAAGTGGCATTCTGTACTGGTCATGTCGTCCCTGGCATCGGCTTTTCCGACGATCCTCTGCTTCAAGGTCGCAACTTCAGCTACCAGGATACTCAACTTTCTCGCCTCGGTGTCAACTTCCAGGAGCTACCTATCAACCGACCTGTTTGCCCCGTCATGAATCACAATCGGGACGGTGCTATGCGGCACACCATCACAAAGGGCACTGTGAACTACTGGCCCAACAGATTTGAGGCAACGCCGCCCGCTGCCAAGAACGAAGAACCAATGCCGTACGTCGATTTCCCGGCCAAGGTGGCTGGTATCAAGGCTCGACTCAGATCCAAGAAGTTTCAAGAGCACTTTAACCAGGCCCAGCTCTTTTACAACTCGCTATCTAAGCCAGAGCAGATGCACGTTGAGTTTGCTCTAAGTTTCGAATTGGATCACTGCGAAGACCCGATAGTTTATGAAAGGATGTCTCAGAGACTGGCAGACATCGATCTCACGCTCGCGCAAAATGTCGCTGCCCTTGTCGGAGGCACTGTTCCCGATAAAGCGGGCCGACCCAATCACGGCCAAAAGACAATCAACGTCAGTCAGACCGAGTTCCCCGGAAAGGTGCCTACCATTGCCACTCGTCGCGTAGCCATAATCATAGCCGATGGTTTCGACAAGACAGTCTACAACGGCATCGTCACAGCTTTGAAGGGAGCAGGGGCGCTGCCGTTCACTATAGCACCAAGACGCTCGGTCATATATGCTGCGGGTGAAACCAAGGACAACAGCAAAGGCACACAGCCTGATCACCATCTCGAGGGCATGAGATCGACCATGTTTGACAGTATTTTCCTTCCAGGCGGAGCAGATTCTGTGTCGACTCTCCGCAAGAATGGTCGAGCTCTTCACTGGATCCGCGAGGCTTTTGCACATCTCAAGGCCATCGGAGCCGTCGGCGAGGCAGTGGACTTCGCAAAATATGCGTGTGCATTGCCAGGTATGGAGTTTTCCGCCAGCGAGGCTGTCACCAATAGCTATGGCGTTGTCACAGCCAGCAAGGTGCAAGCGGAAAGCTTCAAAGAGACTGTACAGCTTGCCAAAGGCGCTGTTGATTTTGTTGGTGCATATTTCTATGCCATAAGCCAACACAAGAATTTCGACCGTGAGCTGCAAGGATTTTGCCAGATGGTAGCATACTGAAGTCCGCAAAATTGTGAGAGACGCAATGAGTGGATGATCCTGCTCGGATAATAAGGAACGGACCTTGGTGGTTAGGTACTAGCTACAGCAGCAGTGAAGTATGTAGTTTTCCAAAAGTGTTTCGGGCTACATGAAGACTCCTCATCCACGTTACCATTCCGCTCGATTGCTGTCTATGGTACCATTGTGTTACAACTTGATGATGTTCGCGTTCTTGTTATGTGTTGAACGGTCGAAACCAACCTTGACCAGGCCGACGAGATATGATCGAACTGCCGGTAAAGTTGTCTGTCGTGCTATTGAACATCGAGACCCCCCTCCACGTCTTAAGCTTGACCCTGCCAAACTATCGAATAGCATCATCCATTACTCCGAGCCAGACGCAGACCCATGCAGAGAACAGTCGTTGTACAGTAGTAGTGTGCCATAGTCCTTCACACGTCGACATGACCTAATCTCAAGAATTCCCTCATCTGGCCGGACTGGCTAGATCCGCTGCTCGAGCGTCGCGTCTTTTCGATCTTTTCAATGGCTTCTGTTGGCGAAGGAGCTCTTGTATCATCGTTGCTGGGCGTCGATGGTGACGCGACAGGAGCGACCCAGTTGGAGTTGCTCGTGGGAACAAGGCTCAGAAATGTCGAGTCTCGTCGTGTAGATGCCATGGTTGTATTGTTTGATCAATGATAAGATGTTTCTTGTTATGTGAGCTGCAATGCTTGGACGTTCGTTGCTTGATGGATATAAGCATGGCGATGAGCATTACACATAGACCTTTATATGTCCATCAACTGCTAGACCGCAGGGAACGGAGGCTTGACCTAGCATGTTTAGCATTGAATCGCGAGCAAGCGTAGGCCTATGAGATGATAAGGTGTCACGTCCACCGCTCTTCTGGACATTCCCATCACGATCGCGAGAATAGGTCGGGATAGTGTGCTGTATACTCGGGAATAAAGCTAGTAGTAGCCGTATCATATAGCAGTGGGAGTGCCGTTACTGGATCGCTTTCCCTCGGCATAGCGGAGACTTTGGCCTGAGTTTAGGCGAAAGCTTCATATGACCTGCTGTTACTGTTGAATTGAGGGGCTTGCATGCGACTAGACATGTGTGACGAGTGCTCAGTGCTGGACTGATACATGTACATGTATAGCGCGACGTAGTCAAAGCGTGCTGTAGTGATGAGCATTAAAGCTATCCACGCTTTATGTTGAGGACCTCCAGAGGATACGGCACTACCCAAGAATGGATAGTGAGAAATGGCTGAAGACACATTTGCATGCACCGGCGGCTGCAATAGTCAAGGGTCATTCCACTTGCACAAGCTGTGGTTGATGGTACTTTGTTGATCGAACCCACATGCGGAAGTCAAAAATCCGCAGTCCGAGGTCGACAGCCAAAACGCCTCATAAGTCGCATTCGAGGGTGGCTACGCGGAGGTGGACAAGATTCGCCAGTACTGCGATGAGCATTGTTAGCTGTTCGAGCGGTATAGAGACCAATGTGATATGCTAAAAGTTAATATGAGAGGGCGTCATCAGAGCTCGCTCGTCGAAGATGTTACAGTTAGTAGGTACCCTGAGGTAGGATCTGACTTTAGTGAGGAGGTGGAAGTGGAAGTGGAAGTGAGAGTGAGAGGGAGAGTGAGAGGGAGAGGGAGGGGGGAGTGGGAGTGGGAGTGGGAGTGGGAATGGATGGGGAATTGGATGAAAAAGAGTAAAGAGCGCGAGCGCGAGCAAGAGCAAGGCAAGAAGAAGCAAGAAGCAAGAGCAGGAGCAGGAGCAAGAGCGACAGAGGGAGGGGCACTCGGGCGGTTCGTACCGCTGGTCACTCTTTGGGTTGAGCGGTGTTGTTGGGCCTGGGCCTGGGTTTGCTGCTGGGCGTGAGAAGCCGTAAGTGAATGAAGAATGAATGGATGGAAGACGCGGCCGTGTACACGCCGCTCATCTCATCTCCTCTCACGGCAGGCGCAAGTCGACGATTGCATTATTCGCGGCAGCGGGCGTGCGCACTGTGACTGCGCACATCACCTAGACGTGCTGGTTCAGGACCCGCCCCGCCTCACCGTGATGGATGTATGAGATGACAGCTTATGTGCCTCCTGGTGGAGCCTCCTGCGGTGCAACCGGGCTGTCAACGGCTGTCACTGCTGTCGCTACCGAGACGGAGGCGGAGGCGGACGTGCGTGATATTGCGGTGTGCTGTGCTGTGTGCCGCAGCCACTGTTCGCGAAGGACAAATGTTCATTTCGCCCCGCAGCCTGGTGATGGGCAGCAGGAACACCGCAATTACAACCACCACTACCACCTCCTCCACCTTCACCTCCACCTCCACCACTGGCAACAGACGACGACGACAATGACCACTCCTCGTGGCTGCCATGCACCATGGAGGGGTCGGCGTCGAGTAGACATGCCAAATGCGATGCGTCTGTTTTGGTCCTGGGGGAATCGATGCCGAAAGCACCATGCAGCTAGGCGGGTGGACCGTTTGATCCACGCCTTGGACCAACAGTTCCTGTTGGCTTGGAAGGACACTCGTCTCATTGACTTGTCGCGTCGCGGGTCGCACTCAGCCACGACGGCATATGCAGCCGCCTGACGCCTCGACGTCTGGGGAATCTGGTGAAGACCACTGCGACCAGGATATCCTGGAAACGCTTCAGCGGGCACAAAACAACCCGGCATTTAGCTTACATACGGGACCAGCATACCCTCTCGCGCTTTGACGCCAGCGATGGTAAGAAAAAAAAAGACAGCGTTGTCAACAGACCACAAGAGATGGGAACTTGCAGACGGTAACCCTGCCATCTCGTGGCATCGTTGACATCCTCTCCTTGCTTCACAGCATACCGGCCGGACACCAGCGGCTGTCTGCCATGAAAGCATACCCATCCCTCAACCCAGCGTTTCCTCTGTCGTACAGATGGTGTAGTGATGGAATTTGTTTGCGACCCGACTCAGCATAAAGTATTACGGGACTCCCAAGGCTTGAACTTCACTTTCCCTCTGCCTCGACATATGTGACCCACGTTAACTACCACAACGACCTCTCGTCACGCTCGCATTGCTGGCTCCACTGAAGCTCTTCTTCTTCGTAGGTCGCCGCTATTGAGCATCCCAGTATCTGACACATTGATTGCTCATACATCATACTCTAGCATCCCAAGCAGAACGCATTCAGCCACAATGTGCACTCAAGTCACCCACGAATACACCGTCTGCAAGCACAAGGTCGTCGAGAGAATACCATGCGCAGCATCACGACGAGGACCTTGCGGTGTATCAACACCCAGGACAGTGGTGCATCATTCGAAATGCTACAAATGTGGCGGTGGCGGTTGAAGTGTAAGACTTGGCCTGATCATTGAAGCGCACATCACATCTCCTTGCTGACCATGCGTAGAATGGTGACGTTCCGAGTTTCGCGCTGTTGGTCTACAGCACAGTGCGTTGTCGATGTCTGAGATGGGTGCCTGACGGCGAGTAGGTCGCGCCCGCATTGAGAGTGATTATGGGCTGGGATGGGAAGATAACGGCGTCTCACGACCGGGAGTTGGGGCTTGCGACGTTGTTTGGACATAATCGTTGCACTATATACCATGACGATTGAACGACAGGCTGGGAGAGGGCGTTTTGCACTACCTTTTGAGAAAATAGGCCATCTGTACAATCATGAAATATTTTCTCCGCATGTTGGTTCCGCGGGATATTCCTCGAGGCCGGGGAGAACAGCGAAATGTGCTCGAGTGCGTTACCTCCTATGACTGGAAGCAAGATGCATGTCCCGACGGAAATTTTAGGAAATCATTTTCTGCGCATCCGAGACGCGTTTGTACGCATTGGATCAAACGGAGGGCAGCCCGTGGGTTCCGCGCGCGCGCTCTCTGTCTCTCTCTGTCTCTCGCTCTTTCTCTCGCTCTCTCTTTCGCTCTCTCTCTATCTCCGCTTCTCTCGAGTCAGAAGTGCAGCTTACAAGCCGAACGACCCGCATGATCTTTTGCCAGGGCTCGCTGCACGCAATGATCCTGGCTGCATTTGTGTCATCGCGACCACTGACCACCATCTGTCACTACCAGTGCAGGTCTGGATAACAGCGGCGTTGAAGCATGACGGCTGCGCCACGACTTGGCAGGGAATCGCACGACTGATATAGCACTGTGGCTTTGTTGGAGTCTTGACTGCATCCCCATCCGAGACGGCGTAGACGGGCTGTACCTTATAGCCTGTTCAGTATAGGCTGCTCCGTCGATTATTCCGGTGAGAGGCGAGCAAGCAAGCAGGCAGGCCAGTGTAAGCAGCCTTTCCCACGCCTCGTCAGGCCGAGAGCAGTACTAGGTATAAGCTATGGTAGCAGTCGTCGTTGCCTGACGTATGGGCCTACTTCCTACCTCCGAAGGCTTCTGTTGTCGTTGTTGTTGGTCGGTGTGTGAACCTAGCGCTCGATGCGCGGGACCCTTCCCCCCCTCCCCCGACCTACATACTGCGACGGGAGTGGGACGGAGACGGGATCTTCCAATTTTTCCAAGCCACCCACCAACATCACCGGTCACATCAGCACTACCTAGGTACGATCCACACCATGGAGTGAACACTCTGCCCTCCGAACCCGCTTCCAATGTCTGTTGACATCAATTGGAACGAGCTCACGGGCGGGCCGGATGGTGAAGCACTGGCCGAAACAATCAGAGAGTTCATTCATCAGCGCTTTCAGTCCATCGCGCTGCCGAAGCTGATACGTTCGGTCACCGTCCATGGGTTTGAGTTTGGCAACATACCTCCCGAGATTGTCCTCAAGGATATTGGCGATCCCCTTCCCGACTTCTACGAGACAGACGACGACGACGACGACAACGATGATGATAATGATTCTGTACAGGACCCAAACGAAGCTCATACCGTGGCAGATCCCGAAACACGCCATGCGCAGCCGCGACATGTGCGAGGTACAGACGGCTCACGTCGTCAATCGGAGCTAGATATCCTTGATCACTCGGCAATCAGCGGGCTCACTCGAGGAACGACTCCAGGCATACTGGGCGCTACTTCCAATCTGGGCTACTTCCATCTCCCTCTGTCTGCTGGGCTACCAGGGACCCAGACTCCTCTGGCTGCTGTAGCTGGTGCACACTTCTCAAACACTCAGGCTACTGCTGCAGCAAAGCCTCAGCATCGCCATGCTGATTCCTTCAGTTCCGACCCTCCTTCCACAGCCACGCGGATGTCGTCGCAAGATCTTTCATCATACCTCGACAAGCCCCCCAGCCCAGCCATGTTGGACGAGCTGGACGAGACCACGCCCTTACCCAGACACGACCATCCCGAAAGGAGCCCGGAGGATACCCAGATCGTCTTTCACGCAACTTACGCGGGCGACATTAAGCTGTCGCTAACTGCCGACGTTTTCTTAGACTATCCCATGCCAAGCTTCGTAGGCATTCCCCTGAAGCTGAAGATCACTGGCCTCACGTTCAACGGAGTGGGTATTCTCGCCTACATCAAGAAAAGAGCCCATCTGTGCTTTTTGAGCCCCGAAGATGCAGAAGCTCTTGTCGGGAAGGAGCCCGCTCTAGATCCTCTCGACGACGAGAAGCACACTGACAACCGACAGTCACCATCGGGACACGAGGTAAAGTCAGGGGGAGTGGGCGCATTACTCGAAGACATAAGGATCGAAAGCGAAATGGGCGAGACGGAAAGTGGAAAACAAGTGCTCAAGAATGTGGGTAAGATTGAAAAGTTTATCCTCGAACAGGTCCAACGCATCCTCGAGGACGAATTCGTCTACCCTAGCTTCTGGACTTTTCTTGTTTGAGCACCGAGGTCCTACTCTGGCCTGGAATAGTCGGTATGCGAGTACTGTACTGTACAGCTGCGCAGTTCAACAAATCCTTCACCTTGGGACGTGGCTGATGCATTATTAATCGGCTGTGCGACCCGCATTCAAGGAATACGTGTCTGGACGGCGGCCGCCTTTTGCATGCATTCACGCGAAAACGTACAGGGAGCCTTGCTTTTGCTGTGTTTTTTTTTGTTTTGTGGACCGTAACACCTAAAAAAACAGCCTTGCAGTTGCAGAATCACGCACCACCTTTCGGCCCGCAGCTGTCAAATCTGCCGTACCACGTTTGCAGCTCTCTCAACTGCTGCCGCTAGTTTGTCTTGTGAGACCTTTCTCTCATGCGCGCTGCCGCTGTCAAACATTGGTCACAACGTTCGTTGTGTTGCTGCTGCTGCTGCTGCTGCTACCAGCTTCACAATGGCGTGACACTTTGCGGAATGTAATTCGACTGCGGGAACTTGTGAAGACCTAGCAATCGTTTGCGGCCGGGCGATTCGGATCTCCTTGTGTGCATGTACTAGACGGATGTAGGAGATCGCCACGACCTTCGAAATATGCTACCTCCTACAAATTCTGTGGTGTTCGTACGATCGCAAACTCTAGTAAGATATTTCTCTGGCATCATGCCGAAAGTCACCAATTAATACTCATTATTCAGCAACAGTGTATTTTGTCCAGTATCGTACCCAATCGAGCTTTCCGCAACGATGGCAACGGGCTGGATCGGGCAAGGAACTCCTGAGCACACAATGCACATTCGAGAGGAATGGCAAAGCTTGTACCTCATTACCAGGTAGTGCTGGCTTAAGTTTTACAGTACTCTGGCTTCCACTTCCCTGCGAAGCTTGGTATTCATCTTTAGGTACAGAAGAAAGTCGAACCTATCGTCACGCTTGAGCTAGACAACGACACCGTATATGACTTGAACGGGAATCGTGCCATGTACTCACTGTGCGATGACTCGTCTTCTGGAGACACCGGAGATTGAGTGAGAGCACTGCTCGCTGGGGCAGACTCTCTATCCAAGCATGGGGCCTGGTATGCCGATGCATCGGCCCTAGAGAGTTTATTGAGTAGGTGTGCGTGCCGGGTCATGTGCTCGTTCTATCACATACGAGACAGAGTAACCTCAAGCCAGAAGTGATGATCAGAAGCAGCGGAAGTGCAAGTCCAACACGTGCATTTCCAACTCACTTCGACTTCAGTAGCTTCTTGCCATGCTCGCGAACGATGCCGTCGAGAAGCTGCCGTATTTGCTTACAGCCATCTAGCCCGACTGACAGCATCGCCTGCAATCTCGCCATCTGGACTCTCGTCTCCATAATCAGCACATTCACCATGTCTTCACCTCCACTCGTGCCGACAGTCATGAATGGCAGTTCCTGCTCTTCCAACCCATTCAGATCCAACAATGGATCCGCTTCTTCCTCGTTCGATGCATACGATGCAGTAGAGCCGACGGTGCAGGCGGCAACGTAGTCCTTCATCGGGACACCAGCATCAATCAATGCCAGTGTTGCAGCATTCAAGCAGGCAGCCAGCAGAGCTCCGTCCTGCGACAGCACGTGAAGGACAATGCTGATGGTCGACTGCGGATAGAGGGAGGTAAAGACGGTGCTCGCGAAAGCAGACGAGATGGTGTACTGCATTTCTTGCGTTCGCCTGACATTCATACATCAGCTCTCCGTGTCAAACCACTTACCTGTCTGTGCTGCTGCCTCTTTTCACATCCACTCACTTGTCTGACCGCGACCTTTTTTTCCGATCCATGCCGCTGAAGCCAGCAATGCCAATCTCTACCTCGATGCTCGCCTCCTTCGTCTGATCACGTCCACCGCCACCGCCCGACCTCGTCTGTTGCCTGGGACCGACGACGGTGCAGATGACTTTGGTGTTTCCCATCTCGAAATAGCTGCTGCCATCAGCAGCCGCCTGGGTGGACATCTGACCCGAGATGCACCGCAATTCGTTCCATCGCCGCCCGTCGACACGCAGATGCGCGAGCGCGTACGTAGAGCTGTCCAACGGCATCTCCTGTTGGGTTTTGTTGCTTGACCCTGCGCAATGCAATGAAAACTGAATGAAGCGTCACAACCTTGCACGGCCTTGGTTCCGGTGGCAGCGGGACGGCATGATACCCGCCCTACCCGTAACCCGACGCGTCTGCCTCGCGTCTTTGACGTCTCAACATCTCCGACATTTCAGGTTTTCTTTCTACCCCCATAAAAAGAAGAGGAAGAGTCTCAGGCCGCAACCCAAACCCCCCATCTCGTCACTGGTCACCGCAGCAGGGTCAGGAGCATTCATGCCGGAATGGCGTCTTAGGAGGTATAATGTACTTGCACAGAAAACCGTCGCCGCACCACTCAGAGCAAGTTTGTGCAGAGGTGCAGCTTTACAGGTACTCTCTACTGATCCCGCTCCGTCCCGAAAAGCAACCTCAAAAGTCGCGCTGTTCTCGCTGTGAAGTCCTCCATAGAAGTCCGTAGACCGCGATTCATATGCGGACTGGGCACGTTCATGTTGTGGCGTGCTGACACACCAGAGCATGCTCGGACGCTGTAAGACCCATATCGGAGTAGACATCTCCGCGGTAGAGGGTGCTGATATATGAAGTCAGTGGGCCAGTATATATATAGGTATAGAGATATACATATACATATACATATAGAATTCCCGCTCCAGATAACAACATCAATGTTACGAGGATATGTCGCTGACAAGAGAACAAGTCAAGATCATCAAGTCCACTGTGCCCGTTCTCAAAAAACATGGCATAGATGTCACGGAGCTCTTCTACAAAAACGTCCTCGAAGAACATCCCGATCTGAACAATGTCTTCAACCAGACGAATCAAGTCAATCACCACCAAGCGGGAGCTCTTGCGGGCGCACTGTACGCATATGCTGCGCACATCGATGATCTGGGCGTACTCAGCCCGACGATGGAGAGAATCAGCCAAAAGCATGCATCCCTGTACATCCAACCAGAGCACTATGCAGTCGTTGGTGAAGGCCTTCTTCGCGCCTTTGGAAATGTCCTGGGAGAGGCGTTTACTCCTGCCATACAAGACGCTTGGAATTCAGCATACTGGCAGTTGGCCAATCTCATGATCAACCGCGAGACTCAACTCTACTCCGAATCCGGAAACTGGACCGACTGGCGGGACTTCAGCATCGTCGACAAAGTCAAGGAAAGTAAGGAAATCACCTCCATCTATCTCGAACCTGTCGACCATGAGACGCTCCCAGAATATCTACCTGGTCAGTACATCTCCCTCATGACCGACGTGCCACACTTTGGATACATGCAGTCCAGGCAATACTCCCTCTCCGATGCTCCCCGATCCGGCCGGTATCGTATTTCTGTGAAAAGGGCAATTGGTCTTGATCCCCACCACCCTGAAGCGCGCAAGAGTCCGAGCTGGGTGTCCAATATTCTTCACGACGAAAAACAGATTGGAGATGTTGTTAAAGTCTCTCACCCTGCTGGCGACTTCTTTCACGATCCGGTCGAGGACTGCAGGATCCCGATTGTCCTCCTTTCCGCTGGAGTGGGTATCACGCCCATGATTTCCATCCTCAACACTATCCTGGAGCACGGTTCAACACAGCCAGTCAGCTTCATTCACGGCGCACGGGACACTTCGACACAAGCATTTGGACGTTATGTCAAGGAACAAGCTGCGATGCATGAGAATGTCAAAGCAACGCTCTTCGTGAAGAATGTGAGCGTCAACGACGTTGCGGGTTGCGACTACGACTACGTTGGAAGACTGAATCTGTCGGAACTGATCCAGAAGCAAGGCCGTGCTCTGTATCTGGAAGATGCGAAAACGAAGTACTTTGTCTGCGGGCCGTCAACATTCATGAGCGAAATCCGACGCGGGCTGCTGGAAGTCGGAGTCGAGGATAGCAGGATCAAGATGGAGGTCTTTGGTACTGGAGATTTGCAATAGTGGATCAAATTGATGTGCTGGGACAATGTTGATCGAGTTGCATCCCATCAGATGTAAGGTCACCATTGTAAAAACTTCAGCAATTGTTGCACCAACTTACCTACATAAGCAATAGTCAACACATTCTTGCTATCAGACTCTCCGTCTGATGACTCCACTCCTATACCTTACCTACCAGATATTCATGTGGTTCAACAGATCTCGGGCCTTGGCTCTCCGGTTCTCCCATCCACTGATAGAAGCTACATATACATTTACATGGTACCTTACAGCTATCTATAGATGGCGTCGTGTATAGCAAGCCAATGTTGACCTTAGGTAATGTACATGTAGTGCACAAACTACAGGACCCATACCCATACCTTTACCTTATTTACCTGCCTTTCATGTGCTGCAGAACGTGTGTACAGATATCTACGACGCATAGATTCGAACGATGCGGCAGCACCGGGAGCGCCCTTTCCATTTTCTTGAAAATGACAACGGCTTCTCTTGCCAGGTACCACACGGTACCCTCCTCAGATGTGCCAACGACAAGCTGAAGAAAGATGCAAAAGTGGAACCTCTGCATTTGCTGCGCCCTGACAGCAGAATATTGATGATTTCTCAGAAGCAACGAACGTCTCTTGAGAGGATGATGCCCACAGCGCATCCACTCCCACCCGCGGCGAAGTCTCGATGCCTTCGTTCTCCCCTCGAGTCGACGGTAATTCGAGAATGTCAGGCACGCATTGGGTGGATGGAGAGATGTGGCTTCTAATTCAAAAGATCCGTAGTAGGGAAATATTATGCTTCATGGCAGGAAGCATGGACAATAGGACCCACTGACAGTAGGAAGCACTGATGACAGGAACCACAGGGAGCAGGAAGCACTGACAACAAGGTATGTTCGACCGAGAAAGTCATCCAGCTTTTGGAAGAGATTCTCGAGTATAAAGGCAGGTCTACGGGAGGTCCTAGTTGCAGGTTTTTCAATTCGTTTCCATCCTCTTCACCTCTCCCTCATCCACTCATCCACTTCCACTCATCCACATTTACCTTACCCATTCACTTCCACTCTCCGGTCCTCTTGCACTTTCCAGGACTACAGTCAATCACTACACTCCTGACAGCACCTCTGTCACAAGACCCCGACGACAGAGCGAGTATAGAAGCAGGAGGTTACAGGTATTTCGTTTCTTTTTCCCTTCTCGCACTCTCGAAGACTACAGTTACTCACCACGCTCCCGAAAGCAGGCGCAGGATCCCAGGAAGCTTCAGCCACAGAATTCCAAACGCAGAAGTCCTAAGGTTGCTGGTATTTCGATCTTTTCCCTCCCTCTTGCACTCTCAAAGACCATAGTCAGTAACCACGCTCCGCAAAGCAGGCACAAGGTACCGACAGTTTCAAGCACAGAAACAGAAGAGACCACAATTCACTATGTCGCCATCGGTAGTGAACATCACGAGGCTGCTAGTAGTAGTGCTGTTTTCAGTATCATACCTACTAGTAGCATGTGCAGGCGCGGCACTCCCAACTTCGATGGCGACAGGAGGCCCTGTGGGGTATAATTCCCACATATACAACAGCTCCATCGACTCTGCCAACACCACGCTGCCCAATCCGCCGATCCAAAGGTTTGTCCGATCAGACGTAGAATCGAGCGTCACTTCCGCTGTCTCTCCATCTCAGCTTACGCTGGTGAACAATCTCTCCAATGGTGCCAAAGCATACATTACCTGCCAGCAAGAAGCACGATGGGTATACATCAACCCACAAGGATATCACCGCCCGGATCCAACAGTGGCCATGATGAGCATCGATCTTGGAGCAATAGGCAACCAAGTATCCGTCCCTCTTTCCGAGTACGTCGTCGGATGTCGTGTCTACGGGGCACAAGACACTCTCCAGTTGAACTCCGTGACAGACGCCAATGGCGTCGTGTCTTTCGTTCAACCTGCAGTGGCAAATCCCAACGATGCAAACTACCATAAGAGGTTTGGTATCTTGGAATTTTCCTGGACGGCAGGGACTTCATGCGCGAATCCGAGCCATGTGGACTTTGCCGATGTTGCTGTTGGCCTGGAGATGATCACTTACAGTGGTGCTCGAGGAGGGAAGATGTCTGTCGTTGGAGGGCTGCAGGGCGATGCCAAAGCTCGGATTTGCGAGGAATTGCGGAAGGTGTCGAGCGCGCAAGCTCCATGGTCGGAAGGTTGTCTCCAATCTGCTGCTGCTGGAATCACTCGAGTCTTGGCGCCCAACGAGGTGATCGCAGCCAACCCTGCTGCATTCGAAGGGTACTTCAACGCACACCACCAAACCATCTTGGAAACCTACTCGAAAACGGCATTGATCATCAAGACCGGATCGGGAGGAAGTATCACTTGTTACACCGACCCTCAGAGCAAGATGTTACACTGTGATGGCGTTGCCTCCGTACACTTTGAACCCACCGCCGCAGAAATCTTCACCTGTATGGGGCCTTTCCGCCAGGGAAGTATAGAGGTCATGCAAATGATATGCGCCGCATACAATCGAGGCACTTTACTTCTCGACGGTGGGTCCGTGCAGCCTTCGCTCGGCCGTGCTTCCTACTACACATCCCCTGTGCACAACGCCTACGCTCGTGCCGTCCACGGACAACTGGCAAATAGTCAGGGATATGCCTTTGCCAAGGACGATATTGAAGCTCGGCCGGAGGATGCGCAAGCTGGTCTTGTGTGCACTACTGGCAATGACATGAAGGAGCTCAGAGTGTTCATTGGAGGGCAGGCGTAGCAGGCACGGCCGATTTCCGTGGGGTTCTTTCTCTTGGTCCCTTTGAGGGTCGGAGGCGGCGGGGCGCAGTGTGCAGCAAGGAGTACGGGATGCGGATGCCGGCAGCTGGTGAGGAGCGTATGGTCGACAAAGTGATACCTAGTAGCAAATTCTTCAATTGGACAAGCCATTGGTCGGTACAATTTTCCCTGACTCTTTTCTCAATCTTGAAGTGAATGTTCGTCGCGGTAAGGATCGATACCGATGAAGAAGGAAAGCTCTGTGCCTCGTAGTCTCGCCCAGTTCAATCAATAACAGGATCGAGCGGATGAAGAGATGCATGTATCATTCCAGGTTGGTACCTACCTTACCTTGCCTACCTCTCACAGCCGTAGCTACACGCTCCACAACAAGCGGGGCGGAACCATAGGAGTTGCTCCCGCCAAGTGCCTGGTCGACAGAGGGCAGGCAGGAGAAGCTCAGAGCATGAAAAGGGTTTCAATCTGGCACTCTAACTTCGCCACAGCCCTTTATCGACCCGGAGAACATCTCCATCCAACTGGAACTAGGCAATTTGGGAAGCAAGACATACATCAATAACTGGGAGATGGATCACATTCTGCTGGGCATCTCGAACTAAGAGGCCGTGTACGATTTCTCAGCGCCAAGGCATTCCCGACGACGTACGAGAAAGAGAGTTCCGTATTCACAGATCAATCTCGCTGGAACCCTTCAGACGAGAAAGAGTACAGAGCGTGAGGAGGCAAGCTCACCTGAAGCACCGTGGGGTAAGTAGTGCATGTACCTCGAGGGGAAACTGACTCGCATGATTGCGACCGGCTACCCATTAGGAGGCAATGATACCCCCTAGAGCGCTCGAGGGCTTTTGAAACCCCTTTGTCGACCAAGTGCTGCAGCGCTTTGCTTCCGGCTCGGAACCCTTCGTCATTTCCGTGGCTAGCGGAGACATTGCATGCGCAACAGCCCCCGATCAGGAGCCATATGGTGCAACGGCATGGAGGAGGTCGAGTTCAAGTCAACACCTAGGAAGTACGCATCGGATGCATTGTTGGACCCTTTGAAAGACCTGATGCCGATGGGCTTGAAAAGCGTATGGCAAGCATCTGCGCCGGTCTCTACCGAGGAGATCTGATTGATCAGGACAGCCATGACCAGAGAGTCCGGTTACCACTCAGATGCGGGGCGATGATGAGGCTGTTCGTTGCGAGGTCGCTTGTCGCTTGTTGTATGTTATCTTTAAGACTTCAAGGCGCACTCTGATGTATTTCCAGCTGTTCACCTCACAACGGATGTGTATGTATCTCGTGTGTGTACCTGGTCGTCGTATTGGTGGCAGAATCCAGTGTGGCCAATGTTGTTGACGAGAGAAGGGAAGAAGTGGAAGTTGGAGAAGGCGAGTGGAGGCGGAGCGTGAAGAAGTCGTGCAGGGATTCGTGTCATCACTCCCGTCGCTCCCGTCACGCGTCACGCGTGCCTTCCTCTCTCCCGCACGCCTTCCTTCTGTTCCTCCTTCCATCGCGGCTGGTTCCTTCCATCCTCGATTCTGGCTCGCTCCTTCTTGAACCCTCCACTTTACCAGAAAGAACGTACTAGTACCTAATACCTGTACCTACCTTACCTGGTACATACCGTCAACATCCATGGATGTACCTCTTACAGCAGACTGTCGTGACTGACCCCCGTCGGTCTGCGTGTCAAGTCCAACAAGGGTATCTTACAGTAGTCATGTTGACAGCGGGAAATCGACTCTAATCCATGCTACCGGCTGCCGTGTCGTAAGGTGTTCCCGGGAAGCCATGCGCTGATGCTTCCCAACTTCCCATGGCCAGCGGAAATTGCTTCTCACTCCAGCATAATAATCACCTAGGTAGGTATAGCAATAATAATAGTAAGGACCAGGTACTACAAGCACCACATGAAGTACTTTTACTACTGACCTTCTGACATCTGCCCTTCGTTGTTGATATTTTGTGATAATCACGCTTACCCACATTCGTTTTCGCCATGTTCGCACGCATACCACTCCTTTTGTGCATGTCCACGGCAGCACTAGCCAACATAGACCTCGACGCCCCCGGCGCATACTCGGCCCCTCCACCGGGCGGATATCAGCAAGCCGGTGCAGCGCCATATGGCTATGGCCAGAAACCGACCGCGACCTTGACCATCACCCAGACTCTTCTGCCCAACCCGGCTGCCACTCCCTTTCCCCCTACCCAGAACACCACCAGTCCCGTCGGCATCGGCTCGTGCAAGAATGTGCAGTCTGCTCACGCTCGGGGCGATGTCGCGAGGGCTGAGGCCGTGAAGGAGGCCTTCCTGCACGGTTTCAATGCCTTTATGAAATATGCCAATGGTTACGACGAAGTGAGACCGCTAAATCTGAACGGAACGAACAACAGATATGGCTGGGGCCTGACGATCGTGGACTCCATCGACACTGCAATCATCATGGGCCTGACCGACCTGGTCACGCAAATGCTCGACTTCATCGCCAAAGTCGACTTCACCACCACCCAATTCCTGAATGGAGACGACGGCGTGCAGCTGTTCGGTGAGAAGCGTCGAATCTGGTTGGATGAGCCAGCTGCTGCCAGCTGCTAACTGTCGTTCAGAGACTAACATTCGATACATTGGCGGACTTCTCGGCGCCTATGATTTGCTCAAAACCGGTCAATTCGGCAGCTATGACGAGCAGAAAGTCGATACTCTCCTCAAGCAAGCCGTTCTACTGGCCGATAAAGTCGCATATGGCTTCAACACTCCCTCGGGGATACCAGCTGTCTTTGTCAACTTTACCACTAACGAGCCCATCAAGGGGACATATACAGACCCCAAGACGAACACAACGTACAACTCCACAAACGCTGCGTCCATAGGCACATTTCTCCTCGAATGGGGTCGACTATCAGACCTGACGGGCAACGCGACATACCGTGAACTTGTAGAAAAGGCCGACAACCATCTGGTCGAGCCCTCACCTGCGCCAGTCCTCCCTGCGCTGATCGGTAGCCAATTCGACGTGGATACTGGCAAGATGCTCACCAAAAATGGGGGATGGGTAGGAGGAATCGACAGTTTTCTGGAATATCTCATCAAGTACTGGCAATACTCGCCTTCAGACGTGGCGACATCGTACAAAGACTTTTGGCTTACGGCGACCCAAAGCACAATCGATCATCTTGTCGTCACCCCTCGAGGCTACACTCCGGACGAATTGTCATTCGTCTCTCGCATGAATCGCAACGGCACAGTCGACAACCTTGCCGACGACTTCTCGTGCTTCGCGGGTGGCAATTGGCTTTTGGGTGGTGCACTTCTCGGGGACGAAAGCATCACGAAGCTCGGGTTGGACTGGACCAAAGGCTGCTACCATCTCTACCAGACGACAACAACCGGTCTTGGCCCTCTTGCCTGGGCGTGGTTCAACTCTTCCGGCCAGACATTCGATAAGCAGAGTGAAAACGATGGCGCTGCATTGCGATCTGCAGCGGCACGAGGTTACTTCATCCCCGCGAGCCTGGAGAACTGGTTCTCGAGACCTGAACCCTTGGAGAGCGTCTTCTATGCATATCGATTGACGGGAGATCAACAATGGGCGGATGCCAATTGGAAGATTTTCCAGGCCATTAACACGACTGCCAGAACGCCAGAAGCATTCGCTGCTGTGAACAATGTGGACATGCCTTATGGTACGTATCTTACTTTTAATTACGCGTCGCGGTTCATGACAACTAACTGGGATGACTTTTTACTACTAGGTGGTGCTATGAGCGACAATCTCGACAGCTTCTTCTTTGCAGAAGTGCTCAAATATCTCTATCTCACCTTCACGGATCCCAGTGTCGTGGACCTGTCGGCATGGGTCTTTAACACGGAAGCCCATCCTCTGCGAGCTCTTTGCGCTGAAGACGACGTGAAACCTTCCACAGGGCTGGGGAGACGTCAGGATGGCGGCTATGAGCAGTAGTAATTACCCACTCTTGACACCATAAAAAAAGTTGCTCCATTTGTCAATCACTTTTGGTAATCAGAAAATAGATCATCAGAAATATAGAGATCGAAGTACCCGTGCCATATATAGGCAGCCTGCATACACTGTCTGGTGTCACTGCCTTGACAAGACATGCCTCTGATAGTGCTCCACTCTTCCAACAGACGTAGGAGGTACCACCGCACTCCGCCCACCGGGGCCGAAGTCGGCAGCTCATCTCATCTCGCACCTCCCTCCTCCCAAAACGCATCCAAATGCTGCTGTCTGACCTCAAAAGCCCAATGATGACACGTCTGATGCATCACCGGACTCACCTCGACAGCATCCTCCTCCTCCCCATCATCAAACACCGTCCTCACACCTTGTTGGACATATTTCTTCAACAACATCCTCCTCCACCTCCCCGTCTCCCCCACACATTTCTTCCAACGAGAAATCTGCCTCTCGTCATCTTCACATCTCCTGCCCCGATAAAATCTCGTATACCACTGAAACCACCCTCGTACATCATGTTCGTGAGAAATCCACCCCGCAGCCTCCCATTCTTCAATCGATTGGCCACAGGAGACTTTGTATTTATTCACTTCGGGATCATAATCGGGATTGGTCAGGAATGTCTCCACATTCAAACCGGAAAGCCATTCGGGAGGAAGTTCTTTCCAGTCGTCTTGGATGAGAATTCCGAGTTTGCGGGAGCGGAGAGGGCGGTAGTAGGAGCCGCCGAAACAGCCTTCGCGTAGGATTTCAGAGGGCGTTTTGTTGGGGAGGAAGGTCGGGTGGTCGGCGAAGTGGAGAGTTTGGTTTTCGTCGCGGGTTGGGGGGGTTGCGAGAGGAGATGCTGTCCAGGAGGTCCAGGCGGCTTGGATGGCTTCTATCTTTTGGGGTGTTGGTGCGAGGGGAGAGTTTTCTGTGTTGTGGGTTGTGATGATGGAGCCGAGTTTGCCTGGTTTCTTCGTTCCTGTTGTTGTTGTTGTTGTTGTCTTCTTCGCTCTGGAACGTGGGAGAGACTTGGACATCTCTTCTTCATTGTAGATAGCTTTTGCGGGCGCAGCAGCTATCCGTGCTGAAGTTCGAGCGGGCGCAGTAGGTTCCTGGAAGATTTTACGTTTCTTGATGGGAGGTTTCCCGTCTGCATTTGTATTTGTAGCTCGTGTTGTCTTGGGAATAATGGGTTTGATGTCGAGTTCGGCGAGCAATTTTTGGTTTTGCTTGATCTTTTCTTGTCGACGGGATTCGTAGTCGTTCATTGTGACACCGAGGATGGATAATCCCTCTCAGACTGGCCTGGAAGTGATAAATATGGATATGATAATTCATGTACGTGGTATAAGGAACGTGAGCTTGACCTCCCGTGTTCACAACGTGAAGAGGATGACGTCGTCGAGGCGTCGATCGTGGACGCGACGTGACTGATTCTTGGCGGCACAGATACAGAGTACCTTGTATGGTACAGAGGTCAAGCATATCACTTCTACATATGTCTATGCTATTACTCCATTCGCGTCTTTCTCCTTTTGCTGTTCCAATGCCTTGGAGTTCTGGCTCACCCGGCCAGCGTGGACGTCCTCCAATACGCTCTTCAACTCCTTGAGAAATCGAGTCACTTCGTCCTCTGTGCCGACAGTGACACGAATGCAGCCCAGGCAGCCAGGCTCTTTTCCTCTGAAACGTACTACGACGCCTCTCCGCTCCGCGAGCCTCTCGTAAACTTGAAGAGCAACTTCATTGTTCGGCTTGCTTGAGGTATCTAGCATCTCCACGAGCAAGAAATTACTCGCCGTTCCACCTCGAAAGCGGCCAACGCCTGGGATCTTGGGCATCTCGGAGAGAAGTCTATCCCTTTGTTGAATGATCTGTCCTCGATGCTTGTAATTCACTTCGAGGTTCTTAGGCTGAAGCGCCTGAATGGCGATCTGAGATGTCGGGTTCGAGATGTTGTAAGGGGCCTTAAGACTATTCAACAGTTTTGCAACTTCGGGGCTGGTGAACGCTGCTCCTAATCGGATACCGGCAAGACCAAAAGCTTTCGACAACGTCTGCATCACGACCAGGTTAGGCCACTCCGCCACCCACTCAGCGAGTGACGACCCTTCAGGCGCGAAGTCAATATAGGCCTCGTCGACAATGACAAGACCGTTCCAGGTGGGATGCTCCAGAACACTGCGAACAGCCTCCTTATCCACTAAACTACCCGTGGGATTACCAGGACTGCAGAGGTAGACCATCTTGATCAGTGGATCAGCCGAGAGTGCTTCGTTGATTTTTTCCGGTTGAGCTGCAAAGTTGTTGTTGACGTCGAGCGGCACCTTGACGATCCCCACATCGTTCACATGAGCCGACACAGCATACATGCCGTACGTGGGAGGACACGTCAGGATCTTGTCCTTGCCGGGTGTGCAAAAGGCCCTCAGCAGAGCATCGATAGCCTCATCACTGCCAACACCAACGAAGAGGTTTTCGGGGGTCAGGTTCTTTTCGGTATGAACATGAGTGTTTCTTAGGTTGATCAAGTGCTGCTTCAACTCATGCTGGTGACTGCGGTGCAGTCAGTATATGGAGTATGAGTCATGTCTCCGGGCAAGTCGTACATACGGATCAGGATATCGATTCAGTCCAAGGAGATCGATTTCAATGCCGGATGTGTTGCCATTGACCAGCTTGCCGTCGTCAGTGAGGGCTAGACCAGGTCCGTAAGCGTTCTCGTTGGCATCCAGCAATATATTGGTCCCATCGTCCTTGTAGTCACTTCACGGAGGTAGTGTTAGCTAGCCATTGGGCACACGTTGTGGCGAGTTGGGGCATGAACACATACTCTCTTGCGCATCTGTATGGCTCCAACGCCAGGATGTTCGGCCTGGCGCACTTTGTTATATCGAATGGCATCGTTGTTGGTCTCGGCGCATGAAACGGTCTTGGTTCAAGATTTCGCACGATGAATCAACGCGGTGGCGGCGAAATGATAATGCTAGATCCGCGCCGGGATGCCGCGTAGCCGAATTGCATGTGACATTTGAACAGGGGTGTGCGAGTGCGCGACAGGGTACATGGTATGTTTCGAAAGTTGTTCTCAGATGACACGGCTCCCGTCCGCGATATCGTTATCGCTGACGTTTCTGGTCACACACTATTCATACCTAGGCACCTTAAGGCTTACCTGACCTGTACACTCTTGCAAGTACATGAGAAGCTGGACATCCAAATCCACACAACCTGTTGGCGTCTGGCTCACGACAAGAAACGCAGCGCGAGAAACTTGACGCCCGCAGCCACGACCATGTCAACGCGTCAAACCTGAACCCGCCGCGGCACTCCGACAATTCTTGCACAACGGTTAGCGCAACACCAACTGGACTGGCTGTATCCACCGCGCTTCTTGGGCATGAGCGAATGATTTTTCTACTCTCGGCTCCACTACCACTAGAACCTCTGCCTTCACCTACGACCTTCATAGCGCTCCCGGCCGCTCCGCCACTCTCCGACACGCTGCCGAGTTGCGCACGCGATCAAATCGTGTCACCCATCCGCGACCGCCAACATGTCGTCGAAGGGTCAAATACCCAACACTCCGCGAGTCATTTCGCCCTCGCCGACTCCGTCAGAAACAAGCGGCAAGGAGGGCTACTTTCCACCTACCACACGATCGAAGCAGAGGCGCGTAGATGCATCAGTCGCGCCTATCGAGGAGCATGCGAACGAAGGGCACAACGAATTGGGTGTGCAGGACGAAACACATCCCGACTTCCGTCGTGCTAGGAGTAGGAGTAGGAGTCCACAGATTCAGCGGGAAGCATTAAGGATGACGGCCAATGGTGGGACAACAACTGCTGCAAATACCGCACTGCCACTAAGCTCCGTGAGAACGAGAGGGAAGTCTGGAGAGAAAGTCCTCTCAAACGGCTCAGCCAAGCAGCTGATAAAGGAGAATGACCTGCTTTCTCCAGCAAGTGCAGTCCCACAAGGCTTCGGATCAGCATACTGGAGGAATCTCTCTCGAAGTCCCAGTCCATTTGGCTTGATCCCTGTGCATCGCGAGTGGCGTGCATTCGTTCACAAGCACGAGATTCCACGGAAAGCTCTTCATGTCAGCATTGGCTTTCTGACACTCTTCCTGTACCACCAAGGTTTCCAAACCAATCAGATACACCCGGTGCTTCTGGGACTGTTCATCCCCATATTCTCCGTTGATCTCATACGATTCCAATGGCCCGAATTCAACAGGGTATACATTCGATATCTGGGCGCTTTCATGCGGGAAAGTGAAGCACACGATCGTTTCAATGGGGTCATAAGCTACATCGGGGGCTTGTGGTTAACGATGTACTTTTGCAGGAAAGATGTGGCGGTGGTGTGCGTTCTGCTATTGAGTTGGTGTGACACGGCAGCGAGCACCTTTGGCAGACTTTGGGGCAAGTACACGCCTAGAATCAGGCGAGGGAAGAGTTTAGCTGGATCGATTGCGGCATTCACGTTCGGCGTTGCGAGCGCTGTACTCTTTTGGGGCGTCGTCGCGCCCAAGACGCCAGAAGAGTACAACATGGGTCAGCATCGCTTTTCTTTTCAGGGGACTCTGACCTTGCCCAAACCTGCGAGAGAGTATATGAATATGAGCATAGGCCAGGCTACGATAGGTGGCCATGTTGCACTGGCAGTCATGTCGCTCGTGTGTGGCTTTGTTGCCAGTTTTGGCGAAGCGATCGATCTGTGGGGTTTGGATGATAACCTGACCATACCAGCGTTGTGTGGACTCGGCTTAGAAGTATTTCTATGGGCCTTTGGCGGTAGCTAATAGTCTTTGCACAAATGGACATATTATGACTCCTCTCGTTGTATCGAGGCTTTCTTTTCGAACTCGTTTCTTCCAGCGTAGCTCGCTCAAAATTTTTGTCATTTAGTGTAAGGTATGTACCTAGTATAAAACGCTAGTTGTGTGTCCAAAGTGCCGGCTCATCATGAACATTGTAGGCGGAGATGGAACTAGTATGGAACGTTATCGAATACCCGACCCCACCAGTACCATAACAAACAACATCCTACTTTACACTTCCACATCGCCGAACTCGATCCTGAATTACAACAACACCAACGCCGAGAGAACTCTGACCGACCACTCCATCTCAGCGAGCACTTGCGGACTAGCGAAGGCACTGTCATCGTCGCAGAGCGTTGTATTTGAGCGAAGAGGAGGACGCCACCACAATGTCGACAGCGGCGCGCAGGAGATTGATGCGCGACTTCAAGCGCATGCAGACCGACCCCCCTGCTGGTGTGAGCGCGAGTCCTATAGCAGACAATGTCATGACCTGGTAGGGCGAACTCTTCCATGCATACATAGTGCACACGACCATGGGCAGACTCTTGGGCAACCATCACGATTCTACCTTGGGCGGATTGCCGCTGACTCTACGGCATGTACAGGAACGCAGTCATCATCGGGCCGTCGGACACGCCTTTCGAAGACGGCACATTCAGACTCGTCATGCACTTCGAAGAACAGTACCCAAACAAACCGCCGGGCGTCAAGTTTATTAGCCAGATGTTCCATCCGAATGTTTATAATACTGGGGAGTTGTGCTTGGATATTCTGCAGAATAGGTGGAGTCCTACGTATGATGTCGCGGCGATTTTGACCAGTGTTCAAAGGTGAGTGCTTTCGACGGCTGTGGGCTTTGATACTGAGTGATGTGGCATGTGATCTGAGGTGTTCGAAGTGGTCGTTTATGAACCCAAGCTGACTGGTGGTGTACGCAGTCTGCTGAATGATCCGAACACGTCGAGCCCTGCGAACGTCGAAGCGAGCAATCTTTACAAGGACAACCGGAAAGAGTACACCAAGCGTGTACGAGAGACGGTCGAGAAGAGCTGGGAGGACTGATGAATCCTGGGCACAAGGAAACGAGAGATTGGTGCTTATAATGGCCGTTCTGCACAGCGGGCTGCGATCAGTCCGCAAGGAGGTATCTGCGTCTGGCAATACTGTAGAGGCACTTTTGACTGTATGACACACGCAATGAATATCAGCGCGGCGTTTGGACTAGGCGTGAGGGATGGTTGCTTGAATGATAAGACGACTATGGACGACAAAATGAAACGTCCAGAATCATCCAACTGCTCTCCAGAGAGCAATTCCAAGGCACTGCAGATGGTGTTACTGCATGGCCGGAGCAGGAGGACCGACTGAGAATAGCTGCGAGGTTAACGTGAGATATGTAGTCGATGAAGACTGAACTCGATGGACACTGAATCCTTCTTGAGGTATCGACGTATTTATATCCATCCATATCGGCTTCTCCTCTTCTCGCCTTCATCCTGATTCGAATATGTGCACCATACATACCTGACATATTAGTGGTCACTGGTCAGATATGAGATAGGTCCTTAGCCTCACACAGTACAGGGTGGGTCGGCCGTCGGCATAGTGAACCAGAAGGATAGAACGGCAACATAGTCTCGGCTTGGCTGATCATAAAGTAGCGTCCGTCGATACCGAACCAATGAAAGACGATTCTCAAGCTCATCAGATGAATGTGAGACTGTGAGTGGAAACTGACCGCGGCTAGCCTCTCGTCGGCCAGGAACTAAATCATTACTAGCTCAGATAGCAGTACTCGAGGTCGTCCCTGATTACTCACATTTTTGTCTCTCAATCGTCTTGTTGGTGAATTGCACTCACGAGAATCACGCTACTGTACCTCCGCGCTGTTTCGATGCGCTGAGAAGAGTGCACCGGCAAAAACGTAGCGGATATGTATGTGGTAACTGGATTGAAATTGTCTGAATGTCCATGGTACCTGATATTCTCGATTGAACTCGATTGCCAGCATGAAGTCGTCCTGTTCGTCGGGATGACTACCTTGTGCATGATGCCATAATTGCCATTCTCAGAGTACATGTAATGCTCATCGTTGATTTTGGCGATTCGTAGGAGGAGGTAGGTATGGCATGGTTTAAGTGGCATCAATGGTACTCTTGGCAGACCAACCAGGTGCGTACTTCCGTCCTTAGGTACCTTACCTGGCACTCACCACCACCACCACCATCTAACATATCAAGATGCTCATCACGAAGCGACCGACTCCGAGTACAGTCCTCTACACAGTTTCCACGCGCTCTCAAAACAAGACCCTAGCATCCCGTCTCGCAACCTCCATCTCTCTCCTAATCCGAATCATCGCAGGCCTACTTGTCCTAACCTGCCTCCTCCTCGAATACCATCAGACTTTTACCAACAACAAGAACAACGACCACAACAACGACAACGACACTGCAAACCACACCCCAGTGGTAGATAACAACCACAACAACACCCTCCAAAACGCATCACAAGCGATATCCAACAGCGCCCTCGGTCATTTCCTATCAACCACCATCCCCCGACCATGGCGTCTGGTTTCCATTCTCGTAACCTTCTGGTTCATCTTCCGCAAAACGCATACTCGAGAATCGCTCTTGGTGATTCGAGGCTTGGGAGTGCAGACGACGACGAGTAGTCCCAATTACCTCTGGACGAGCTCGACGAGATTCATACCGACCAAGGCGATTCAGGATATTTTTATTCATGAGTCGTTTGAGGGGTTCAAGGTGACGTATTATTTGAGTATTGTCATTGAAGGGGAGGAGGATGTGGTGGTGGTGTTTCCGGTCAGTCTACCTCTTTCTTTGTGGTTGTGTGTTGTCACATGGTTTTGTGATGTATCTATCGCTCTAACGCTCATCGAAAACTCTGTAGAGTATCTTACCACGACGAGAAATATTGGAGCAAGTCTGGAGAGGTGCACGAGCTTGCCTATACGAGCCTAAATCTGGATGAGGAGAGAGCTTTCGTTCTACTGGCTATGGATTGCACGAGCACTGTACATGGAACTACCTATTCGTCTGCATCCTCATCACGTAGAGGCTTTGCGACTAGGCCCTTGCGTGCTGCGTAACGCGCATTTACAACATCAGGCGTCTCCATCTGCTCACGCTGCGCAATTGGCGTATACGTGCCCACTGTACGCGGCACGGCACTGCCATCAAAGACACGGGCACTTCTTTCAGCAGATGGAGGCGGTATCTGATCCGACAGAGGCTGCTGGCCCTGTGCCGACACCACTCCCATCAGATTCCATGCCAGCACTTCGTCCATCTTGCGCTTGCGCCAGAGGCCCCAAAGATCGTCCATGATACCGTTACGCCCATGCTTGCCGTCTTCAACACCCGTGGACGATCTTTTGTTCTGCTCTCGACCTCCATCTTCATCGCCAATGTATATCCACCTCATGGCATCATGGTAGCCGCCTGCCATGCTTTGATCATTGCCTGCGTGATCGGAGGTCGATAGCTCCTCGACACTCGGGAAGATACAGTCCCAGAGCACGAGCGGAACATCGCTGGCCATCTCATAATGAGGCTTTCCTGGCGTCTTTTGGACATTGAGCAGGTCATCAACAACACTTGGTTGCTCGTGACCTTGGCCAACCAGGAAGAGAATGGCAACGAGATGACGAACCTGGTGCCATAGGAATGCACTGCCACGGACTTCGAAATAGTAAAGCTTTGGCGTATCGCCATTACTTACCGCAGCAGATGAATGCGGGCCTACTTCATGTATTCCAGCATGAAATATCCTCCGCTCCCAATTCGTGATCTGCTTGCTTGGATCTACTTTGCAGAGATTACGGAAGTCATGCAGACCTTCGTACTTTTTGGCTGCAACATTCATCGCTTCAATGTCGAGGAATCCTTCCCCGGGCTTGCCATTCTCCCACGGCTTGCCGCCAGGCAGAGGAGCATAGGCAGGATTGGTGAAGAAATACCGATACCTTCGCTCTTTGCAGTTGAAACGTGCAGAAAAGCCATCACCAGGCTCGGGACACCATGCTAGGATGCGAATATCGGGTGGAAGGACGCGATTGATGAGTTGAATGTAGGGTAGCTCGTCTCTGATGGGGTCAAACTCCTTCTCTGCTGGCGGCGCTGCAGCGGCATTGGCGTCCTGGCTCACATCTGGCATGATAGTATCAGCGCCTTGACTCTCTGCGCCAGCGCTCACTTCGTTTGGCAGCACTTGTTTCTTTTCCTTTATTCTCGCACTGCGCACTCGCACGCCGATGACTTGGCCGAACGCGCTGACTCCGCGATCTGTTCTCCCACATTTGCTGTATTCAATGCCATCCCAGCAGACATCTTCTTCGCTTTGACCAGGTTTCTGCTCGGGAAAGATCAGCTTGACCTTGCGCATCGCCCTCCACAGCTCTTCTTCGATAGTCGGCAAAGGTGTCGTGTTGTTCGCGTGGTGTTCGAAGCCGTTGTAGTTGGCGCCCAAGTACGCGAACTTCAGCGCGATCAGTCGTGTGTGGTATCGGCTCGCATCAAATTTTTTGGGCTCCTTCCTGGGCTTCCTCTTCAGAGGTGCCGAGGAGCCATTGACGGCATGGTTCGCGTTCTGTGTCCGCAGTTGTGCTTCGAGCTCGCTGACCCGCTGCACCAGGTCGGCATTCGACCACGAGGCATAGTCTGTGTCCATGGCCGGGTACTTGCTACGGTAGCACACGGTTGAGACGTGAAAGGCCTTCTTCGAGGGAGTAATTCGAACTTCAGCTTTGTAACAGCGCGACAGGAATAAGACAGGCCCACGCCTCATGCTTGACTGACCACTTCGATAGCAGAGTCATAGAAAACTGCCTATGAGTGGGAAGAATTCAATGTGGAGGTGGAGAGACATCGGAAGCTGAGCCGACATCACGGCGTATCTTCTTTCTTCACCTTTGCTCGACTTCGCCTTCTTTTCTACTACCACACACGTCGTCATTCACTTCACAGGCGGTCTCGGAAGAAGAAATCGCTAGCACAATGCTATCTGCGACTATACTTGGACTCGAAAAGGCCCGTCGTAGGGATTTTCATGCCTACCTTACCTGACAGAACACAAGTGATGCGAGAGGAGGCTCTACACCCAGTACTTTCGCTCGTCTTCCACCATGCCACGAGGAATATTCCCCGTTCTCCCTGCGAGCACCTGGCCCTTTCCGCGCCTCAAATATTGGCCATATTGCTTCCCTCCGACGATGCCTGTTGACTGATCCCACACTACTTGACCACGAAGGATGGTATATCTCGGCCAGTTTCCGACATTAATGCCCTCGAACGGCGTATAGTCAATGTCATGGTGCATTTGATCTTGTGAAATTGTCACTGCGCCGGACTTCCCTGGGTGCCATATAACAAGATCCGCATCGTATCCGGGAGCGATGCTGCCCTTGACCCCATCGAGACCATACAACTTCGCAGGGTTGGTCGACGTAAGCTGGACGAACCTGGGCAGACTCAGTCGTGCGTGCTCGGGCTCCTGACAAGCTGGTGTCTGGCCAAACAGTAATGCCAGTCTCGTCTCGACTCCAGGGAGGCCATTGGGAATCTTGGAGAATTTGGCCACGCCATCGACGATGCCGAGTCGCTTACCTCCCGGATGATCATACTTGCTAGGAGCATGATCTGAGGAGAAGGTTGTAAAAGTTCCATTCGCAATATTCTGCCAGAGTCCTTCCAGATCCTTGACGTCGTGCCTCAACGGAGGGGAACAGACGTGTTTCGCTCCCGAAAAGTGATCATGCGGTTCGCCTTTGATCTTTTCTGACAGCAGGAAGAGATAGTGCGGGCAAGTCTCTGCATGAATGGGAAGTAATCGTGTCTGCGCATCTCGCACATGCGCCACAGCGATATCGCTACTCATGTGCACTATCAGCATGGGAGCGTCTGCTAGTTCAGCTAGAGAAATGGCTCGATAAGATGCTTCATCTTCTGCAATCCTGGGCCGCGCAATCGCATGGAAGAATGGATCGGTGTTCTTGTTTCTCTCCAGACCTTCGATGATCATGCTAATGATATCATTCGATTCCGCATGGATCATAGTTGTCATACCAAGAGACTTGCATGCGAACAGAATCTCCAAGATTTCCCGATCATTGACTCTCATGGCTTCATATGTCATGTACAATTTGACCGAGGTGATGCCCTCCTTCTCAGCAAGCACTGGCAGCTCATTCCGGAGAATTTCGGGCGTAGGATTCGTGAGGATGAAGTGGAAACCATAGTCGCAGTAGCTTTGATCTGTAGATTTCAATTTGTAGTCTTCCAGCGTTGGCCATAAACTTGTCTCGGATTTGGGTTGGGAGGCGAACGCGAGAATTGTGGTCGTGCCTCCAGCTATGGCCGAGCGTGAACCTGTCTCCCAAGTATCGCCTGTTGGCGAGTTCTTCTGTGCCAAATGCACATGACTATCGACGCCGCCAGGTGTGATATATGCGCCTTCTGCATCGATGATTGTCGTGCCTGGTGAAGCAGGCAAGCTCGTACCCATGCATGAAATCTTGCCATTGCTCACTCCGATCTCCAGGCCTGCTGGCAGAACTTCGCTTGCCGTAACCTGCAAAACACATCAGCACAATTCCTTCAAAAACATCTGCGTGGTCTTGCAACTCACAATTATGCCGTTCCTCACTATCAGGTCAAATTCCATATTGAATGCCAAGCAATCCCGGACCACATGTGCAAGGATTGCTACAAGGGGAGACTTTTTTTTGCAAGTGAATAAATAATATTGCAAAGCTCAATTCTCGCTCGCTTCTCTTCACAATACATTCAACTTATACTTCTCCTGGAACACTGTGTCTACAGATGCGGACGTCTCCTTCCTTGCCGCTGGGGATACTTCCGCCCGTAGAGCCATCGATGCTTCCGCCGAGCCATTGGCCGCCTATGATACGTGTTATCGGGCAAGATAGGGGGAACATGCGGCCAAGCTGTAGTGAACATTTCATTACATGCTAGCTATAGACTACCAGTGCCAAGACGAGATTCTGTTGCCCGTGATATAACGGGGCCAATGGGTTGGCGAAGGTGAAGTATAATGGTGGTGACTTTTCACAGCAGCACAACGCGTGGAGAATTCAATTGATCTCCGCACCAGAAAGCATTCATTCATTCAACAAGAACTATTTTTCTCCATCACACACCATGTCGAGGAGAATCACAGTCGCAGCTGCCCAAGTCGGCGCAGTCCACAAAGACGCATCCAAGCCAGAGACGGTCCAGAGACTCATCAAACTACTACAAGAAGCAGCCGAGAAAAAAGTCCAACTGCTAGTCTATCCCGAATGCACTCTGACCACCTTCTTCCCACGCCACTTCATCCAATCCCAAGCAGAACTAGACCAGTACTTCGAACATGGCGAAGACATTACGCAATCGAAAGATATCAAACCTCTCTTCGACGAAGCACAAGTACGTGGCATTGACATTTGCATTGGATATGCAGAGCGCACGCCCGACGGAACGGGATACAATACCTCTGTGTATTATTCCGCTTCGGAAGGCAAGGTGATTAGCAAATACAGAAAAATTCATTTGCCGGGCAGAGTCGAGCCGTTTGAAGACCCGGAAGCAACGAATCAGTTGGAGAAGCGGTATTTTAAGCCTGGTGATTTGGGCTTCAAGGCTTTTCGTGCGCCGGGCCTGGTTCCAGACGCGAGGAAAATGTCTATGCTCGAGAAGAAGGAGGAGGAGGAGGGAAAGGAAAAGGCTGAGCGAGCAGATGGGAAAGGCGACCCGATTATGGGTATGATGATCTGTAACGATCGTCGTTGGCCCGAGGCATGGCGAGTGTATACTCTACAAGGAGCAGAGATTTTGATGTTTGGATACAATACGGGCTCTCACATGTCGCATCTCTGGGGCACTGGAAATGACATGACGCCCGACGAGCAAGAGAAGGAAGCCTTGTTCCATTCGAGACTCGTCCAGCAAGCCAACAGCTACATGCATGCTTGCTTCTCCATCTCATCGGCCCGGTGCGGTGTGGACGATGGCAAATACGATCTCATCGGGGGAAGTGCCATTGTCAGCCCCGAAGGCCACGTTGTCGCTGAAGCCAAGACTAAGGCGGATGAGCTCGTTATTGCAGAGATTGATTTGGCCGAGTGCAGGAAAGGGAAAGAAAAGACTTTTGATTATGCTCGACATAGAAGAGTGGAGGCATACTCCTTGATTACCGAGCAGACGGGCGTGATAGAGCCACCTCTACTCTCCTGAAGAATGTAGCCATAGCATCTCTCAACACCAGTCATTCAAGCTTCGTCGGCGCTCTCCCATGACTACGCAATACATTAGCAGATCCTCTTCTTCTTCTTCTTCTTCCTCCTCCTCCTCCTCCTCCTCCTCCTTCTTCTTCTACATATTGACCATACTCATCTAAACAGCAAAGCATTTGTAGAGCAGCGCAGCTTCATGCTGGGGTATGGGGCGGGATACCACGGAAACCGCTACTACTGTACCTACTACTTGAGATCTGTCCGAGATGGTAGCACCGCCGATCACGCACGAAAGCCAGCGGATGCGTTACGGGATAGGTTCTGTGTGAAAAAGGCTAAAGGACAACAACAACAGCCTGCAGGGATGACAGAGTGATGAGGAACAATGGCGAATTGAATAGATGGTACAACTATACATGACTTTTTTTTACCTTCCATCTCCACTCCTTCCAGACCCTGCTTCAGCTTCTTTGAGATCGCCCTCTTCGCCAGGTAGGAAGATCTCATGCCCGCTACCATTCCGCACCTTGAAGCTCGCGATACAGCCACAGGCGGCAACGGTGGCAACAATCCACCACGCCATGCCTACAATGCCGCGCTCGGTCCACATACCATACCAATAACCCGCCAGCATGGGACCTATGGTACGGAACGTGGCTGAGCAGGCATTCCCTATCCCGTGTATCGTAGCCAGAACGCTCGGGTGCGGCGAACTGTTGTTCAGCAGGATGATCGAAGCCGGCAAAGCAAAAGTGCGAGCTGCCACCTGCAGAAACACAACGAAACTGATTCCCATCCAGATTGTGGCACCACTTGCGGGAGCAGGCGGCGCGCTGACAGATGGTAGAAGAGCCAGATACGGTGCCAGGTAGTACGCCATCGGGAAGAGGAATAAAGACATTCGAAAGCAGCGCATCAAGCCAAATCTCGCATTGGCCCAGGGGTATAGTAAAAATTGCAAAGTCACGCCAATGAAGCCAATGATGGCCATAGCAAAACCGATCGTGGGGGGAGGAAACGCCAGCCCTGAAGCGAACTTGAATGCGCTTCGTGGTTCGAGCGCTGCATCATCGCCCTGCGGATTGAATTGCCTGGGTGTGGCGAGGAACAGAATCCAAAGATTGGCGAACGCGCCCATGTGAAAGTCAAAAATCGCTATACTGAGAAGTGTCCAGAGGACATTCGGCGTCCATATCCTGCGGAAAGCCAATCTCGGTGCCTGTCGTGGTGTCATTTTATCTCCTGTCGATGTGAGTCTGTCCATTTCCAACGAGTTCCGTTCGCCTTTGGAAAGCAGACCTTCTCTCTGTGATTGTTGTAATGCCGTATATCCCTGATTCTTCAGCAAAACAGTCTGTTGATAAATATGCCGCACCAACGCAATCGGGTCGAATGAAGCGAGGCCTACTCTACGCTCGCCTTTCAGCGTTTCGGTGAGGAAGAAGTGCACCAGCGCGGCCTCAGCGAATAGCAGCACTGTGCTCATCAAGTTCGCGGCTGCATAAGGATATGCCTTCATCCATACGACACCTGCATCTCCACCGAATACGCCTCCCGAGCCAAACATACCAGGCAAGTTGATGACAGGATCCACCAATAGTCCTGCCACAATGGGTCCTGCGACGTTCGCAACGTTGAAGGCAGCGGGCAACAGCAAAAATGCGCGTGGGTGCCATGGCTTCGGCGTGATCTCTGCCACCATTGTCCTCGCAGACCCCACGGTGCCATTGATGGCGCCACTCATCAATCTCCAGAACACTGCTTGTCCATATGTCCTGCTGAAGCCGACACCAATGCAGCCCAGTCCCGTGCCGACGAGGCCGATCTGCAGCACGGTCTTCCTCCCCAACGCCGGCTGGTCTGCTGCTCGTCCCCACAGGATGCTGGTGACGATTTGCGCGGCAGTGAAAGCACCTTGCAGCACGCCTGCCTGATGTGAGATGACGACGTCAGACAGCTCTGGATCGAAGCTCTTCAGCTGGTGCACCATGTAGGTCTGCAAGGCTGCCATTTGGAAGAAGTCGACGAATCGTGAAGCGGCGAGTATGGCCAGTTGGCCTTTGTTGGGCATGTTGGACCATGTTGGCACCGCATTATCTGAGGATGGCAGCGCAGGCAGAGGATGTGCCCGCTCGGCGGACGAAGTCGAAAGGGCACGAGCAGGCTTCGGCGGCATGGGGGATGGCAGGTCGTGCACCTCTTCGGCACCGTTGAGCGATTGCGACTGCGACTGTCGTCGGGGCCATGGTTCGGTAGATAGCGAGGCAGCAGCAGCAGATATCGGGGGCGCGGGCGTGGGCGTGGAGGCGGGCGTGGTGTCTAGGAAGCGAAGGATTTTCTGGGCCGAGTCGGGCGGGGATTCGTGATGCTTGGCAGTGGCAGGTGCAGTGGTAGAAGTAGTGGAGGTACTCGTGTTGTGAAGACTACCTCCTGTACCTCCTGTGCCTCCTGTACCTCCTGTACCTCCTGTACCGCCCGTCGATGCTAGAACGAGACTGTTGCGTTGCCGCGCTCGCTGGTCGTGACCGTGGCTAGTAGAAGTAGTGCTGCTGCTGCGTTGATGGGCCATGGCAGACAGGCATACATGCCCAGCACCGAGGTGACCGAGGTGGTTCTAGGTGAAGTCTAAGAATAATAGCCAAGATATACCTACCTCCCAGTAGGAGCTCAGGTCGGTACCAGGTACAGGTATCTTGGGGAGTGAGTTATGTAGTAGTAAGGTACATTTCACCTGCAGTAGGAGGTAAGTAGATAGAGTCGAGAGAGACAGACTCATGATACTACAATCTGCTACATAGAGTAGGGCAATTTCCATCACAGGACGGGCACACTGTAGACGAAGCCATCGGCAACATGCAGTATCAGCATCCGCACCAGCACTAGAAGCATCTGATCACCATCAAACACCGTTGCAGAATGCGTACGCCGCCAAGATGCTTGTACGCAATACACGCCCCACCAAGGTGACCAAGCACCCACACGGCCCACCCTCCCGAGCCGGCGCCGCGACATCTGTGTCACTTCACATATCCTGAGGAGGCTAGTACCACCTAGGAGCTCACTAAGGAGACAACTCAGATAAGTGACGGAGGTACGGGGGATAAACGAGCGCCGTCCGCTGTGACAACATCGTCAGACGCGGTTGGCGGGATGCCCCGTCTATTATGCGCGCCGCATCTTTCTTACAAGCCAGGCGGGGAGTCTGCTGCGAGAATACCGGCGACTTCACGTGTGGCATCACTGCTACAATAGTGCTCATGATGGCGTAAATGCCTTTTTGCTAGATGGAAGCACACAATGGCTGATCCAGACTGGGTTATGGTACTGTACCTATATATGCAGATGCTGAAATGCTATTGTGGACGTGCTATACCCACCGCCCGCCCCATGACTTCCCAAAACAAAAACCTGTACACCTGTCGTGATGAGTACGACTACACGCCTCAAGGCTAAGACCATCCCGACGAGGACCTTCGACTGTTCACGCTTGCCCCATATTCGGACCCTTCGACGTCTTTGCTCTGTATCCTGGTGTACTTTGTAAGACCCAGTCTCGATCCCAGAAAGCTGCCTGCCAAAACATCTCTCGGTCGCTCGAAAATACCGCTTTGGTGAAGATACCAGCATACCCAAACAATGAGTGCCCCCAGGATTGCGCCTGCTCCAACAGCAGCCGATGTCTTGGTGTCGTTTCTGCCTTGATAGCTGTCGTCGCTGTCTGACTTGCCATGATCGACCAATGCCCCTACCGGCAAGGGGTGATAGTAGTCACTCGTGTCATAGCCGCGATTCGTCGACAGTAGTGCCTCATCCGTCTTGATGGCTGCCTCGTATGGAGTTTCCTCTTCGGGCGGCACTCGTTCGGCATAATCGCATCCTCGGTCACTGCAATGCGGCCTCAACGCTTCACTCGGGACGAACGTTTTGGTGATGGCACTCGTCTCCATTGCTCGGCCTTCAACATCGACGGCTTCAGCATATGTCCAAGCTGCATACTGATCGATGTGATGCTCGGTTTCGAACCCCGTTTTGAACACATTCCCTGCCAACTTCCACGGACCCCGCGCAGATGCGCCAGTGTAGAACCTCCAGCTTTTGATTTCTGTAGCACCGTTCCACGACGCCCAGAATCCCATTTGCTCCTTTCCTGTCCTGCTGTACGTCCACAAGGCAGGTTTCGTCACGGGCTGAGCTGTCCAATTGTATTTGTTGGAGCGGTAAATCATCACGTTAGATTCTCGCTCGGCCACGTGTGCATACATGGTGGCCTCACCATTCGGCAAATGCTCAGAGAAATATGCATGCTCGCCCCAGCCGATATGAACTCCTCCATTCGGCAGTAGTTGCATATTACCCTGAGACGTTGAAAGCAGTCCACCTTCTGGCTCAGGAGCGCCAAACTCTTTGACCACGGTTGATTTCTTGGCAGTATGATCTATTTCAATCACGTAACCGCGAGAGAACGTGCCGGTCGCTGCGTAGTTGTTGCTCGCATTGTCGTAGAACGAGAACACCGTGTGCGTGCTGTTCTCTGAGATCCACCTGGCGTGATGTTGGTAAGAGAAGTTGAAATTAATCAGTTCGAAGTGGCTCCGAGTCCCTCCTAATTGCCAGAGAATGCTGCCATCCCGACCCGAGACCTTGTAGATGGCGCTAGTGTGCCTCGCCGACAACAAATAGTCGCCCTTCTCATTCTTGTCAATGGAATTGAGGTGGAAGTAGTCCCAGGGCTCCTGCTCGTCCAGCCCAGTGCCGCTCGTGTCGGTTGTGCCAGGTAATGTGCATGCGTCTTCGGGGTCGACATGGTTGAGCGAGCGCCACTCGAAGACTACTTTGCCCGTGTCAATCTCAACCTCTTGAAATACACCTTCGACGATCCATCCCATTCCTTTTCGCACATTAAATCGTGGATTCACCGTGAGATCGTACTGCCGGGGCTGATAGACTGTCATTAGAGCAGTGGTCCCCTTCGAATAGGGCGTTATTTTGAACTCATGCATATCGCTACGACTGTCAGGTCAGATGTCTCATTGATAGGTTGCAGGCATGGGACGTACCTACTGGCGCCGGCACCTGAGCTATCGACCTGCTTCACTACACGGTAGTGTTGGTCCATGATAACTCCATGTCCACGCGCAAAGCCTTGGTGCTGCTCTCCCGTGAAGAAGCATAGATGATCTGTGCCCTTGTACTGACAGACTCGCGGCGTATGTGCCGTCATGGGCCCCAGCTCCCCAGCGCCCGACCAGACCAGCTCGCCGGCATTATCGTAGATATACGGCCCTGCATCGATGTTACGATATGGCGCAAAGAAGATGTAGCCGGGGACGAGCTTTTCCGGCTGTAGAATGGAAAAGTTGATGATGGGAGCATGAAGGTCGGGCCTCTGTGTTTGCAAGAATTAGCGAGTTGTGTCCCAACAAGGGAAAGGCAATGCCAAGCTCCTGGCTCCTCCCTCCTTGCATGGCGCATTCCCATATAGTTCGACGACAAGTCTCCAAGTCTCCAAGAGTACCTAGTAGGTACTACCACTTACCGACTTGAATTGATGTGTCGGCGATGTGTCGTTATTCAAGTCCGCCGTGACTTGCGGTGAGAACAGCAGCGAGAAGACTGACGAGAGCCATAGAGTCCCCCCAAAGGGCGAGCGAGCGAGCGAGAGGCGCATCCGATCGGCTGGCAGTAGAAGTACCGAAGGGCAACGAGGCGAACAGTAAGTGGTAGGAGCAGGAAGCTGTGTGGGCGGCAGTGCGTTGTTATCGACACTTCATGCTTGGTAGTAGCCAGCACTCAGGGAGCAAAACCTGGTCTGAAGTCTTTTAAAGAAGGAGGCGCTGGACGGACGAAGATGGCCCGGTCACGCACAGAAGTTGAAGAATCATGAAATAATGATCGGATCACGCTGCCGAGCACCAGACGGACGAGCAGGCGGGCAGACAGGCAGGCAGGCGGGCGGACGGGCGGGCGGAGCGGAGAGGGAGAGTGAAAGAAAGTGAAAGAGAGAGAGGGAGTGACGACGACAGCCGAGTGGTCGATGGAAGGTTCCATCATGGGAGAGAGCTGGAGGGCAGAGTACTACATGTACCTACCCTCCTATGAGGTAAGGTACCTGACCTATGGGACTAGGAGGTACAGGTACCTGCTACTGCCATCGGCAAGACAGAGGCAGGAGCAGGGCAGGAACAGGGCAGGCGCGATCATGGTAATGGGTTTAAGCGTGGCGCGTGGCAATGAGGCAGAAGTGGCCCAGGTGGGTGACTGGGTGTGGTGTGGTGTGGTGTGGGATCGGACTGCCCAGTGCCTTTGCATCTCAAGCAACGACACAAACTCTCATGCCCACACTAGTACCTGGCCTACGACTTTTAGTTCTCTTACTGACATGCAGCGCTCCGAGGCTATGGTTTCACGCTTTGCTTGCTGCACTTGGCCAGGCCAGCCCACGCCAGTAGTTTGCTAACTTGAGCTAAGCTTCTCTGCACGCTGCCGAACGGAACCTGCTGCCGATGACGATACATGTCGTACCTATTGTATCTACATACCTGTACCTACGCGTACTAGGAGGTAGAACGACCTACGGTACTGTCATGGATGAGTAGGTAGGCAAAAAACAACAGACCACACGGCAACTGACGTGGACGTCGTGCGTCGTGCGTGTGCATGCGTCGGCAGAGTGACCCGAACGTCATGAACCGATCAATAAATGACTCGTGACAAATGTATGAAAAAGAAAATCAAAATAAATAAAAAGCAGAAGCAAAAGCAAAAGCAGAAAGAAGGCTGCGAACTTTCCACACGTTCCAGTCAATTAATCTGAAGAAAAGTATGAAAGAGTGTCGAATGCTCTCCAATTTCTCCATCTCGTTTCAGACACAGTGCACAAAAATGACAGAGAGTGAGTGACAGCACCGAGTGACAAAGTGTGTGGGTCGTGGGGTGAGCGAGTGAGCGAGTGAGAGCGACGGGACCGCTGCTGTCTCTGTCCTCCACTGGACTGGGACTGGACTGCTGTGACAACTCTTTTGCTTGCGACGCCGACTCGAGCGCTAAAAAACAAGGAATAAAAAAAGAAAGAAAGAAAGCTCCACACTCCCGTCCACATCTCACATTCCTAATTCAGCCTTGCGCCTCGCACTTTGGCAGCGTCTCGTCCGCCGACACCTCATGTTTCGAAAGCGCTGATCCATCATCGAATCGGGTATATGTGGTCGAGGGGGGAACTTGTCGTCGGACCTGCGTCCTGCGTCAGCCCATGCAGGCCTGTCCTTGCTCATATTCTCCGGCCAAGTGCGTCGTCACCTATTCTCCACACCCAATATTTTGCTCGACATCATGCATCCGGCCCATTCACGGCATCATCCACAGAATAGGAAAGGCTCCTCACAGATGATTCAGGTCCGTGTCTGAACTTCGATTGACATTGTCGATTGTTGGCGCTCAATACATGTAGTTAATAATACTAATTGACTGGAAATCTCAAATTGAGACTTCTTGCATGCTAGGCGCCGGACTGTCGATGTGCGGCAAGACATTGTGCCATATAGCTCTCTGCAACCATACCAGGTACATATGTGCACAATTTCTCCTATGGGGGTGGTCTCGAACCCATTCTCCGTGGTCTATGCTTCCCAAGTGCATCAGTTCTACTCCTATGCACCATCCCATGCATCTATCCCTGGTGACCAGCAATTCCCGCAGAACGCCCTCAACAAAGTAATTTCAGTACTGGCTTCATGTGAATCCTCTGTTCTCGTCGACACCAATTCTCACGACAGCAGACCGCCACGGCCGCCGAAGAGCCGTCGTATGGTCATGCTGGCACTGAAGACAATCGCTGCCAGCGAACCTCCCACCACGGTTGCGCGAAACAACACATTCATCATTTGCATGCGATTCCTCCTCCGGCAGCGATCCACAAAGCCGTCAGTGTCATTCGTACGGGGGAACTTTTTGCCCTCCGGAATGGGAACTTCGAGAAACTCGCACAAAGGCTTCCAGCCTTCGCCCATCTTGTACTCCAGTAGTTGCTCTTTGGGCACAAGCGAACGAATCTCTTCGTAGTATTCCCGGAATCGTCGCTTGCCGTTCTTCTCGAAATCGCCCTCCCAGAACTCTGTCCAGAACTCTGCGCACTTGTTAGCATGAAGATGGCGAAGCGCCGATGGTGTCACGACATACTCGATAGCATAGGTTGGTAGAGACCAGCTCCCCAATCGAATTTCGAAACGAACTTGAGCTCTGGCTCGGTTGCTCGCCAGTGGACAGTCTTCATGGTGGACGCGTGCCAGCTGTCCACATCGCGAGTAGTGACGAGCACCTTGGCATCGGGGTATGCCTCGATGAGCTCTTTTGCAAAGGCGACGGCAGGCCAGTCGCATACCGCTTGGCAATGACCGAACAGTTGATCCCATTGCTCGCGTCCAAACACGCCCTTGCCGTCGTACTTTGCAGCAAGAGCGTCTGACCACATGAGACAGTCAGGAGGGTTCTCCACGCTGGCAGACATCATGTGGTAGCAGTCGCTGAAGCCGAGTTCCTGTAGTGCAGTTCGAAGTGACGCTGTGCCTGTGCGTCCGAGTCCCAGAGCCAGAACTCTCATGGGCACTACTCGTCGACATTCTCGACGATTGATGTCGGTGTCGTGTGTGAAGATGTCGGTGACGGGCTTGGGAGTATATGATTGAAATGCCATGGCGCGTGTGTTGGTGTGGCTTTGCTTGTTCGATGGCGGGCTCAGCTGAGTCGTCGACAATCAAGAGCTAGGAGGTAAGTAAGGTACCTTCAGTGGTACCTTGAGTATAGATCCAAGACTGGAGTTAAGCTTTACTAAGGTATGAATCAACGAACGTGTAGATGCAGGAGCGAGCGAGTATGTGTGTGTGTATGAGAGAGAAAGAGGAGGTACATGTAGTACCCAAGGGAGGAGGTAAGGTAGTGAATGGAAATCAGGTAGTAATGACGGACACGGGCAGGTGATGTCGCAGCGTAGAACTCAGGCTCAGGCTGAGGTAGGTAAGTACAGGTAGAGGTACATGTAGGTAGCGGGCAAGTTATCAGCAAACGCAAGGAGGAGGCACCCGACGCCGCAGCTCCTTGGTGCGCTAGAAGTCAACCTGTGGGACAGACGATCTCTCAGTAGTACATACCTGTACTTGGTAGTGTCTCCCGCGAAACATGGTCACTGCCACCCACCCCGACGTCCGACAACATGACGCATGTCCAAGCTTCGACAAGTAATGTAAATGTAGGAGGTAAGGTATGAAGCAGTAGTACTGTACCTTATCGCATACCCACGAATGCGCTTTGATGCTGCTCCACGGACGCGCACGATGCACGATCATCGGCTTCTTCAGCGATTGCGCGTTCCGACATGCGACAGAGTCTCTAGAGTGTCCACCGGCCATCGGACTGGATCAATAGTACATGGGAGGGTTCCACCGCCATGGGGGGAAAACTTCGCGAAGGCCGAGCGGACTGCTTTCCAAGACTTCCACGCGGGGGCCGCGACCGGTTCTGAGGCTGGAAAATCCTGGAACCATTTATCCATCACAGGAGGTGTGTGACCGTCTCCGCCGTCGTGTGCAGGTCGAGAAACGCGCTTGACATCTACTCGCCATCGCCATAGCGCCGGTGTGCTCACAGCACTTCACACGCATCAGCGTTGCGCCCATCTCGCTCTCTTCCTGATATCACAGGATCGCAGTAGGTACACACAGTGCTCACCGTGCGGAGTCGGGGCTGGCGTTTCAGCCACAGTCAGATTGGCGCACATAAAGCGGATGTCGCTGTCTCCTCCACTCGCAGGCGAAATGAGACAGAGTGGAGGCGGAGAGGACTTGTCATAGGCTGACGAGGCAGAGAATTTTGGGACAGATTGCTTGGTGTCTCGGCACGAGACCCCTATTCTGCTCTTGGTTTACTTGGCATTAGGCGTACAAAGGTGGAAACCGTCAACCGTGGTATATAAAAGGTAGGTAGCTACCTCCTACAAGCCCACGTGGCAATGGCGCATCGACCAAAGTCAAAACGCTCCTTTTTGCTTGGCGGCCGTGACCAACGCCATCTCCAGCTACATCGGTCCGTCTTTGGAAGAATCCTGCTAGGTACATGTACTTACATGTACCTGAAGGTACATGTTCGCAAGGGACATATTAGCTTGCAGACAAACAGAACAGCAACAGAACCTGTTCATCACCATAGATTCTCGACTCTCGTTTCGTACATGATTCTAGGTATGGTAGCTGTAATGAATGCTGGCCTGTATCCAGTCCAGACCATTGTGCATTAGGGGTGTACCGCTTCACTTCAAGCCAAAGCCCTCACTCTCGTCAACAGCCCTCCAGAGCTTCTCCTCGAGTTGTTCCCGATAGTCATATCTCCAAAGTACCAACATATTAAAACATGTCCGCGCCACCGGAAACCTCTCCCGTTCGTCTCGACCTCCGCCGCCCCAACCATCACCGCCAGCCTGTATCCGCAATATCAAGCTCGTTGCGCCCACTGCTGGTATCCGATCAGACCCCGTAATGAAGGTCAAGAGCTTTCTCTGCTTGTCGGGAGAAGCTTCACGAAACAGCTCCCAAAACCACCCAATCACAGGTGCTTCTTCTGCTGGATTCAGAATGAGTGGATGAGGGGGCTGGAAATGTCTCCAGTTCTCATACTGCGCAACTGCACGCAGAGAATCGACATCAAGAGCTTCATCGCTACCGCGAATAAGTAGCTCAATCTCTTCAGCACGAAAGAGGGATAATGCATTTCCAGCACACACGGTGAAGAACCCCCGCTTGAAGGGCTCAAACTGGCGAGCTACGGCAGTGTCCAGCATATACCGCACGTATGCGTCGACAAACTCGCGGCGATTCGTATTCGTCACTGCAATATTCTCGCCGTTGGGGACGAGAGGGACACTTTGTATGGTGCCATAACGCTCGATCGAGGCAACAAAATCTCGGCAGTAAGTCTCTTGAACATCGCCGTCATAGTCAAGGAGCTGTTGAAGACCAGCTGCCAGAGAGGGCCGGAATTCGGCAAGATCTTGGAGCGTATATGTCATTTGTCCCTTGGTACCGGTCAGCGAGGAGACGTTGTGGTTCGAAGTTCCTGTGATGGAAGCTGGCGCCGCCGCGAGCAGCTTCCGGAAGGCGAAGGGTGGAAGAGCAACATCTAAGATGGTGCTGTTGTAAATAGCGAGCCCCAGCAGCACACCAACTAGGTGATATTGGTCCGATGTTTCGAACGAGCTTGGGTTGAAGTAGCAAGTGTTCGAGTCGTCGTCATACACAAACATTCCGTGGTTGGGATCAAAAATATCACGAACAAGCATGAGAAACCATTCCTTGCGTGGTCCTCCCGCATCAACACCCTCTTCACCTGCGAAGTGGACCCGCATACCCTTTTTGAGATCTTCTTGCCCTGAGCCGACTGCTTCGCTAATCTGTCGCAGACTGTCCTCGACGATGCAATCCCGCCGGACGCGCAAGTGAAAGTGACCATCACTCCTTTGAGAGCGGAATATCTGATCGAAATAAGCTTCTCGTGCCTTCAGTGCCATCTGTCGTTGAGCATCGAACTCCAATATCTTGATTTTGGTGCCGATGGAAATGAAGAGGGGGTATTGGCAGAAGGTGAATTTCTCTCGCTTCTTCTCCCACTCCTTGAAGTCCTCGACCATATCGAGGTAATCGAGAAGAGTGTTATAGAAGCTCGAAGTATGCAGTAGCTGGCCACTACGTTTCGCCTTCGCTGCTGGCGAGAGCTCGCCGCCATCCAGGTGGGTGTTGATATGGGCAAAGCCGGGGTCCCGGCGCTTCCCTTGCCAAATGTTGTTGGCTGCGAAAAGGATCGACATCATTCGTGCCGCAGCTTTGACCTGCCAGTCTCCCGTCCAGTCGGGCTCCTCCTTGGTTTCATTCTGACCTTTGTTCATAGATCCGCCAAATCCCAGCGCGGCATGCAACTGTGCCGTGGTATTCCTGGACCTCCCTGAAAGCTCATGTGTTGTACCAGCCTCAGCAACTCCACTCTTACCGCGAGGTCTCCCGGACCGGCGATCGATTCTGTAGGTGACAAAACTGGCTACCAAATCCACATGCTTGACAAAGAGCTCTTCGTCGAAGCGCGAGTACCAGGAGATCAGATGCCGATGGCAGCTTTCCGGCGAGTGCGCCAGGAGGCCAAAGATACGCTTGAGCAGCCCGTTGTGCTGGCTGCCAGTGCGACCAGGCGATTTTCCATGGGCCGGCTTGACAGGACTTGATGGTGCTTTCCCAGCAAACCTGTCGGATGTAGAGCGGTCGAGACCCCGGCTACGACCGGATCGTGTACGTTGTGGCTTCGTCGACGGATACAATGACGGATTTGCGAGCATGATAAGCAGCCATCTCAAATCTTCAGGCTCCTTCAACGGTCGAGTAGGCCTTTTGAGCATGTTCTCTGTGATCTTCAGTAACGTCCTGATAGCATGTTCTCTAGCGTCAGACAGATCCTCTTCAATCTCTTTCTTGTTCATCTCATTCCCTAGGCAAGTATCGTAGAGTTCCGGACTCTCGCGTTGAACGCTATCTCCCAGTGTCTGCCACTCTTGACCCGCAGAGTGTATCGCGCCGTACCAAGACGCAAGCTCCACCCAATTGATATTCGGCGATCTTGCGCTGACCAGTTTGCGTGACCCCTCGCCAACTCTCTTGCGTCGCACTGCCTTGTCAGTCTCTTTGCTCGCCAGTCGGCCAGTCCACCAACTACCATTCTCCCCAATATCTCCTAGCAATAATGTCTTCGCATCCAATTCTGACAGGCCGTCCATTGGGCTGGAGTTCCAGTTGTCGGTCGCCGCCTCCCGAGATGGGACCTTGATCTCGCTTTCACTGCGCGTGCGACCATTTATACTTGGCCGCGTGGTGCTGAACGAGCCATTTAGGCACTGAAAATCACCAAAGCTGGTGACAAGGTAGTCCTCGAGTGGCCTAAAAATGGTTTTGACGCGATCATATTCGCGCCGCTGCTCCACTTCTCCGGTTGTGGGGCGGGGGCTTTGTTGCTGTCTGGGGGAGTTGTTTCGTTCACCAGGGGTCAGAATTCCGTTCGTAGGTGCTAATAGGTTGTTTGACGGCCGCCTATTCGGCGTCTGCACAGGCGGAGGAGGCGGCCTGCGATCTGGTCTCGCTGGTATCGGCACTGGCTTCCGGGGAGTCAGCCTCGGTGGTCCAGGTCCACTATGTGCAGAGGGATATTGCTCAGGAGGCGTTTCTATTCGAGAGCCGCTAAATTGCTCGAAGTCGGCATAGTCGCGGATGGTAGCCTTGGGCAAAGGAGTTGCAATTGTTTTCTGGGAGTTGCCTGGCAGGGGCTTCGAAACCGGCGTATCTGCAAATTCGTATGCCTTTATTTCTTGGGCGGGAGAGTTGGAAGCGAGAGCAGCTGAGAGTTGGTCACGACCGAGCACATTCTCCGTTGGAGACGGTGGTCGCTGTGTACCTGTAGCATCGCCCGTCCGCCGACGACATCGCGCCTCGAGATATGTAAGCACACATCTGTCGATGATCGCCCGCGTTTCTTCGAACGAGATTGGGACTGGAGCGGCAGTTGGCAGAGGTCGTGCTGGCTCGGTAGTTGTGGGGTGAGGGCGAGATCTGCCCTTGTCCTCTGCAGGCCGCTGTTCTGCGGGCTGGAGATCATTGATGGTCAGACAGCATAGGCAGCGGAACCTCAGCAGCGCCGAGGGTACCTTGCATTTGCTGTCGCAACACATGCATACTCGTGTGGCCTTGCCATCTTCATCCACCTGGTTTCTCTTGCTTGAGATCACTCGTGTAGGCTTGCTCGGCGGCGCTTCGTCCAATACAGGTACTAACTCGTCGTCGAGAGGCACATCGGTGTCGTGAAAGGCCCCAGTGCTCTTCTTTCGACCAAACAACTTAGGCAGCGGGTGGCTCGCGGAGCGACTGTGAGCATGCTGGCGCGGGGCCTGTGCATGTGGGCGCGTGGGAGACAGCGTCGGAGGCTCGAGGAAGTCGTTTGGTGGTCGCGGTAGGGACTTATTGCGACTGTACGGGTGGTTGGAGTTCGAGGGCCCGGAGGCTGATGACGGCACAGCTGAGCTGCTTCCTGCTGCAGAGAGCAAGCGGGACGACCACGTCGACGGCATGGTGCATCCCCCCGCCTACCTTAGACGTTGCAGCGCGCCTTCGCGACGCAGAGGGCGAGAAGTCGTGGACACACAGTACCCGAGTCGACCTCTCAGCGACACGCGAGCGGTACATGTGCCTGAATCTGAATTGGAAGCTCCAGGTTCGTCGTGACTAACTTAGCAGGGCGGCCCAAGCTGTCATCGATGGCAAAGGGCTCCTGCTTCGGCACGGAGGTACCTTACATGTAGTTCGAGGAGGGACCACTACTGACTGTGTCGGTCGGTCGAGGGCGTACTGTGGCAACTACGGCGTCCTCGGAGTGGCAAGAGAAATTGCAAGAGAAGAGGAGGCGTCCAAGCCCGCCCAGCGCAATCATCGCTCGACCGCACTATTAACATTGTGTCTGTGCAATGCAAAGGATGTAGCCTCTGAGTTGCCAAGAATAAGTCTGTGGTCGATACGAAGCGATGCCCTGAACCTCCCGTGAACTCAAAGCTGCCCGTTCTGTTTCAGACTACCTACACGTCCACACGTCGGTTTGACCGTTTGAGGAGCCGGAGCACCCGTTATGTTACGTGCAACGTGAATGGCAGCACATGGTCAGCGATAGCAGCAACGCTCCATTGCAATGGCTGTTGACATTGAAGCATAAGGGATATATACAAAAGAGAGCAGATTGCCAGATGTGGAAGCGTCAAACACGAGGGACATTCGAGGGAGCTAGGAAACTCGTGAAATTCGTGTGGAAGCGCTTGGGCATTTTTTCGTTCCATCTTCGGCCATAAGCTCATCTGATGACTATTTGACCATGAAGCGCGCCCACGATATGGACCACACCCATTTTCCTCTGCATAGAAGACATCTCCAGACCAACGCAACTCCAGAACACAGTCGCTGCAACATGACCAGCAATGCTCCCACCTCATCAACCTCTCCTCTATCGGTAGCGCCACAGAGAAAGGGTGTTCTGGCGCTTCCAGGTGTGGCGACGACCGCTGGTGGTGTTGTTGTAGCGATGGCCTTTGTTGAGTCCTCTGCTCTTCTTGCCAGTGGCAGTGAGACCACGAGACTCGCGGTGCTTGTGCACTGGGTTGACGATCCAGTTGATGCGGGCATCGCGGCGGATGGCCTTGTGCTGTGGGTCCACGAGGATGACCTCGTAGTACTTGTAGGTGCTGTCCTGGTTGACCCAGTAGCTGTTGAGCACGCGCAAGTTGGCAGCACGGCGGCCGACACGCTCCTCAGCAGTCGACTTCAGCGAGCGCTGGTACTTCAGCTGGTTGATTCCCTGGTTGGTAGGCTTGCCTGTATAACTAATCAGTCTCCCGCCTACTTGCGCATGTTCTGACGCCCTTTCATACCGTAAGTGGCACCCTTTGGTGCAGGCCTCTTGCGGCCTCCACGGCGGACACGCACGCGGTAGATGACATAGCCCTGCTTGGCCTTGTATCCGAGACGACGAGCCTTGTCGGGGCGCGATGGGCGGGAAGCGCGGTGGATGACGTTCAACTGGCGGAGCTAGATTGATGTACTCTCAGCAATGTTCAACGAGTACGCTCAAGACACAAGCACATTCGGTGAAGAATATGCCATATGCCGCTCATGGGGTTGTGCATCGTACCTCCCAGCAGCGAACGCGAAGCAAGAAGCGCATGACATCGCTCTGCTTCTTCTTTTGCAGCTCCTCGAGATACTTGTGGGCACCCATCTGTGCACAGTAGTTAGCGACTGATTCTGCGCCAGGCTTTTACTGTCCCTCCAAAGGATGGGTATTTGTAGGAGGCTCGTTCAAAGTGCCATTGTGTCGCAATTATCCTTTCCGACTGCCAATGTCCTTCTTCTGATCCCCTACTCGGTGTGTCGTACCTTGACGGTGTGGTGGTATTGGCGGGTGGTGCTGGGTGTTCGTGGCTTCGTGCCTTGTCGTCGTCTTGGGAAGTTTTCCAGTCAGCAAATCGAAGCGAGTGTGCGAGAGAGGCTCTGCGGACTCTTCCGACTTGGCATCATCTCCGCGACGACGTGACGGGACATGCGCACACCGCTTGCACCTCAGTAGAAGGACGATCACGCTATGCTTGCACGTTGCGGCACATATGTACATGTAGCCCCTTTCTATTATTACGTGCATCACTCCATTACCTTAGTAGCCAGTATCTTCATTATATTCGAACATAGGTACCTAGTTTGTTTCTTCTTCTGTCCATCCCCCATCCTCCGCTGGCGCAACAAACGAATGACACAAGCAGGTGGTGACCCCGCCTAGAATCGCCATCGCTCGCCGTCCGGAACGCCAGCGCCTGGACTGGGCCAGATTCTACCAAAGTTAGGTACCTCCTACCTCCTACCTCCTAGTGGTGGTTCATAGCACAGCCTGTTCCACGAGGGGCACTCCATCCTCAAACCCTCCACCTCCTCCTCGTTTCTCTACCGCCTCATACCTACCTACCGCCTACGGTCGCATCAATCAGATCTCTCCGGGCGACTATCACCAACTCATATGCGCCCACACCAGACGGACACTACATCTGCTGCTTCCCAATGACGCATTGCCTTCATTGCATCTTCTGAACATCACATGCCGCTAAGGTGATGTCCTTCATCGACGCTTCCGATTGCATGCCAAGTCCCCGCCCACTCAGCTTTTGTGCCGCACTGCTGCCTACATAATACCTTTGGCGAAGCCGGAAGCCTGCACGACGCCAGCAGGACTTCATTTCTTGTGCCAAGCCAGCAGACTCTACATGTTTGATCTCGATGGTCTACCGCGGGAAGGTATAACACGCTCGCCTTCGTAGCATTTGCAAGCTGACCGTGCCATAGCCTTCAGCGGGTTGTGAGAATTGCCGCAAAGCCAAGAAGAAGTGTTCTCTGGGAAGTCCATGCTTGCGATGTATCAAGCTCAAGAAAGCATGCGGCGGCTACCGCGATGTCAGCCAGCTCCAGATACAGGACGAAAGCGCAGCCGTCATACTTAAAGCAAATAAACAAGGCCCACGAGCATCCGGTTCCTCCAAATCGCCTGTAGCAGCGCCAGTCGTTCGAGCAACTTCTTTGCATGGCAAAAGTACGCCTGAAACGCCTGGGTCAAGTACAGCCACAAGCGAGATCTCATTGCCGCCAAGTAGTGCCGCTGATTCGCTTTCCCATAAGCGCAGTAGACCTACCCTGGTGGATCTCGATGCTACAGAGGCCGTCGAGATAAATGCTCCGGGCGGTACGTTCCTCACGTTCACGATGAAACCCACACCAGAAGATCTTGGAAGCAACTACTTCTTCTCGAATTTCACTTCAGACAATGGACATTGGTCCGTACTTCGAAATTATGAGAAGAGAGCAGAATTAAATCCGTTGCTAGGGTTTGCAATGAAAGCCTGTGGCTTAGCGGCGTTGGACAATGTCCACGGCGTGCAGATGGGCCGCAGTTATTCGAGGATGTTGTACGCCCAAGCTCTGACGCTGCTCAACAAGGCGCTGCGTGATCCGCGGCAATGTAAGAGTGATGAGAGCCTCATCGCAGTCGCAATGCTGGGTTACTTTGAGAATATCACCTGCGACAGCAAGGAGAGCATTGCATCTTGGAAGGCGCATATTCAAGGCGCAACGCAGCTTCTCAAGTTGCGTGGCAAGGCTCAATTCAACTCTGCGTTTGGGCGAATGCTCTTTCGCGAGAATCGAGCTCAATTCCTCATTCGTTGTATCTGGGATGACCTCGAACCGCCAGCATTCTTAATTGACTGGGAAGATGACCTTCGCAGGTTGTCCGATGAGCTGCAATGGATCGGACCTGCCGACGAGCTCACAATGTTGACCTTCGAGTTTGCGCAACTTCGATACGAGTTACGGGTCCGAAAAGTATCGTATAACGATGCAATTGCTACAGCAAGCGACATCGAGATGCGAATGTCACAATGGGCCGCCGAGCTGATGAAGACGAACCCTTTCTGGCAGTATCGCCAAGTCGAGGTCCCAGATAGCCCTGAGGTCTGGAACGGCCAATGCCACATCTACAATGGTCATCCTACAGCTAGTGTGTGGGGCACGTAAGTAGAAGCACCCGCTGAAAGGCATCACATGTTCTGGTCTTGATGCGTTGCTCTGGCTTTCTGGTCTGAGTCAGACTCTCAAGCTCAAAGACAGAAATTACTCAGCCTTGACCGACCTCTTGAGAAACATGCTTATGTGAGACGAACTTTTTGCAGGTATCGAAACGTCCGCATCATGGTCACCAGGACACAAGAGTTCCTGATTCGAAGGCTTGCACTCAGCCCAGAGCAGAAAGAGAGGCAACTGAGTTACCTCAAAAGTGTACGTCGGCAGATGACGGACGAGATATGCATGGGCATTCCCTCTCAACTCGGTCACGGCCCGACCAATAATTCGAAGCACATTCTCATCACCGCATATTCTTCCATATGGCCGCTGTTCTTCGCAGGAACGTGCGCTCTCGAGAGGATCGGACCTGGTCTGTGGAGCACGGCATTGCAGGACATGACTCCCAGCCAGGAAGCGAGTACGTCGGCAGCTCTCGCACAGGCCATGTGGATCATAGGTCGTATGGAGCATATCTCGAGGATCGTCGGACTAAAGTGGGCCGAGGGCGTTGCGGCCACGCTTCGAGGGGACTTTGCCATGCACGAAGAGCTTCTGCCGGAAGGTGGACCACCCCATGGTGCACATGTCCCCATGTTTTGGCTAGAGCGCATGGCAGAAATGCGGCGAAACCGAGAACCTGGGTGGTTGAAAAAGGTCCAAGAAGGGGGACCTGGCCCCAGAGTCACGATGGAGGAGAATGCTCCTCTCAGTACTGGTCTGATGGCCGGGGCATATCCCAAGGGTTTGTGGAAGGGACGTGTCCAGGTCGATGAAAAGACCAAAAAGTACAGGAACAACAGCATGAACATCAGCAGCATCATCAATCCTTGAGCAGATATGAGATATCGACAGTGATTCTATTTTGTACATTTCTAATGTAACAACAACAACAATAGCAACAAGACCTTGGTCGTCTAGATCTGTGTGTATCTCAGATACGGTTTGACCTCTCGGACCTGCCCAAACTTCTGCTTCGCATCGGCAGTGCTCATACTGGGTGGGACAATGACATCGTCTCCCACTTGCCAGTCGATCGGAGTGGTGACTCCCTTCTTGTCACCCGTCTGCAGACTATCAATGACCCTCAAGACCTCGCTGGTGTTGCGTCCGGTCGAAGCAGGATACATCATGGTCAAGCGAATCTTCTTATTCGGATCAATGATAAACACTGAGCGAATCGTGAACACGATGCCCGTTTCCGAAGCGTCCAAATCCCGCTGATCAACCATATCGTAGAGAAACGCGACTTTGCGATCCGCATCCGCGATGATGGGAAACGACAGCTGAGTGGAGGAGAGCTCGTTGATGTCTTTGACCCATTCGGCATGGGAGTCTAATCCATTGGCGGAGAGACCAATCATTTTGACATCGCGCTTTTTAAACTCATCCTTGAGCTTCGCGAATGCCCCGAGCTCGGTCGTGCAGACGGGAGTGAAATCTGCGGGATGAGAGAAGAGGATGGTCCATTTGCCTTCGATGAAGTTGTGGAAGTCGATGTCCCCGTGAGTGGTTTGGGCTTGGAAGTTGGGGGCGACGGAACCGAGACGCAGCCTGAGAGGACGAGTCAGTATGCTAGTGTCGAAAGCACAGCACAGTACCTCCTAGTCTCACAAGAAGCGAGCGTTTTCTGTCACATGCACACATGCTCGCTCATGTTCACTCACCTTGGCTGCTCTGCAGGGGTGCTCAGAAATCTCTTGAAGATCGGGGATGCCTGTCGGCTGGCGAAGCTGCCATGGGTGGCAGATAGTCGAGTTGCGCGCAGAGCGCCGCGTGCCAAGATCGATGCCATGGTGATTGAATAGGTATTGCCCCGAGCGGTTATGTGCTGCAATAGGAGAATTGGCGTACCTGTGCTTGTAGGTATTTTCTCAACCTGGAAAGTGCAAAACGCCACCCGTCACGCAATTGCAATGTTCGGCGGAGAGGCCTGAGGCTGCCAGCCAAGACGGCGGGGCGGGGCGGAGCGGAGCGGGACGAGTCCGCGCTCTTTTTGATCTCCTTCCCATTTCAATGTTGCCCGTTCCAAGCCTCAGTCCAAGGTCTTCCATCTTGACGACAACGACCATCCGCCTTACTACTTGCCACCTTCGGTATACATGTTTTTATCACGACGCTCCCTTTGATCCACCCACGATGCATCTCGCGGGCCTAAAACTACCTACAGTCTGACATGTATGTGGCATGCGGGGCCGATGACCAGTCTTCTAGGTCTATCCTTTGCTGAGGCTGCTACCGAGCTGCAGCGCGCACGCGCGCACACGCACCACGCACACATACGCACACGGGCAGCAGGGTATATTCATCTCCGTGCTGTACGTCAATCAGCAGGCACGGCGCATGAGAAGGATGGAACAGCAATGGAACACTACTACATTATACTATGGATGCTACGGCTGTACCCTTACTCGTGGGATTGATTCCGGTGGACGCCTCCGAGGCTGTATACGGCAGGACAGGACGGCCGTGGTGAGCATGGAACCTGAATTCCTGGCAGCGCACTCTGATTAGCTTCTCACGCTATGGAGGTAGAAGTCTACCTTATATGCTTCTACCTTACCACCTACCTTATGCATGCATGACCTAGACGCCAGCGCACATCCTCTGCCATGCCATGGATGCCATGCCATAGGTATTCCTGAATACTGATCCCGCCACTACACCCGTTGCAGCCCGCGCTTCGGATGCGTTCAATTAATACCACACCGGCTGGGATAGAGTTGTGTCTGCATGACCCACAGAACGGGTCCACGTGTGGCAATACCGCTCTTGCAGACTACCGTTGCTGATCTCCTCTCGCGCGCGCGCGGAAAGTCGAGGTCTAACGTCGTCTCAGAGCGTGCTGATATGGGATCCAAGCGTCCGATGGAACGTGACTGCTCTGGTAACTATAGCTTTACACAATATATTTACCAGGCCTGCACCAGTGCAGTCCAGTCCATTCCTTCCCTACATCTCTTTCATCTATACCTAACCGGAGTGATCATGCTTGCAGCATGGCTTCTTATTGCCTGTGCGGCCTCGATGGGAGTGGCATTACCGCGCTCGCAACGGGCAAGTACAGCATGCCAGAACTACCATCACGAGGGTTACAACAACGGTAACGAAACGCATACCGTCCGTTCGGGCAACTACACCAGGAATTATACCGTCAGTGTGCCGACGGGTTACAACGACAGTCCCCGCAGGAAGTGGCCCGTGATCATCGACTTCCACGGCAACAACGGAACACCGGATCAACAGTACAACAATTCACGCTTTTTCGATTATACCGCAGGTCAGCAATACCTCGTGGTCTATCCTCAAGGAGTAGAAGCACATTGGCAAGGACCGACGTATGCAGTCAAGGGCGTGGACGATTTGCAATTCGTCACGGATCTGACTTCGAAGATCAAAGCCGAGTACTGTGTCGATCATGACCGCGTGTATGCTTCGGGCAAGTCCAATGGAGGGGGATTCGTAGACTTGTTGGCCTGCTCACACCACGGCGACGAGTTTGCCGCGTTTGCGGTGGCTGCGGGGGCCCTCTATTCTAGTACGAATTCCACCAGCTGCTCGAAGAAGCGAGCGATGCTGGAATCTCACGGTGTCGCGGACAAGGTTATTCCGTACGCTGGAGGAGTGGGAAGTGGTGGGCCGTTACCAGATGTCTCTCAATGGGTAAGGACTTACCGAAGATGACGATGATGATGATTGACTTGAAACAACCTCTTTTCGAAGTACAGTCGCTGACACATGTCCTTGATGATTTTCAGGTGAGCTGGTGGGGACAGCGAACGTGTGGATCGAACGCGACGGCGAGTGATTCTCGCAATATGGGAGGTTACAACACCACCAGCTACTCCTGCGGCAACTACACGGAAGCGATCAAGCACTACCGAGTGTTCGAACTTGGTCATTGCTGGCCGAGCGGCACTTCCAACAACTATGATGCATCAGATGTCTTCAACCAAACCGATCGGAAGTGTCTCGACAAAGCTTTGGACTTTACCCCCGTCGTCCTAGACTTTTTCAGCAAGTGGACCCTGCCGAATGCTCCACACAATTGATGCTTGCTGTACCTGACCAGTTCACTTGGCAAAGCGCCCACTAGCATAGGTAGCTTCCTTTTCTCATTCTCATTTCATATGCCGCCTCGTACTTTTTCTCCCATACCACCAACTCCCGAACCGATATCGATCATGATACAATCCTCCCCCCACTCCCATCGATGCCACATCGCTATACCCTCCGCCTCGATGATGATGATGATGGTGATGATGATGATCAGTCATAAATCTCCCCATGAAATATAACCTCTCCAATTCCCTCTCCCTTCGTCTCCGACAATCCGAGCAATCCCGCTCCTGAAAAATCGTTCGATCATGTCTGCAACCGGATGCCGTGATATCAAAGGGTAATAGCATCGCATTGTGGTCATGGTGGTGATGAAGAGGATCGTTAATGCGCATCATTTGGTTGTAAAAACACGTACATTGGCGTCCTTGAATTTGGTGCATGTGGCCGCAGGTGTAATGGTAGGATGTGAGGGGCATTACCGCCTTCTCGTTTTTGGGGGACCTCCCCCTTGGATCGTCGAGTACTGTAGCGTTTTGAACGAGAGGTTATTGGAGATGGGGCGGTTTATTTATCGCTTTTTGCGTTGTTGCCAGGGTTAATAAAAAAGTTTGGCTGTGTTGAGAAGAACGCCAATGTGGACCATCGTGTGTAGGTCATCAACCTCAGTTATAGAGGCATTTTGGCCTCAAAAGATTGCTTGCTTGCTGGTGTGTTGGGTGAAGCAGAGCTACCTAGTCAAAGAACTGAGCAACAAAGTTGAGGGGCGCAGGTCTGACATACACACAAGGGAAGGTGGCCTACCATATCATTCTAGATAGACCAGTGCTTGCACAAGAGGGGGGAACGTCAATTGCAAGTGGACTGTTGCACAGTTCACCTCATCGATTGCTTGGAGCAAAGATGATGTCGATGCGCGTCCTGGTCCTCATCGAGGAGCTGCGGACGGACAGAGGGAATAGGCATATCTGTCTAATTGCACGGGCTTCAGTGGCCGTTGCCATAGACCCATGCGTGGTGCCTGTGGCAGTACATTGAGTCCTGGAGTGGTTGGCGAATCCACACCCTGCGCATTCGGTCAAGGCAGCTACAGCATTAATGACAGCTTGCCAGTTATGGGACGGCGCCACCTGTTACCCGATCGTTGCGAGTTGGTACAATAGCGGCAAGGGCTGGAAGCCTGCCGTTGCCGAATAGCGTCTGACATTAACCAACTGCGAATGGAAAACTTGGAATACTTCCAGGCCAACCGCTCGTCGTACTGACATGCATGGGGCTGCAATCGTGAAGAGTGTATACACCGGACTGGAGCAGGTCGTGGTAGCGGCATCATGCGTTGACGTACAAGTTTCAGACGCAGCGACTCCGGGTCAGTCACGCCAGTCTACAGCCCAAGTGCTGCGGCTCCTGACAGGAACCCACACCCCATCAGAGTTGGACGAGCTGGTATGTGCGATCTATACCCATCGAAATCATGCAATGTCTTCCGCTGGAATGCGAAGGCCAACCGCCACCGCAGGACGGTTGGAACGATGTCCGCGCCACTTGGCCTTCGAGCTCATGGCAGATTGCCCAGCTGAGCCTGACAGCGGGTAGCCACAATATGAACATGCAGACAGCCGCAAAGAGCGCTGCTAGCACTACGCTTTCGGGCAGGCTGCCCAACAGATCAACTTCCACAGTGTCGGCTGTCATGCACCCGCTTGAACGCAACAAAGGTATATGCCTGGATAACTTGCGAGAGATCTTCAATACGATGGTCAAATCGTAACGTTGTGACGAAGTTGGCTACACGGGATATCCTGCCTCGGTACGGGCGGTAGCAACGGCATTGGACATCGTGGACAGCCCTGCGTGGGTGGTGGTCATTGTCTATTGGCAAAGCTGAATTGCCAGAAAGACCAGTCAGAGGCTGCACGAAGCAAACATTGATTAGCAAACTCTCCAACGCTCGCCGGTGCGACAGACATGAATCGATTTGTGATCTGTATTTGGCAGATCATCAAAATGAGTTCTGGGGGCGAATTTCTATACCTCTTCTGCGATCGCTGAAGTCGAGATATACTCAGGAACGACATCGTGGTTTTGACAGCGGATGCATGTCATTCCCACGCTATTTCTGGGCCAATGTTCTTGCAGTCCGTCTCAAGCGAGGTTACACGTCCGCCTAAAGTAGCAAAGCGTGCTGCAGGCTTCCGTGTGTGTTATCCAGACCAGGTCGTTCGGGATGCTGATCCTCAGTCGAAGCTTGAGCGTGTAGCAATGTGCTTGTCGTCTAGATGCTGTCAACATTGCCCATTCGTGACCCGTGCCGAGCTTTTATTCTCAAAGCAGCATTCGTTGCTGTTGAGCCATGCTCGCTCAGCCCTCGTCCATGTCAACCCCCTCGTCGTCCTCTCTGTACGTCTCTTCAATCGACGGCACAACAACGTCCCACTGTTCTAGAATCTCGTCCTCATCGCCTGGGACACCATCGTCGCCTGCAAACTTGAATGCCACAATATCACCGTTCTTCAGTCCCACACCTTGCGGACAGTCCTTGGCCGAGGACGAACCGGGTTTCGCCTTGCCAGCAGTGGCCTTGCCCTTCCCCTTGCCACTCTCTTCGATTTGCTCAAAGTCACTGGTGAGCGACGTATAGCCTTTGCTTAGGTCGTTGCGATCGTTGGCCGAGCCGAGCTGGATGTGGTCGGCGTTTTTGGGAATTTCTTTGCCATTGAAAGTGCCATCTGGGTTGGTTTCTACCAGCGCGTGCAGCAGTTCTGCGCGCACTTCTGACAGTTTCTGTAGTGGATCGACCTCTAGCAGGACGGTGCGGGTGTTGTGCTTGAAGCGAAGTGTCCACGTCCGACTGCTTGGTGTGACACGGTGGGACATGGCAATTCTCTCCCTGTTTTTCTCTCTCTCTCCCTTTTTGTGTGTCTGTGTGTGTGTCTGTGTGTGTCCGTGTGTGTGTAGACAGAAGCGTCAAGTTGTGAGTGCCCAAGGGATCTTCCCCTTTCTGTTCCAGGAACTGCAGAGAAGGGACGAGAAAGAACGCGTCGACTGCTTGAGGTCGGTCACAACTCACACGAGACCCATGTCCCCCCAATCGCGCCAAGCCAAGACAGGTCGCCCCTCCCTTCGTTTCTCTTCCTTTCCTTTCCTTTCCCTTTCTTGACGCTCTTGCTTCTTCTACCTCCTACTACGTATACAGCTACTTACTCTTCCGCACTCCGAAGCGACAAACTTCCCCTCGGTGACTCTACAAAAAGGTATGTGACCGCTTTCCTCTTCCCTGCCCTCCCTACCTGATGAATATAATATAGCATGTATTACCGTACAGCACTTCGGTGCTCATGGCGATCAAAAAAATTATCATTTGAGTATTTCTGACTGCCACTACATTTCGCATCACGAAGCTAGCTACGCATCTGCTGTACAGCTGCTAATGTTATCACGATAGACAGTATACTGCACCATGAGTGTCCCCAAAGCGCCTCCCGGGCACTTCACGCTCCTATACTTCGCCGCCTCGACGTCCTACACACAGAGGGAGCATGATTTCCTGCCTGCTCCCATGCTGTTAAGTCAGCTTTATGATAGGCTTGACGAGCACTACCCGGGCATCAGGGAAAAGGTGCTGTCGACTAGTGCGTTGACTGTGAACTTGGACTATGTGGATGTAGAAGAAGAAGCCGCGAAAGGTGATGAAGGGCTTGCCCTTCAAGCTGGCGATGAAGTAGCTATCATACCACCCGTCAGCGCTGGTTGAAACGGCTATGTTGATCATGGGACATCACCACTTCACCCCACGCCCACCACGGCGCCTCTTGCGTGTCCACTGGGTGCGTATGCATTATTAGCACCAGTTTGGACTGTAACAAGTACACTATTGCCGCCTTGCCAATGGCGCCAAGTACAGCATCACTCATCGGCACATTAGTCGTAGCCGCAGCCATCATCCGTGCTGGGCGCCGCGCTCAAAGCAAGTGGAGACTCCATACTCCAGGACATATGTCCTGATCAGGAAGCTGCGGTTTCCGCTTGGTTCGGCTGCCGGTCGAAGGCGTCCCAAGTTCGGAACAAAAAAAAACCAGCTTCACGGTCCATCGGCTCAAACGCATGTCAGGCAGCCAGTCAGTCGAGCCTTTTGATAAGCAGGGGTCCAGCATCGCGAACTTCTCGATGCAATTGGGCCAAGCACAAGGCAATGTTTCTTCATATGGCAAGCGTTATGTAGATTGCTGGATTTGTCCCGAGATAACAGCATGACCGAATCTCGAAGGCTGTTCGAGAACTACATCTATTTTGCGGATCTTGCAAGCCTGTCTGCAAATCTATTCACTTCTATCCAGTCCTTCCGACACTGTTCCACTTCCGCTCCTGCTGATACTGTTATCATCTCACAAGTGGCTCCCGAGCTCGCTTGCTCTCCAATCTCGCACACAAGCCACGTCCCTACTGTCTTTTCCCCCTTCCGGAATGTGAGTGCATTCAGAAGACTTCCACTCCGAGAAAAACCCTCCTGATACACCGGCCCAATATCCTTGAAGACTGCCTCGCTGATGTCTTCACCACGAAGCCTAGAGTGATTGCTTCCGACTTCACTCTCAAACAATGGCTCTCGACAGCTATGTTGCTTCTCTCTTCGTCAGAACTACCTATACCTTATCATGATATGATTCCCGCCTCCATGGGTCCAATATCACTCACCTCACTCACCTCACTCCTTCCTTCTTCATCATTACACTACACTACTTTGCCAATATCATCCAAAACATCACCACAAAGACCATGCAAACAATCACGCCTAGTAACAACACCACCCAGTACCGTTTTTCCCTCTTTGGCAGCCAGATCTCAATCTGTGTTTCTGTCCTGGCAGGCGGAGGCAAGAAATCTCGAAATGATCTTGTTGTTGTTGCTGAAGTCGACTGTTGTAGGGTGCCGTATTCTTCTGGTTGTGAACGGGGCATGGCTTTCCACCTTTTCTTTTTTTTTCTGTTTTTTTTCCTGCTCTTTTTTGCGTGTGTGGACATACGTTTGGGCTTTATGAGTCTTGCGGGAGGTTATTGTCATATCATGGTCAGTCAGTCAGTCAGTCAGTCAGTCAGTCAGCCTGAAGGATCATGGGATGTGGCTGGAGCTGAAGCTGACCACCTTGATGCTAATAAGGAAAGTCATGAAGTCATCTGATCTCTCACTCTGTCCTTGTTTTCGTAGTTCGTACATACAACGCGAATGACTCTGAAAATAGTCACTATTGGCAACTTTTCAAGTTTTTGCCTGGTTCTTACGCTTTCTAGCCTCCCCGTCTCCCTAGATCTCACTCTTCGTTGTATGCGACATCAGTACCCAGCATGAATGCGCAATCGTGTGGATGACTATTCACTGTCACTGTCCTCAACTTCACCGTCGAGCATCTCTTCATCAGAACCCTCGTCCTCACTAGCATCGCCTTCCTCTTCGCTGTCGGGACTCTGCTCTGCGCCCTCGTTCGTGTTCTTCTCGGCTGCGCGTCTCCTCTCCTCTTCCTTCCTGCTCTCCTCCAGGACCTTGGCTTTTTCCTCTCTGGTTTTCCTCTGACCAACCACATACGCTCCAAGAGGTGTTTTCTGCTCCGTGACGTCCTTCAAGAACGAATCTACACCTTGGCGATGATTGGGCGCAAATTCTACCTTGGCTCTCTTCTCCTCGACCCACTTCGAGTTGGCCTCGAGCTTTTGTACGAGCAGCTGGACAGCGCTATTAATCTTCGTGTTGTTGTTGCCGCCCTTGCCCTTGCCCCGCTGATTCACCTCTTTGAGCCAGCGGCGCAGCATGACGGTCACTGGAAGGGCGAGTTCTGGGAAAGCGATGTTCTTCGTCCAAATGTAGAAGAATTCGGAAAGAAGTTCTTGTACCTGTTCAGCGACTCCATCTTGATAAGTACGCGTACGAAGGTACGACTTTGGCGCGCGAATCGTTGTGTTGAAGTCCAGTGGCTTGAGAGTGGTTGGCTTGGGCGGCTTGCGCATCTCCGCACTATTGAGAACCTCATACAAGGGAGCTGCGAGGGGAATGTAGGTTCCTGTCGCGAGGCTGACGCGCAGCAAACAGCGCACAAGCTGGAATCGCAAAGGAAAGTATGTAGCTGTGGGAATCAAGCGAAGTGCTCCAAGGGTAACCTGCACAAAAGGATATATCAGAGCCTGCAGTGGTGAAGTCGATTCCGTGCAGTGCATAGCCAAGACTCTGCCCCAGAAGTCCAGACTATGCACATACTGCCAGTTGTAGACAGTTTTATAGCTCTCATTTGAATTGTTCGTGATACTGCTGCGCAGGTGCATGGCCAAACTTCGGATGAACGTGAACGCAGTCGTATACGCGACACCACCTTCACCGCCAGCAAGACCCCACAGCTCGGCTGCGGAGTTCTTCATCAGGTTGACGCCGGCCATGGTATGCACAGTCGTGTTGCGCGAACCCTTGACGAGAGCCTGGTAGGTAGCCTTGAGCACGTTCTCGCGAATACCAGCATCACCGATCACGGTCAATCGACGCATGACCAGGAAAGCTGCAATTCGAGTAGCCTCGGTATTGCTATGTGAAGACCAGACCACGGTGACTGCTCTTGACACATCGCGGACAAGCTTTTTGAAAGACAGGAGATATGGTAGAAGTGGCAGCAGCGACGTGAGGGTAAGACGAAGCGTCGCTGGATCCGAGAGGTGGTCCAAGAGGTGCAGAATGCCAGAAATCTGCGAGCGCAGTATAGGCCCCAGTGTCTTGAATTTCTTAGACTCTGTGGGAACATGGACCTTGCCATTCTTCGCGTCCTGAACTGGCAAGTGGTGCTCGAACACCTTGGAAATCTCCTTCAACGCTGTAGTAAGGAGTTCGTGGTACACCTGTGGATTCGAGACCGAATATTTGAATTCCTTCTCCTCAGCTTCTGATGATGAGCTCTGCGCAGCCGATCTGAAGGCAATCACGACCTCTTTGGCGGCTCTCAGCGAATGCTGTTCCTGAAGCGCTGCCCTCCACTTCTTCACAGTCTTCATGTCCAGCTCGTTGCCTTGTGCCTCGTCTTCTGAGTCGTCCTGCTTCTTTTGCTTTTTGCGCTTTGGCTCGGGTTGCTCATCTTCGCTCAATTCCAAGTTGTCCAAATCATCAAAAACTTCGGGTTCATCCTTTTGCAGCACTTTGTGGAACTCTGGGTCATCCTTGGCCAGTCTGTCGAGCTGCTCCTTGAAGTCTCCCACATCACTTTCCGAGTCTGAGTCTGCCTCACTGTCTCTCTGCATAGGTGCCTGCTCAGCCGAAGCATCCGAGTCTGATGCATCGCCAGCGCTGTTGCGCTTCCTCTTGCTGCCCTTCTTTTTGGGCAGTTCTGGTACTTCGAATCCGCCCTGAAAGAACTCGTCCACGGTCATATCATTCAGAGCGTCTGCTGCAGCAGGCTTGGAGTTCCCATTAGTAGTTGGCTTGCCATCTTTGTCCGGGTCCTTGCCCTCTTCCTCGGCCTTTCTCTTCTTTTTGCGCTCCTTCAACTGTTGCTGCTGCTTGGTTTTCTTCTGACCCTTTCGCTTCTCCAAGATGTCCGACAGATGGTGCTTCTGGAACTTCTTGGTCGACTTGCTGACAGGCATTGTCGCGGTCTTGGATGCAGTATGGAGTCGAAACTGCGCGACAGAAGTGCAATATTCGCGTCGTAGGCAAGAAAGAAGAATGCAAGAGAAGACGGGATGGAGGCTCGATAAATTTCAGTGGACCCTGCTCCACAGTAGAATTGCCCCGAGACGAGGAAGCTCCAGCTGCAGCTACATGTACCTCCTACAGCAGCTACAGCGGTTACAGCGAGGATACAGCCAGCCTGAGCCAGGTAGTTAATGTATTTTGCATAGAGCAACACCATGTATGGCCAACAGCAGCTGGCATATGCGCCGACACCCTACAGCTACACGCCGTCCAGCAATCTGACGGCAACCATCAACCTTGACGAAGAGGTCCAGCTGGCCGACAGCGCCGCCGAACGCGACTTGTACGAGTCGCTGGCCGAGATCTACAGCATCATTGTCACGTTGGAGGCGCTGGAGAAGGCGTACTTGCGCGACAGCATCAAAGAGTCCGAATATACCGAGACGTGCGACCGACTGTTGCGCCAGTACAAGAGCAACCTCGCCGCAGAGCGCGTACAGGCCGCCTTTGTTGACTTGGACACCTTCAAGGCCGATTGGGGAGTGCGTTGTGTTCTCCTCCCCTCACGTCGGCGTCGACCAACACACTGACAGACCGCCTACAGCTCGAAGTGCCCAAAGCAACAGAACGGCTGAAGATTGGCCTCCCTGCCACCATCGAGAGCGTTCCCACGCGTACCTCCTCCCAACACCACCGCGCTTCCAACTCCCACTCCGCAGGCGTCAGTGGCTCCGGTGGCGCCGCCAATGCTTCCGCTATCGTCTCTGCCTCGGAGAACTTCATCACGCTCTTCGATGCTGTGCGCATGAACATCTTGTCCAAGGACACGCTGCACCCCATCCTGGTCGACACCATCCAGGCTGTCAACAAGGTCACCGACCGAGACTTTGAGAATAAGGGAAAGATCGTGCAATGGCTCATCACCTTGAATCAAATGCGTGCTGCTGAAGAATTGAGCGCGGAACAGGCGCGAGACATGCAATTCGACCTGAATGCTGCATACGAAGGTTTCAAAGCTACACTCGAGTGAGGCACACTGCACGAGATACTGAGCTGTACTTCAGCCGGAATGGACGCCATTGCTCACGACTTGGCATCGTATCATCGCCAACGTACGCTCCACTGAATTGGACTATTACTGCGGCTCCTCTCCTGTGGCGCTCGTCAATGCCAAGAACGACGTCGGTATTCCTGGAATCAAACAGACTCCACGGCAGCATCGCTCGAAACAGCCGGCTGCAAGAATGAGCGCCGCACATACACCTGGTTGTTGGTCCTGTGGTTGCTTTCTGCATACTCCCGCTCTAGTATTGCATTGGGCCTGCATGATGGTGAATGCAGCGGACCATGGGCTCCGAAACACAGTTACCTCCTAGTTGCAGTCTGCAGGAAGGAGAATTGTGGAAACAGCATACCTCCGCAGCACCGCATTGCATTGCATACACCTGGTTGTAGTTCGCAATCTGCATAATTGGCGTTGATATGCAAAGATGCCCAAGCAAGACAATCTTTAAGCTTTATCTTCTCCAAATCGGATCGGGACCCGGCTTTCTGGCTGTTGCTAGCTTGTGTTTCTTCCCGCGCCGGGCTCATGCTAGTGGGCGGGCGCGGCTCTGCTACCGAAAGATATTCGGCTCCCGACTTGCAGCATCACGATGCTGTTGAGGTCAAGCCATGGCTTTACCAAGAGTGGAACTCACTGCCAGAGACCTGGGACTGGCAGATGATTGCCAAGGCGAGGAGGAAGAGGCATTGGATGGTACGTTCGGTCCACATTCTTCATCGTTGAACTTTCGTTCCTGCATATACCATCACTGAGAAAAGGCCAGTCCGCTGATCGTTCCAGCAGTGCTCGATCTTCCGCAGCTGTACACCAAACCGAATGCAGAGTCTCTGCTTCTTACCCTCGCCGATCTAAGCTCGCAGCCAGCATCATGGGAAGCGACGCCTCGTAGTAGTGGAACACCCACAGGCCCATTGTCTGGGAGCTCCACGCCGTATCGCAGAAAGAGAAAGATTCGCAGTGATGGAATACCCAGTTACTTGACCAAAATCATATCTAGTCGCCTCGCATGGATCGAGGATGATGAGCAAAAGGAATGCATATGGGAGACTGCTGCACAAAGGCTCAGTGAGCGCAGCGGGAGAACTGCTATGGGTGCGATATCCCGCTCTTTCGTCATTCCGCTATCTGTGCCCCCCTCCCAGGAAGACAGCACTGGTGTCGCAACCACACATGGAACGGGCTTAGATTTGCCCGAGGAGTGTTTTGAAGTCACTCTGCACGAACCGGCATTGACAGGTGACACGCTTGGCCTCAAGACGTGGGCGTCGTCGTTCTTGCTGGCGAAAAGACTTGCTGTCCTGCTGCATACCCTTCCCCAATGCCCACCAGACACTTTCATTCTCGAGCTTGGTTCAGGCACGGGCCTAGTGGGTATGGCAGCAGCAGCAGTGTTCGGAAAGCATGTGATAGTCACTGATCTGCCCGAAATCGTGCCCAATCTCGATCATAATGCCAGATCAAATGCACACACACTTGCTGCCTATGGAGGAAGGTGCTCTGCTACAGTTCTGGACTGGATGCAGCCTGATGTATTCTGCCTCGATGAGATTCATCATGGCGATGCACATACCTTTCCTCTCATTCTCGCCGCAGACCCCATCTACAGCCCAGAACATCCTCGACTTCTTGCTGGGGCAGTAGGTCATCATCTCATGAAGACTAATGATGCACGTGTGGTCGTGGAGATGCCGTTACGGGATGCCTATGCTGTGGAACGTCGGGACTTTAGAGAGTCCATGAGTGCAAGCGGACTTGTATTACTCGATGAAGGCGAGGAGACTGGTTATGATGACTGGTCTTCCAACAGCGAAGACGACCTACTTGAGGTTCGATGCTGGTGGAGCATCTGGGGCAGGTGCTAAATGAGTGCTTCGTGCACTTGCGAGGGTTCGACTATCCTGAATAGGTGCCAAGTCTTGAACGACAACCCCTAATTCACAGCTGTTGACTTTCGCCACGCATTCACGACATGTCCATCTTGCATCATATGTTGTTTCTCATGGTTCTTGATCGTTCTGATTGTCATGGAAACGCGCGCATCTGATGGAGCAAACAAGCATACTTAGCTAATCTATCGCCCTGGTTTGCTTGCTGACGAGTGTCAAACAGCAGCAAACATAGTACAGACGTTTGAATGTCTAGTCTTTCTCTGCTCGAACCATGTGAAACACTCTTCGGCGTTTCCACTGTTGAAACAACAGATAACCAGACGTCTTCTGCCACCAGTGCCCATCATACTGTACCCATCAAACGATACCAGAGACCCGGAGTGGACATTTTACCATGCAGAGTGAGCGCAGAAGCAGTATACATTGCATTGATCACCCTAAGACTTGGAAGACGCTGCCAGGTTGCGAGGAGTACAATCAGACAGCCGATCGTATTGTGAGGGGATTCTCTACATTCGAGTGGCCGAGAGGAGAAGAAGAAGAAGAAGAAGACAAGAGTCCTTGTCCCTCGCTATTAGCGAGTATAGATCTCTCACGCACGACGAGTGAAGACCCTGTTGTAAACAATCCTGAACGATTGACGGCGACAAAAAAGGGTGGTGATGGTGGTGCAATGACACTTTCCGAAATACTCAATGCTGCTGCGGCTGCTGCTGCTGCTACGATACCACAACACAAAATCGACGATCCCTGGCTGATGCAACACCTTCGAGAAGCGAAAGCGAGATGGTCCGGGTCTGAACCTCGATATCTCGATGAAGTGTACGGCGTTGGGAATTTGTTGTGGTTGTCTCCGGCTGTCAATGGTGAACCTTCTTCTTCTTCTCCTCCTCGACGAGATTCTCAACAGTCAGACATATCGGAAGGTTCCCATCCTGCTTCAATATTCAAGCATGCTCTCCATTATGTCAAGGATGGTGGTAGTCTAGATGATTCTTTCGAGCTGAATCTGAACAACACCACGGAGCTGCTGGGTAGAAATGATGATGCTGATTCGGACGTGAGTGAGCTGGATTTGACAGAAGTCAGTTTCCGGTAGGTCAAAAGCAGGCTTGACGAGGTGGTGGATGATGAGTACGACGGGTAATTGTTGGGACGGGATAGATAGATACATAATCCACGCCATGTATTCCAGGCGACGATGGTACCGCACTACTACAGCGGCAGCATTCTGCACGATGATATCTATCTATTCATCTATCTATCTCATCCTCTCTCTCTCTCTCTCTCTCTCTCTCTCTCTCTCTCTCTCTCTCTCAACAAAGCCTCCT